TGCTCTCAAAGCGTGCAAAAAAACTGTTCAGCTCATCTGGGAGAGATGCGCACGCAGACACTCCCGCAGCACCCCCCGCTGCTCCTTTGTAGTCAGTCATTGTCCTTAGTCCCGCCCACATATTCCTAGTGTTACAGCCTTTGAAGTCAGATTCCACCTTCTCTTTGTACTGTCTCTTTGCATTTTTAATTGCTCTCCGGAGATCATACCTAGACTTCCTGTACTCCTCCAAATCCCCCGCTCTGTGCGCGATAGTGCGCGCTTTCAGCTTGCCGCGCACATCGGAGTTTATCCAGGGCTTTTGATTTGGGAATGTCCGTATAGAAACCTTCGGTACCACGTCATCGATGCATTTCCCAATGTAGCAGATGACAGTGTCCGTGTGTGTGTTGATGTTATTGTCCTCAAACACACTCCAATCCGTAGATGCAAAGCAATCCTGCAGTGCTGAATCTGACTCCTCGCTCCATCGCTGTACTGTCTTTGTAATCGGTCTGTCCCTTTTAAGTTTCTGCTTGTACGCAGGCAACAACAGTAGTGAGATATGGTCTGATTTGCCGAAGGGAGGGCGAGGGAGAGCCTTATATCCATTCCGCGCGTCGGGCAGTTGATGTGTTGGTAATATTTTGGCAAAACCTTCTTCATGTTGGCGGTGTTGAAATCTCCGGCCACTCAGCCCTTTTTACCCCAGGGCACTTAGTACAGATCGCGTTCACACCGGAGTACTTTTCCCTGAGGGAAGATTACGCAAATGAGCCGCTGACGTCACTTCTTCTTCTTCTGCTTTGGCTTTACTGGCAGGCCACAAACCACTTCACGGCGAGTACAGTAGGTGGCGGTATGCACCTTAAAGTTGTTTGCAATCCGCTACAAAACAAGAGAAGAAGAAGAAGAATACTGCGACGCCCACCCACTCGCTGTACATTAGGCGTCTGTTGTTTACCTTCCGACCTCAGACATGATGGAGATGGAGTCGACTGAAGTTGTGCTGTTTGTGCTCATGTTATACAGCTTTGTAACTGAGTTAATGCAGCCTGAGCAACTTGCGTACAATAACAAAACAAGCCGAGCACGAGTGGTGGTGGAGAACGCTTTTGGCAGACTGAAGGGCAGGTGGCGGTGCTTGATGAAAAGAAACGACTGCAAGATGGACAAGATCAAAATCCAGGTGGCAGCATGTTGCATATTACATAACCTTTGTGAAAGTAATGAGTACAGGGACGAATGGACTGCCTTACCGGCGACCCAGCTTTATGAGGCATCTGAACAGCGTGTAAATTGGACATTGTAAACATTTTGACAATAAAGCTGATCTTTTGTACAGTGCTTATGTTTCTCTTTTATTTTCCAGTCAAGACAGGCAACATTACAATAGTGTACAGTGTGGCAATATAACAACGATAAACTGTGCCAGGTGTGTTGTATGCACAGTAAATAGGCTCAGCAGCAAACCCACCTTTATTATTTATTATATATCTTCCTGAGACCCACTGCATCCGTCACTATGGAAACCTACATGTTAGTTTCGGCCCATAGTGGACTCCATTTTGTGTTGTGTAAAATGGGGGGGGAATTAAAAGTTTGCAAATCCCCATGTCCTCCTCAGAGGACAATCATAAAAACTAGAGATGTCCCGATCCGATCACGTGATCGGGGATCGGAGCCGATCACGTGATTTTCAAAAGATCGGAATCGGGAGAAAAAAATCGGGGATTGGGAATTATTTATTTTTTTTTTTTTATAAAATATTTTTATTTTATTTAATGTTACAAAACAAAAATGACCATGTTCACGTCTTAAAGTCATCCTGAGGCCTTAGTTTTGGTTTAAAATTACTGTGCTAGTGGAGCCTCGCAGCGGCGAAACTGTGGCGCGCTACAATGTAGGTGCGCCACGTTTGTGCTTCAGAGGAGGCTACCTCCGCAAAATGAGGCCCCATCCGCGAGGGGTCTGCGTGACCTGCGTGTAGGGAGGGGTGGCCCTGTATAATAACGTCATATTAAATGCAGTAATTTGGTCTTTAGCAACAGCTTGTGAGAGCAGCGCATTCATCGGTATTCGTTTTAATGCTGTCAGTTTTTTGACGGCCTGTGTGTTGATGGGACTTCTCATGCTCCCTAAATGTTTCCCCTGCCTTTCGCCAGTTGTTAAACCCTGCTTTCACAAAACTCCCATCCCTGATCTTGTCTGCACTGATGAGCTTCTTTTCTATAGCAGAGCAACAGAAGAAGCACACCGCATTATCACTTGCAAATCTCGTATATAGTGAAGCTTTTTATAGACTGCTTACACTAAAATGCTAACTTAAAAATAGTAACTCAAAATAAAACTTTTGTATTGATTTGTTTAGTGAACTTTTTGGCGTTGCAGTTACAACTCTCCGCCAACAGATGGGGGTGCTGCAGCCCCCTCAGCACCCCCCCTTCCCGCGTCCCTGCCATTACTTTTATTTTAAATCAAATGCACCTGTTTTAGATTATATATTTATTTTGATGTATAGGTTGATTTGCAGGTTGGTTGTTATTTGTATAATTATTGTATTGTTACTGTGTATTTTATTATATTAACTATCTATTTATTGCTATTTATTAAATTAAAATACTGTTATGAACACTTTACAATGTCAGCTATGCTGGTATGCTGTTTTTTTTAGCTGGCCAGGATGGCTGGTTTAGCTGGTTTAGCACCAGCTAAACCAGCTAAACCAGCTAAAGTGTCAAAACCCCTCTAAACCAGCCAACCATTCCATTCCATATCTACTGCAGCTAAGTTGGTCTAAGCTGTTTTTTTCAGCAGGGCTGTTACAAAGGTTACTCAAGTAAAAGTACAGAAGTATTGGCATCTGCTCCTAGTACTAGACTCCTGGTACTAGGATGGGTTAAATGCAGAGGCCAAATTTCACTGTGTGTGCTGTGTGCTCTGCATGTGTGACCATTAAAAGAGGGTTTCATCCCTCCCAATTCTATTCTAATTCTAATTCTATCAAAATATAGTTCAAGTACCAAAAGTAGTCATTGTGCAGATTGGTCCGTTTCAGAATAATATATATGATATGTTTTATAATGATTGATCATTAAAGTGTTATCAAAGCTGGTAAAGGTGCAGCTAGTTTGAATGACTTTGTATACTGCAGGGTAGCTTGTGAATTTACTCCAGGTGAAACTTAAAGGGGACCTATCATGCAAAATGCACTTTTGTACGTCTTTTATACATGAATATGTGTCCCCGGTGTTCCAGGGAACTCACCAAGTGTCAGAAAACACAACCCTCTCTATTTTCCTCCATACCCAAATCTCTAAAAAAGGGGCTGCAACGGATCTGATAAAAACTGATCCAGATTTGAACACTGTCCTGACGTCAGGACGGTGGCGCTACGGCTATTGGGCCAACTCCACCAATCAGGAGGAGACAGCCATGGCCATTGCCGTTCGAAAGCGCTGGAGACGCTGTAGTACATATGCCAGGCCAGTAGATGGTGCTGTTCTCACTGAATCTGCCCTTGCACAAACAGAGCTAAAAAATGTCAAATTGAGCAAAATGAGGCATGGCTAAAATGCATGATCTGTTTGGTATTTTGAAAAAAAAAAAGTATAAATATGCCTTATATAGGTATACACTATATTATTCAAATATAGCATGATAGGTCCACTTTAAGTCTGATTTAAGACTTGATTATATTTCAAATCATTCATCCAGATCTGTAAAGTAACTAAAGGTATTAAATACATGTAGTGGAGTAAAAGTACAGTTACAACGCTCTGCAGAAACTGCCGTCAGGTGATTATTCTTTGTGGGTGTGTTGCCACGAACAAACCCCTTTCACATAAGCCATTTACGTCATTATTGATATGTTGATCTTATAATTTAGGCTTTTAAAGGTTATCATATTCAGTAGTGTTGCATTGTACGGTGGCTGACAGGGGCAAGCGTGTTCAGTGGTGGCGCCAGGGTATTTTTGTTGGGTAATCTATGGTAGGGCTAACCCATACAGTGGTGGTGCTCAAGTCAGTATTTGCAATTGAATTACATACACGCTATATCGCCCCCCGTGAAACAGTGAAATGCCACACGTGAGGTTTAGATTATTTCCCTTTCTCAATCAAAATGGAACTGTATGAAATAAAACGGCACATCTGTCTTGTAGTAAATAAAAAGGGATCACTGTGAACGTGACGTATGATAGTACACGTTGAAGATCCAATAGGGATACTGAATGGCGGTTTTGATTGATCTCAATCAGTAAGGCATGACGCAGACAACGTTGAATTGCTCTGATTGGCTGTAGGTCTATTCAAATTGCATTCGGAGGCATTTTGATCTGACCGCGGCCGCACTTAACGCCAGAGAATTTCCACACCTTTAGTGTTTAAAACTCCCCCACTACTTAGACTATTCCTTGCACCCCTCTTCTATAAGCCCGAATGGTCTCAACCATATTGCATCAGTAACGTGCACTTGTTGTTACAGCAGGATCAGTTTGTGTGTTGTGGACACGACCCGTATATTTTCGCAATCCGTGTTCTCAACATTTTGCATTTTGCTTATTATTTAATTGAATTTGCTTACTTTAACATCACTTTTCATGGTGGGGCTAAGGTGGGGCTAAGGTGGGGCTAAGCCATTTCTTGGTATGGCTGTAGCCTACCCCAGCCATACCCTGGCGCCGCCAGTGAGCGTGTTACAACTTCCCAAAAAACTTAATTTAGGAGAAAACGATGCAAACAGAAAAACATAAATGTGCCAAATCACATGCAAATGAAGAAACATCATCACCAACTTCACAACACATGTGCAACATTTACTAAAAGCGCTGCATAAACGAAACGCTGCAAATATAAACGCTGCAAGTGTCTAATAGTGTATATAATGATATAAGACATAACAACTCTTGTTATGATTATTGATTCCTTTGGATAGAACCTTTTATTATCACTCAGGTTTCAGTTGAATGTTTAACATAAAGGGTTAACTAACCTACATTTCTGCTGTCTTTTTACAAGTGATCACTCCGCTCCACTCCTTCACTCTGCTGAGGTGTGGCTTTGAGGATCTTTACCGAAAACTGATTTTCTTCTTCTTACAACTTTCCAAAGGATTTACAGGTAATTATAAATACACAATACTCAGTGTTAAGTATTATCAGAGAAAATCCGTATTGTCATTTTCTTTGGACAAACAGGTAACAAGGTTTCTGTTCTTTTTCATTGTTCATTTGCTGTGAAATAAGTATTTAACTTGTATGTTTATTGGAAATGATTGGGACCAATGCAGGTATACCAATTAGGGATGTGAACGATTGATCGAATGTTCGAAATTATTCAGGTATTCGAATATGAGTTATGAATATTTTTTTATTTTTTTTGGGAGGGGTGCCTAAGTTGATTACATGTGATCAAATGGAATAATTCAATGTATACGACAGTGCCATAGCTAAGTGTGTTAGGTCTAAAGGTGTGTTTTGCTCCGCTCACCGGTCCCTCACAGCGGGCAGAGCTGCAGGTGCTGATCTCTCTCTCGCGTCCGGTTATACTTCACTCGCGTTTATGTCCAAATCCATCAGATCTAGCTAGTTCTAGCTAATGATATGGCTGCTGCCCAGGGGTGGACTGGGACTAAAAATCAGCCCGGGAAACTCGACCGGCCCAACTCGGTACCGATAGACAATTGTCAACGGTGGGGGGGGGGGGGGGGGGGGGGGAGGGGAGGGTGCTAGTGAATTGTCCGACCGGCCCACTTCGGTACCGGCCCACCCCAAACTCCCGGTATTCCCAATGGCCAGTCCGCCCTTGCCCCTCCCTACAGCTGGCCTGATTGTGAATCGCCTCCGCACCCGCCTCTCCCCTGAGCATGTAGACATGCTCATATTCTTAAACAAGAATGAGTATTGAATAGCTGCATTCTGTGCAGAGGCCCTGTTATAGGTTGGTGATCTCTGTTGCATACATGCCAACCTTTCCAAATCCAAAAGAGGTAGGTTTGCGCGCGGCAAATGTGCACGCCCAAATTAGGTAATCAGAAGAAATGGAACCCCAGTAATTACATGTATAAACCATGTATTTAACATATATTGCATCATTTTATGTATTTTTCAGAAAAAGTGGTAGTTTGGTAAACAGTGACATCAATGACATGTTTGGTCTGTAAAATGCCCGAAAAGTAAAAGAATGGGAGATAAATATCCCAAAGTCTCCACATTTTATTATATTTTTAATGTGTTTCTGGTCCTCTTTCAGTTGCATTGTTGGAGAAGCCTGTGACATAAGATTTTCAACGACATAATTACTCTGTAGCTGTGTTAGTTTGACAATAAAGAACCTTGAACCTTGACAGTGTAGTTCAGGGGTGCCCAACCTTTTTTGAACCGAGAGCTACTTTTAAAGTTGCCAGTCTGCCGAGATCTACCAGTCCAAATAGAGAGGCGTAGCCATTACTGACAGCCTACTACCAGGTAAATACACACTTCTACTTGTATAAAACTGACCTTTGTACGATTAATACTTCATAAAATACTGCAGATCCTTTATCTTACCTCTTTCTAATCTACACACATAAAAGTATTTAACTGAAGTTACACAACAGTGTTGTTGATACAGAGTTGGAGTTTATTCACACGTCACATACTACAGTGGGTCATGTTTTCAAGAAACATTGAACAGTGCTGCCACATATGACACAGGAAAAAAAGAAAAGACTCTGAACCCTTTCTTTGCCATTATATAAAAATAGTGTTGCTACAAAAGTATAAATTAGTTTTACTAATAAGACAACTCAGATCTGAAGCTACACAGGAATCTGCTGCCAAAGTGCAATAAAAAAGACCAAATTAATAGAATCAAACCCTTTTTTTGTTGCATTTTAGTAGAGTATAAAAAGAAATGCCTTTAAAATAGGATGCAAGCAACACTAGTTTCTTAACCTGAATTGATAATAGACTATAATCAATTTAAACAGAACAGATCTTAAAGTTTGCATTCTTATACCATGTTGTACAATAATTATAATGAATAAGTTCAAACAAACTAAAACTTACAGCTGATTAATAACGGTATCTAACTTGAGTTTTTATTATATCAAAAACCTGTTGAAATGCTACTGTTATTTTTACTGTCCCCAAAAAGCGCGCCGGCAGCCTCCAGGAATGCTTCTTTCACAACTTCGCCGTCTTTGAAAGACTTCATGTGTTTTGCAAGAACGTGACTGACACGATAAGATGCTATGGTAGCAGCCTTGCTCTTGTTGTTGGGCCTGGTGAAAATGGACTGCTGTGCATTTAGCTGTCCTTTCAGGTCCCTCACCTTTTGGGAGCGTAGGACAGAATTAGGAGGGAATTCCGTCTCGTAGCGTTTGTGCACTGTTTTGAAATGCCGCTCCTAAATTACCCTTCTTCGATAAAGCCACGCTCGCATTGCAGATGAGAGACAGATGGACTTTGAATTGGAATAGATACAAAAATAATCATCCTCCCACTCGGAGTGAAAATTATATATTTGGGGCTCTTTTGCTTCTGCCATAATTGTGGTCTTGTGTGTGCGGACTGCACAGCAAACTAGTGCCCACTGACTACCAGCCACGCCCCGATAAATCACAAAGCTTTGATGCGTTCAAGTGCATTATTCTGGCACAGGAAGATTATGTTATAGGACATTAACGATAAAACAGAATATTGTTGTTCTATTTTTAGACACATCTCGCGATCGACTGAAACACAGAGGACTGTTTGTATGATGGGATCACAGACACGCTGCAAACGGTGTCCGCCAAAAGTCGAGTCCAGTGTCTATGTAGTGTCATTTTTATTTGTAGTTTGGGAAGATTGAAAATCGGTAGGCGGTAGAAAAATGTCAAAAGCGGTAGACTAGCGCCCAAATCGGTAGGGTTGGCAGGTAGGCTGTTGTAATAGGCGTACGTTACCCTAACCGGTTATGTTGTTCGTGTATGATCCCTCTTTCATTTAAAAACCAAGTTATGTTTTAAGCATGAAAGCTGTAGGCCTATAGCTGTCAACTGTTCAAACTGTGATCACCAGTTCAATACATTTGACAAATTCGACTTGGTTTCTATACTTATTTGAACATGTATTTATTTTATTTTTTTGTAAAAAAAAATCCCACATTTTTTTGTTTTTTATAGGATATGTACATTTCGGTTAATCGGTTAACCGTTTCTTTGGGGGTCGAATATTCGAATATACATTTGCTTTCAAATTCCCATCCCTAATACCAAGACCAAGGAGCAGAAATGCAAATGAATATTCAACAGCTGTGTTTTTAGTTTTGGAGATATACATGAATTCAAACTGATCAGAAAATCTACTCAATATTTACTGCTGTAAATCTCCAAAGACTCAACAAGAATTGAATAACTTATAGGAGGGTTAAAATGTTTTTTCCCATGTTTTATACGAGTTATTTTCAGTAAAAAGCACAACGAAACAACTGAAAATAGAAACCTGGCATGATACCAAGCTGTCGGAAATAACTGCTGTTTATCTGGTGGCGTGTGTTGAAGGAGAGCAACTGAACAAACACATTTCCAGTACAGTTTAATAATGTATTCATAACATTTGTATGTTTATTGTTAGCCAACTTTGTGTCCAATATTTAAAGATGAGTCCTTTTTATTCAAAATAAAACCTCCATAGAGTAGTTGTATATTTTCAGAAAGCTAAGGATAAGGTTTGATTTTCTAAATAAAAGTCCCAGAAGGTTTCTATATCCTAAAACGAAGAAGGAAGTATTTATCTACTCATGCACAATACAATGTGTGGCCTATTTACCTCAACAATACAGCAACAGCTAACACTGCCAATACTTAGTTAGCACTGTTATTGTCATACAGTCAAAATCACTTGGTAGGTCATTTTCTAGTCTAACAGTTCTAAAAACTCTCATGGTCCTGCCAGGTTTCCCCAAATCCTGACAGTCCTTTCCCCACAGTCACTGAGGATGGCGGTAAATTGGCCAGGACTCGTGTCCATAGGAGTGTTTTACATCATCGTACTGGGCACAGGCATCTGGGCGTCCAGGAAGTCCAAACGCGAGGAGAAGAAATGCTCCGGGAACCGCAGTGAAGTTGCAATGGTTGGAGGGAGGAACCTAAATATCTGTGTCAGCATCTTCACAATGACAGGTAGAAATAACCACCTATAATTGGTGGTGTAATGTCACTAAGTACATACTCAAGTAATGTAAAAAAACTCACACTACTTCACTTAAAGGGTCACCTATTATGCTAAATCCACTTTTTCATGTCTTGTATACATAATCAATGTTTATTTATATAGCCCAATATCACAAATGTTACATTTGTCTCAGTGGACTTCACAGTTTGTACAGAATATCAGTATGACAATACGACACCCTCTGTCCTTAGACCCTCACATCGTACAAGGAAAAACTTCCAGAGAAACCCCACAGTTTAAAGGGGAAAATGGGAGAAACCTCAGGGAGAGCAACAGAGGAGGGATCCCTCTCCCAGGAAGGACAGACGTGCAATAGATGCCGTGTGTAAATCGAAAATATAATACATATACAACATAGGTAGACCAAATGTTTGGAAATGCATGTGTCTATAATAAGAAGATGAATCCACGAGGATGTCAACAATCCTGTGGGAGCCATCAGGGAAGTAGTATGATGAAAGTCAGGCAGGACCACAGTGACAGATTCAGCCACATCAACATGTGTCCCCTCTGTGTAGAGAGATTCTGAAAGTTTCAGGAAAAAAGATTCTCTCACTTTTTGTCCTGATCCATTTATATAAAAACCTGTCTGAAAATGATCTGATCAGATTTTGGACACTTTATGATGTCATAACGATTTTTTGGCTTGTGTAACCATTAGCCAATCACCAACCAAGGTAACCCCCCCACCTTTTCTCCTCTCACTGTCTCTTTTCCCACGGCATAGTTCTACGGCCTTGGGTATTGCTGCTATCTCTCTTAAGGAGGAGGAGCTTGGGTACATTGTTGTTGCCAGTCTATGACGGAGCACAAGCCGCCATGAGGTAGTTTACTGTTCAGGGACGAAGGTTCCCTGGCGCACATTCTTTCCTATGGACGAGAGCTCTAGTTAGATTCAGGGTCCATAATTGTTTAGTCTTACTGATAAAGAATGTTGATTGTTACACTCCGACCTAGTTAAAACATCGAGCTGCAGAAAGAGTTCTTCAGAATTGGTTTGGCAACCGCTGTGTCAACTCGTGACACACCACCTGTCTCGTAAATTCTCCGGCCGTAACTCCAAATAAACCACCAGTGTTTGCCATCAAAGCTCCAGCTCTCCTCGTGCCTCTCTGAGTCCTGTTTCCAATTGCTTCAGAAGTTTCCCCCCACAAGACCTATAATATATTGATGAAAAACAGTGCAATAGGGGACCTTTAATGTATTTAACATATTTAGTTACTTTGCAGATTGATGGTTTCAAGGTTATTAATATAAAAATCAACACACATATTATAAGTTAAGCTACCTAGTGTATACAGTCATTCAATTAAAACCAACCTTAACTAAGTGCAACACTGAAGTGATAAACACATTAATGCAACAATCTTTTTTATACAATCATTTTAAATAATCTGTTGCTTGAAATAGCTATTTTGTGAGTACCAGTACTTTTACTTTTGGTACGTAAAGTATATTTCAATGCTAAGTACAATTTTGAATGCAGAACTTTTACTTGTAACTGGGTTTGGGTTAGTATTTTTACAATGTAGTATTAATACTTTTACTTAATAATCTGAGTACTTCCTCCACCACTGTCTATAATGATCATAGATGAGCATATTCACTGAGCACAGCTTTAAATGTTCGTAATGGTTAATCATTCAGGGACATGTATTATCAAATCAGTGGATTCAATTACTTTTGACTTAATTGGTTTTGTAATTATTCCTGATGTTTTGCAGCCACTTGGGTGGGAGGTGGCTATATTATGGGTAGTGCTGAAATGGTCTACGATCCAACGAAGGGCTTAGTGTGGGCCGTCGCACCCTTGGCTTTCTCCATGAGTCTAATTATAGGTGAGTGAGGTCCAATATTTCCTTATTATGTCCTTACAATAATATGTAACATGTTTGACAATAGGGCTGCCTTTTAAACACCAGAAAAATATAAAATTATTCTCAAAAATAGAAGGATTTTATAATTAATTCATAACGTTTCCCTTTGTGTGACTCCAGGTGGGCTCTTCTTTGTCAAACCTATGCGGTCGAAGAACTACGTGACCCTCATGGATCCATTTCAGGAGAAATACGGCAACAAAGTGTCCGCTGTGCTCTTCATTCCCGCTCTCATTGGGGACATCCTGTGGATTGCATGTATTCTGGGTGCACTGGGTAAGACCGAAACGACGACTCAATGAACGAGTTTCTTGCAACATCAGCCAGTCAGATCTCAATCTTAGAGAGATTTTAAGATGAAGATAAGATAAGAGGAACTTTATTGATCCCAAATTGGGAAATGTTTGCGTTGCAGTAGCATAAAAAAGAACAAAACAAAACAAGGCAATGCACATAAGTAGAAATTAAAGAGTAGAAATAAACAATACTAGAATTGAAACATCTCAAAATAGAATTAAAACAGCATCTTCAGAATATGATGTACTTTTATTTGTACCATGTTACCCTCTTGGTACAGATTGTTAGCTAACATTTGCTTTAGGGTTAGGGTTAGGGTAATTAGTTTTGCACTTATTTGGCAAAGAGAATCGCTGCTTTTTCCAGTTCTTATTTCATTTTAAAATGACCATCTTTGGCTTTTAGTATCAAACTTTTGTTCGTGGGAAGAAAGGATGATTTACTCTCCTGATCCTGTAAGAGGACTAGAAATGAATCTTGTGACTGAGGAACTGCAGAAGGAGGGCTGCACTGTAATCAGTGCATCAGGGGATGCAGACATGGACATTGTCAAGGTTGCAATCGAGGTGTCACAACATCAAAACGAACCTGTAAATGCACGTTTTGTTCAGCCGGATAATTTCCACATGTCGACCCTGCTTTTAAAAATGTCAAATCATAAATCTAATTGATAGATTTATGATCGCACCACTCTATTGAGGCCTCCATTTTCGTCCACACAAGTCCAAAGTCCCTAAGGTGTATGACATCAACGAGATGACATGGATGTGATACAACTTCCAGGATCTATAGTGTTGGCCAAAAATCAACGTTCCAGAAACTTGCGAATGGTGAATCGACCATCCAGACGTGTGCAAATGCGTTTGTGCTCCAAAATCAAATAATTGTAATTTGGACAAGACCAATGGATTTCTAGGCCCCCAAAACATACATTTAGACAACGAATTAGGAGGAGTTAGGGTATTTTAAAACCCTGAGCCTGTTTTTCAGGCCTCAGGCTCGAAAATGATATGCCCAGAACAAATAACTATATCTTCACTTCTAAAAGGGGCAAATTAATAATCTTTGTTCTCAAAGCAATGATAAACCTGTGAGTTGGATGTAGAAGAGTCAGAATCAATATAGATGTTTTTATTTTAAAGTAAATTCAGATTGAACATAGTAAAACAATTTAAAGTGGACCTATCATGCTATATTTGAATAATATAGTGTAGGACCATACCTATATAAGGCATATTTATACTTTTTTCTTTTCAAAATACCAAACAGATCATGCATTTTAACCATGCCCCATTTTGCTCAATTTGACATTTTTTAGCTCTGGATTTGCAAGGGCAGATCCAGTGAGAACAGCACCATCTACAGGCCTGGCATATGTACTACAGCGTCTCCAGCGCTTTCGAACGGCAATGGCCGTGGCTGTCTCCTGATTGGTGGAGTTGGCCCAATAGCCGTAGCGCCACCGTCCTGACGTCAGGACAGTGTTCAAATCTGGATCAGTTTTTATCAGATCCGTTGCAGCCCCTTTTTTAGAGATTTGGGTATGGAGGAAAATAGAGAGGGTTGTGTTTTCTGACACTTCGTGAGTTCCCTGGAACACCGGGGACACATATTCATGTATAAAAGACGTACAAAAGTGCATTTTGCATGATAGGTCCCCTTTAAATTATAGTTTCCGTCTAAAAAAAACAAACATTACTTATAGTGAAAACCACCCTTGAAGGATGAGATATTAGACTAAAAGCTTTAGGAATCCAAACTATAAAATAGTACTTTAGAAAAGAAAACCCACCTCTGGGGTCATTTGGGTGTATTTGCCATATCTCTGGAACCCATTGGTCGATTTGGGTTGATTGAAAAAAATAATTAGATATACTAAATATTATTTGATCTATTCCACCACTAGCTTAATCCCAAATAATGTAGAGGTGTGTTGTAGGTGCCTTAAATAACCCCTTATTTTCTAGTGAGATGTATTTTTATGTTCATATAATAGTGATTTCAATGCCACCCCAAAATGATCACTGGTTCCATCCTGGCCACCCCACTGAAAATGTCCTGGCTCCGCCATTGCATCGGGTTTAACAGGTTAAGGGATTTTCGGCCATCTTGGACGCCATCTTGAAAATTAGACCTTTGTAGTGGTCAGATTTTGGTAGACTTTTAGTATGTTATTAAGTACACCTGATACTAAAATAATCCATTGAAAAACCTTTTGTTGCAATTTTTTTGGGGTCAAACCATATGTGCAGCTGACTAATATCTGAGACCTATAATATATTGATGAAAACGATTATAATAGGGGGCCTTTAACCTGTTAAACCCGAGAGGCCCCTAATCCGGGTCTGGCGGGTAGTTTTTTCACAAAACTGTGTCTCAGGGCTTGTTAATATTTAAAAATCTATTAATGTGTCATACTCACTTAACGGTTAGAAACTCAGCTAACTGAAGATATGAACCATTTTTACCAAAACAAAGCACAAGTCTCACAAGAAGCGTCTAAATTAGCCCTGAGCGAAAAAATGCTAACGCACTTAGCACAGAACTCAAGGTAAAAATACCCTTATTACTTATCGTAACTGCACATACAAGATATCCAATTAAAGCTGAGAGTCCTCAGATTCTATAGGTATTGGTATCATCACTGATCCCCTGTCAGAACTCGCGACAGGGGAAGCAAACACAGACATCACAACACGTAGCATCACGGAGCATTCACGGGACATCTCTTACCTTAGCTGTTGGTTTCTGATCAAAAGTCGTGTTCAATGTCATTAAAACGATAAAAACGTGGCTGAAGGTTAATCCATAGGTAAATCCAATGTGTCTGTCACTTTGAACAAATTATTGATAATCCATAATTCAATTTTTATGTAAAAATCGGAGAATTAATATTAGCTGCTAATGGTAGCCACCAGAGTGTATTGCAGCTTCCCGTTCCGGGGCATTCTGGCTACGCATCACTCATTCACCAATGGGTAATGTTTAGATGGATTTTAGGAACGTCCCCTCGATTCTATTGGCTCTAACAGTTAAAAAGAGATGTCAATCAAAATCGACCAATGGGTTCCAGAGATATGGAAAATGCACCCAAATGACCCCAGAAGTGGGTTTCTTTTTTCTAAATCTCTCTAAAAAGGTCAAATGTCACTTGTTTTGCATCAATCTTGATACAGGGTACTTATTATATGTTATACAGTAGTTTGGATTCCTAAAGCTTTTAGTCTACTATCCCATCATTCAAGGGTGGTTTTCACTATAACGGTACGTCCACACAGCAGCGTTAAAAAAATCTTGGAGGTGGGCGTATCTGAAGCTTGGGGATTTTTTGCGAGCAAGGCACCAACAACCAATCACATGAATCTCCCGCCCCCGACATACGAAGCAAAAAAGCCCGAAGTAAACTGGATATAAACTCCCCAAACAGGCGAAAACCTACCACTGTCTCTGCCACCTCCCTCCATGCCTGGCTCCTCCGGTTTGTATCCCGGTAGGTAAATAGGGACTGGTCATAAAGCACCGGGTGATTCCCTACCGCTAATTTCTCCTCCATTTTTTGGAATATGAGGAAATGACCTGCGGTATGTCTCTCCCAGCATACACGCGGTTTGATTGGCTAGCGCTTGAACTGTCAGATTTGCATACACGGGATTTGATTGGCTGACGCTTCCACCTCAGCTTCAAAAGTTGAACATTGCTCAACTTTGAATCCTGAAAATCCTGAAAATCTCCGCTCTGCTGCCCACAATGCAGTTCGGCGAAAAGTGAGGCAAAGTGACGTCACCCCATTCAAAGTGAATGGGCAGAAGCGTTCCAAGATTTTTTAACGCTGCTGTGTGGACGGGCCGTAAGTTAAAAAAAAAAATGTCGGACGGACACTATAATTTACATTTTTTTACTATGTTCAATCTGAATTTACATTAAAATTCAAAAAATCTATATTGATTCTGACTTTTTTACATCCAACTCACAGGTTTATCATTGCTTTGAGAAAAAAGATTATTAATTTACCCCTTTTAAAAGGGAAGATATTGTCATTTGTTCTGGGAATGTCATTTTCGAGCCTGAGACCTGAAAAACAGGCTCAGGGCTTAACAGGTTAAGCCCTGAGCAACAACATGTCCCCTAATGATTATCTATATATCTGTACTCATGTTAGTTTGTTGTTTCTGCACCTGAGTTTTTGTAGAAGTGCTTGCCTCACTGTGAATGTATGTTTGTGTTACAGGAGGGACGGTGAGCGTGGTGATAGATATCCACCCCTGGCTGGCTGTGATTATCTCTGCTGCTGTGGCCGTCCTCTACACTCTGATGGGAGGACTCTACTCCGTGGCCTACACTGATGTCATCCAGCTTTGCTTCATTATCGTCGGCTTGGTACAAACATTACATTTTTACCGCAGTATAAACGGCCCAATGTTGGCCCCCAGAGGATGATTCATACTAACTTTGCTAGGCTTATAATTTTTCCTCAAGCTCCTCCATCAGGTTAATATCTGAGGTGATAGGTCTTGCAAAATGTTGAATTGCCTGCCATAGAATTTGGTGTTAATTTGTCCTCTGTTTAAAGCTAATAGAGTGGTGAAGTCACACCCATCTACTTCCGCCCCATGGGACCTTATTTCGGAAAAATAATGTATTGAAGTCAATGGAGAGAGAAAACTTATCTTTCGATCCCGTTTGAATTGTGCCATGAATTACACATATGATGTTTGTCAATCTTAAAAAATCATTTCCATGTCAAAAAAGTCACAGTTTGTCGTAAAACTGTTGAAATATAAGACTATGAAAAATACGTAACTAGAAAGACTACAAATCCCAGAGTCGCGTAAGTGATGTCACAATTGTTTTCCTCCACTAAGAGATAGCTAAGATCAGCGCCATATAGATATAATCTATCTATATGGCGCTGGCTAAGATAAGATAACTTTAACAAGATGCCTGTGTGCTTAGTACCAGGTTGTTATCATACCAGCAATGGGTCTTGCTCGTTCTTTCGCTTCCCGTCTGATGAAAGGACCAGGAGTGTCTGGATCAAGTTAGCTACCTAGCTAGTAGCTAGCACGTTAGTTAGCATTACAGCCATGTCATTTTTATTAGCCTTAACATGAGGTAACATTAAGTAACCCAAAATGTTAAACAGTAAGAGTAGTAGTCATATTTCGTGAACCCTTTGAAGAGTACTGTCACCGGTGTGATCATTCTATAATACACACTTTAAGACCGGGGGAGAAATGCTAACGCTAACGCTAGCATCAGCGATCTTTTGCACTTCATGCTATCTGCACAAATGGTTGACATTAAACATTAAAAAGATCAGGCAGTTCAGAGAGAATCAAAGGCAGGCAGCTTTGCATGACATTCTTCAGGACGTGTTTCATTGTGGTGATAGTAAGGGTAGTCAATCGTTTTGTTGACAAGACAGTAGTGACGGCCATCTTGGTGACGTGTGTTGTTGTGCGAGTCTGCGAGACCAGAGATGTAGTTCATTGAGCGTTTCACACAAACAAATGTGTTACTTCACAGTTTTACGACACTTTCTTTTTTTTTTAATTTGCAAAATTATCTTTTAAATTGACAAACATCATATGTGTAATTCGTGGCACAATTCAAACGGGATCGAAAGATAATCTTTCTCTCTCCATTGACTTCAATACATAATTTTTCCGAAATAAGGTCCCATGGAGGTCCACCGGAAGGGGAGGGACTTCGCCACTCTATATGAAATTGTAAGCATTTAAATACAATTAACTAAAATGGGAAACATGGGAAACTTTAAAGCTGCTAAACAACAGCATGTAAGCGTGTCAAAGTGCAATGGGATAACTTTGCCAGACTTAGTGTACTGATCAGTCTGATTAGACATTAAGCAGAACAATTAACTAAAACTGAAATTGCACTGCTAACCTAAACAATATTAAGGGTAAATTGGACAGGTAGGACCCAATTGCAGGACAGACAATGGCTTAAACTGGAAATACCTTTATTTCAAGAACTCACTCCCCTGTAAACTCAAAGGCAAAAACAACTAACAAACTTCTCTCCCTTGGGAAAGACTCAAGAATCCCACCACCACCAACAGAAAACCAGAACTTAAATACATGCAGAATCAGTAATCAGACAGGAGGGAACACACACAGACAGGAAGCAGACCCAGACAAAAGACAGGGGGTGAACACCTTTCAAAATAAAACAGGAAAACAGACAGATCGTGACATAAATATTCTTTTTTTCTTTCTTTGGCTATATATTTAACAGAAAATAATTTCCAATGCCATTTGTTTCCAATATCCTGCAGCCCTAGTGGCTGGTAAGGTAAGGTAAGGTAAGGTAAGGTAAGGTAACATTTTCAGACACAGAGGCAATTCAAAGTGCTTTACATCAAAAGTAACACATAATAAATAGTAGTAATAGACAAAAGAAATAAACACAATGGAATAACAGATTCAGAAAAACCATGCATAAAAGAGATACAGAATAGTTTAACAACAACATTGTAAATACAGTAGGTGCTAAAACAAGTTAAAAGACTTCTGGGTAAGCAGCTGAAAAAGGAAATGTTTGTAGCCTCGATTTAAAAGAACTCAGCGTTGGTGAAGACCTCAGGGTTTCTGGAAGTTTGTTGCATTTTTGGGGAGCATAAAAACTAAAAGCAGCATCGGTGTGTTTGGTTCTGAGCCCCCGATGATCTCAGAGCTCTGGGTGTCTGGGTATCATCTCTGTCAATGTAAGTATGACTTTTCATCCATACGCAGAACTGATAGTGTCTCCCTCATTTTTATAGTGGCTCTGTGTGCCTTTTATCCTGGCTAGCCCCTCCTCTGCTAACTTCACTGTTGCTGCAGTCACTAAGCTGCACCAGGAGCCATGGATCGGCCGGCTGGAGCTGGAGGATGCAGGTCGCTGGGTGGAGGACATACTGCTGCTGGTACAGACACCTAAAACAACCATCAAGTACATATCCTAGAAATGCATTTCACCTAAAATCTCTTATGTAGTGAATATGCAGTATTAATTAAGACTGGAATTCCTTTATTGGTCCCACATCAAAAGTGGTGACATGACTCCCAATATTAATTGAAATGCTTTTATTGATTTAGAAAATGTTTTTATTGATTTTAAATATAGTATTATTGATTTAAAAAATAGTTTTATTGATTTAAAATGACATGCATCCGCTAAGAAAAATAGTCCGTTGTTATCGTTTGAACCACGTAGCAACGGCAGGAACTGCTTCGACAGCGTTTTGCTTTTTGATTACAGATTTGAAAACATCGTTGCTTACTTTAAAAGTAGCACAAGTCATTATGTCAAACCTTGGAAAGTATCTAGATATCCCTGCCCTAATGCCAAAGTAACTGGCAACTGAATATGTTTTGCCGTTTGATGTCCGTTGAGTAAAAAGGGCCGCAGCTCCGTGTTGAGGGTTTCTGCCCCGTTACTTCTCCGCTGTTTTCTTGTCCCTCTTGTCTTACTTCTCCGCTGTTTTCTTGTCCCTCTTGTCTTTTTATTTTCTTCGCTGGGGACTCATCAGCCACTAACCATTCATCCAAATGACTGTGCTCTCCAAATATATTAAAATTAATATTGAAAAGCAAACTGCTTGCCAAACTGTATACAGTTAAATCGACCGGACTTCTTTCTGCAGATGTGAGCGTCCTTAACAACGGTCAATAAATCCTTGACAGCGGTCTGTACTATGGATTAACAACATGTCACATGTTCTGAATTGACCAATCAGAATCGAGTATTCAACTAAGCCATGTAATAAAAATATATAAATTACATAAATAACATATTAAAGTATTGAGACCATATGAAAATGTTGGGACATTTATAAAAAAAAAGGAATGTTTTTACATCAAATAAATTATTGCACCATACAATTGCAATAAGCGTAAGTGTTTCACGTACAACCACTTTTGAGTTATGTATTATATATGTATTAAATATGTAGGAAGAACAGTGGTTAACAGCATTAACTTGGTTTTCTATCCAAAGGCCATCGGAGGGATCTGCTACCAGGCTTTCTACCAGAGGGTTCTGTCCACAGCCACTGATGCCCAGGCGAAGATCACCTGCTACGCTGCTGCTGTATTTTGCCCAATTCTTGGCATCCCTTCAATCCTCATAGGAGCAGTGGCTGCATCTACCAGTACCTACATTTAACCTTTCTCCTTTTCTATTCGCTATATCACATCATATACAAACTTGCTACCAGCAGTGGAAGAAGAAGTAAAAGATTCAAAGGTTTTATTGTCATATGCACATAAGCTAGGGCTGCACGATATTGAAAAAAACTGACATTGCGATATTTTTTACACCTGCGATATATATTGCGATATGAAAAAATACAGGAATGAAGAAAATATCCGGAACTAGAATTAGTTCATGAGAACCTTTTCACCCCCTTTTCAGTCCCTGCTAGAGAGCAGGTACTTTCATGGGAGAAAAAGGTTCCCATTTCTGATTGGCTGGGCGGATTGCAAACCACGCCCCGTAAAACTCCCAAAAGGTTTTGTGAAGCCGCCATTTTATTTTCCTCGCATTAGCATTATTAGCATTAGCATTAGCCCAGCGCACAAACGGAGAGAGACTAACTTATGGCAACACAAAATAAAACATGGGAGCGGTGGAGATGAGGAGGTGTCGGCGTTCTGGCGATTTACTCGGAAGGCTTCAGTAGAAGCTGCTGGGAGTCCCAGCAGCTTCTATTGAAGCCAGTCCCCAACTCCAGGGACTTCCGGCCGGGGACTTCGGGTGGCAGTATACGCCGTGAAGTTGTTTGCGGCCTGCCAGTAAACCCAAAGCAGAAGAAGAAGAAGTGACGTCAGCGGCTTCATTTGACTAATCCTTCCACAGGAACTTATTCCGGTGTGAACGTGATCTGTACTTAGTTCATCAGAACTAAAGAGCTCTGATGAACTAAGTTCTGATGAACTAAGTTCTGATGAACTAAGTACGGCAAAGTACTTGGTGTGAAAGGAACTAAATCAAATCAGAGACCCGGATGTACAGTGGAGATTAAACTGTTCATTAGCTTTCTAAAAGCAAATACTGTTTATGTTTTTTTATTAAATTGTCACTTAAGGTTACTAAAACAAATACTCTAAGTGAAAAAAACTACTGAAACAAAGAACTGTCACTTAAATGTACTAAAACAAATACCAATTACTGTATGTTATGTTTATTTTACACAATGACTTTATACTGTCTTTGTCTTTTTAACCCGCTTTTATTGTGTGAAATAACTGGCCTCAGCCTGGCCCCCCCGGGTCAAATTGGTCTAGAACCGCCACTGAATACTTGAGTAAATGTACTTCCCACCTCTGCTTGCAACTCATGTTTCTGTTGTGATTACATATGCCTAATTTCTGGCAGACTGGAACCAGACCAGCTACGGTTCCCCCAGCCCGTATGAAGAGGGCAAAGCTGGCATGATCCTCCCCATCGCCCTCCAGCATCTCTGCCCTTTCTACGTCTCTCTGCTCGGTATGGGAGCTCTGGCTGCTGCCGTGATGTCGTCCGTCGACTCGGCTCTTCTGTCTGCCGCCTCCCAACTGGGCCGAAACATCTTCAAGAACATCATCTACAAAGGGGTAACTTTTTATATGATATGGCCTAATGTGGCATCTTTAAGCTACTGAATAATGTGTCATTTAAATGAAAGACTTAGAGTTTAAGCCATGCTCTGTGAGGGTGTATCTGCACCGCAAGGCTTTGAGCATAATTATAAATGTGCACATGCTGTCAGGATGCTGACACGCTAACAAGGCAAACATGCTGTAAAGCAGGTATTAGCCGCTTTCACACCAAGTACTTTGCCGTACTTAGTTCCCAACATTTAGTTCCCAGCACTTAGTTCCCAGCACTTAGTACCCCCATGGAACTAAAGAGCCGATCGCGTTCACACCGGAATAAGTTCCCTGGACCCTGAGGGAAGATTAGTCAAATGAAGCCGCTGACGTCACTTCTTCTTCTTCTGCTTTGGGTTTACTGGCAGGCCGCAAACAACTTCACGGCGTATACTGCCACCCGAAGTCCCCGGCCAGAAGTCCCCGGCCGGAAGTCCCCGGAGTTAGGGACTGGCTTCAGTAGAAGCTGCTGGGACTCCCAGCAGCTTCTACTGAAGCCTTCCGAGTAAATCGCCAGAACGCCGACACCTCCTCATCTCCACCGCCCCCATGTTTTTTTTTGTGTTGCCATAAGTTATTCTCTCTCCGTTGGTGCGCTGGGCTAATGCTAATGCTAATAATGCTAATGGCAGCAAATACAATGGCGGCTTCAAAAACATTTTCAGAGTTTTACGGGGCGTGGTTTGCAATTCGCCCAGCCAATCAGAAATTGGTACTTTTTTCTCCCCAGGATAGTTCCACCTCTCTAGCAGGGACTAGAAATGGGGGTAAAAGTTCTCTGAACTAAGTTCTCTTTTTGGTGTGAACGCAAAATTCCAGGCACTAACGGAACTAAACGGGAAAAGTATGGGTAAAAGTACTCCGGTGTGAAAGCGCCTATTATGTTTACCATGTGACCCTCTTGGTACAGAATGTTAGCTAACATTTGCTAACACTAAATGCAGCTAGGGTTAATGGAAAGGTCATTCGATTTGCAGACAAATGGCTGAACATTACATTTCCGTTGAGTTCTTTGTTTGTCTTTATGATTACTATTTATACTTTAATGAGACATTCTTGTAGCCTACATATGCTGATAGCTTAGTTAGTCCTGAAGAGAAATATCACTTTATGTGACGCTCCATTATTTAAAAAGGACCCCAAAGCAGTGACTGATTTAGGTCAAGTTTTCACGGTGTTTAATAAAAAAAATGCAAACAAAAAGGCAGGCAGTGATGGCTACGAAGCTAGCTGGTTAGCAGAGAGTTGTCCAAGGAAAAAACACTGGAGAGAATCAAGGCTCCAGGCAGCAGAAACACTCTGGTTTAAAGAATATAGTAAAAAAAAAATGGCAGTATTTACATTGAATATGCATGGTTGTAATCCTAGAAATATAAATGAATAAAATAGTACCTACTATATTCTACTATAGAATAGTACCCAATAGCCGCGTTCACACCAAGTACTTTGCCGTATTTAGTGCCGGCACTCAGAGCCCCGGCACTTATGACCCCAGGGCATTTAGTACAGATCGCGTTCAGTACTTTTCCCTGAGGGAAGATTACGCAAATGAGCCGCTGTCATTTTGTCTTCTTCTGCTTTGGGTTTACTGGCAGGCAGCAAACAACTTCACGGCGTATACTGCCACCCGGAGTCCCCGGCCAGAAGTCCCCGGAGTTGGGGACTGGCTTCAGTAGAAGCTGCTGGGACTCCCAGCAGCTTCTACTGAAGCCTTCCGAGTAAATCGCCAGAATGCCGACACCTCCTCATCTCCACCGCTCCCATGTTTTGTTTTGTGTTGCCATAAGTTAGTCTCTCTGCGTTTGTGCGCTGGGCGAATGCTAATGCTAATAATGCTAATGCGAGGATAATAAAATGGCGGCTCTACAAAACATTTCAGAGTTGTACGGGGCGTGGTTTGCAATTCGCCCAGCCAACCAGAACTGGGGCACTTTTTTCCCCCAGGAAAGTACCATCTCTCAGCAGGCACTAAAAATGGGGGTAAAAGTTCCCGAGATTAAGTGCTCTTTTTGGTGTGAACGCGACATAAGGGGTACTAACGGAACTAAACGTGAACATTACGGTGAAAAGTACTCCGGTGTGAACGCGGCTAATGTCCCAAAACATGATCTCCTCTATTTCAGGCGTCAGAGAAACTGATTCTCATGGCGGTGAAAGTGTCGGTGGTGCTGTGTGGGACAGCTGGAGCCGGCCTGGCCATGACGACCTCGTCCGTCCACTTGTTCTGGATCATCAGCTCAGACGTGCTGTACTGTATGATGGCTCCTCAGGTGATTTGCATCTTCTACCTGTCTCGCTGGGTGAATTACTTAGGGGCCTGCTTTGGTTTCGTGCTGGCTCTCCTGCTGAGGGTTCTGGTTGGAGAACCTGTGATCGGCCTTCCTGACCTGATGCCTCTGCCCTGGGACAAGATCCAGGACGATGGTACTCGATACCGTTTGTTCCCTTTTCGAACCGCAATCCTGTTCATCACCCTCGGGACTATTTTCCTAGTGTCACGCCTCGCTGAGTGCCTGTTTGAGAAGAGGATGCTGGGAAGTGAGGATGAAACAGACGCTACATGTCAGGAGATGAAACCGATGAATAAAGAACAGACAAACACATCTTTAGATTGATAAATATATAGATCAGGGGTGTCCAAACATTTTTCACCAAGGGTCACATACAGAAAAATATTCGAAGGGCCGGGCCACTCACTAGAGGCGAGGTATACTGCCTCATAAGTTAAGTTATAAGTTAGCAAAATCAATCAAAAGTAGGTAAATGATGCTTGATACTTGAATCTGCTTTAAGGAAAATAAACAGCCTACATCCAAGCTCTCCAGAGAGTTTCATTTCATTTGTTAGCAGCTCATCCCTTAGGAAATAGGAAGGGTATATTTCTAGTTATTGGGCTTTTTTCTTATCGACTTTGAACATATTTTCAAATTTAATTGACTGAATTTATTGCAAATTGGGCTTATTAACACATGAACACTACTGTGTAATTTATGTTTACAGATATATTTAATAAGTACAATTCCCGCATCACTTACAAACTCCTCCTCCTCACCTACAAGTCCCTCCATGCCCTCTCCCCTCAGTACCTCACAGATCTCCTCCATCCATACATCCCGTCCCGCACCCTTCGATCCTCAGACTCTGGCCTGCTCTCCATTCCACCTTCACGCCTCCACACCTTCGGGGACCGTGCCTTCAGTGTCGCTGCCCCCACCCTCTGGAACTCCCTCCCTGCAGAAATCCGCAACGCCCCTTCTCTGAACATCTTCACATCAACCCTTAAAACTCATCTGTTCAACATCGCCTTCCAACAATAACTCACTCTCCACCCCCACTTACACTTCCATTTCTGCCCCCTGTTTTATGTTTTATGTCTTGTCCTTGTATGTTTCTTTGTAAAGCGACCTTGAGGTTATGAAAGGCGCTATATAAATTCAAGTTACAATTATTATTATTAATTCAAGAAAAGCTCAAGTTTAATTTGTGGGCCGTATTCCATTATACTTTTTGAATGTCCCGCGGGCCGCTTTTGGCCCCCGGGCCGTAGTTTGGACACCCCTGATATATCTGGGGATGTGTGTGGTTCATTTCTTCTTATGACTTTTCTTCCTTTAGCGAACAATATGTGCTTTAATCAAAACAGAACAAAAAGGTGTGAAGCAGAGTGGGATCATGGGAGTTTGTATCTTTCCAAGCATTCCTGCCATTTGAGTTTCTTACAGTCAGTGTCCTTTATTCTCCTCAAAAAGAAACCTGTTGTTTTAAACTGTTGAAAACTCAGAATAAAGCTATTTCCTGTTTATAATCAGGCTACTGACTCAATGTACTCAATGAAAGGCAGGTTTTTCTATATGTAAAATCATTTTTGATCCTAAATATCTTTGTTTTCGTCTTTTCTAAGCTCACATTGTTCTGCTGTCTTACATATAGGGTTGCAAAGGGGCGGAACATTTCCGGTAAATTTCCGGAAAGTTTCCATGGGAAGTTAAGCTGGGGAATTTTGGAAATATTCGATGCAAAATTATACAAAAAACATGACATTTCAACAGATTTCTTTAAAAAAAAACTGTTTTAAGTAGAACAGAACAAGTTTTAATTATTTCATTGAACAATTATTTGTTTCATTGAAGAACGAAAACAGGAATGTTGAGTTAAATATTACTCATCCCCCCCAACCTCACTCATGTTTGCACCATTTTCAGGCGATTTGTAATCTGTTCTAGAAAAACGATGTGTTTTTGGATATTTGGGGAGTTAGGTGGTCCGCAAGTGTTTTTTTATTGGTTAAGTGGTCCTTGGTATGAAAAAGTTTGAGAAACATTGTACTAGATGAATACATTTGTATGTGATATTTGCAATTTAAACATTAAATAAATATATTACCCCATAATATCATCAAAACTTACTTCACTTTGTGTAGTCCACAGGCTCGAATGTGTGGCTACATTTGTCTTGTGCTTTGGGCTCAAAAGTGTGGTCCAGTCTTCTCGAAATCATCTGTGCATGTGATGGAGGAATGCACAGTGCCTGTAGGGGGTGTGGTCTCAATAGCCATGCAGTAAGCAGTGTGCTATGGCATGGATATTCATGTGTACTTGAATGGCATCTGCTAAAATATACTTTCCCCAACTATATTTAAGTTCCCTATGAAGAGCCAACCTTCAATTTAGAAAATTCCCAGTTAATTCCCATGGAAAGTTTCCATCTTTGAAAATTCCCGGAATTTTGCAACCCTATAATGCACTTAAAAATCAATTGTTGCTATACAGTCAACCATCCGTTATGACAAACTGAATACAGATATTTAATTATGGTATTAGTGTGAGGAAAGTCTGACTTTAAAGGGGACCTATCCTGCAAAATGCACTTTTTGATGTCTTTTATACATAAAGATGTGTCCCCGGTGTGTCGGGGAACTCACGCAGCGTCAGAAAATAAAACCCTCTCTCTTTTCCTCCGTACCCAAATCTCTAAAAACGGGGCTACAACGGAGCTGATCCAGATTTGCGTCCGATATGACGTAATATCTGAAATGTGGACCCACGGCCCTATCAGAAAGTTGCTATCAGAAACAATGCCCGACTGTTTTGGACGTAATATGGTCGGTGTTTACATTAGCATCGCTAATAGTCAGAGCTAACCTGTACTGGAGAGCATGTGTGTGAAGAAGCAGGAAATAAAAAGGAACTCACCTTGTGGTATAACCGGCAAGAGAGAAAGCCTTTGAGCTCCATACTGTTTCAGAAATAATCCTTGATAATCCATGATATGGCGTTTCATCACGGCAGTATTTAGTTTAGACAGTAGCTGCCGGGTCCCGCATGAGCTCAGCCCCCCCCTATTTTATATCAATTTTTTAAAGCTTTATACCCCAAATCAGCACTTTTGAAACAGGAAGTGAAATAGAGGGATATGAGGCATGGCTAGAATGGGTGATCTGTTTGGTATTTTGAGCAAAACACTTCATAGACATGTTTTTGATATCTTTTTATATATATCTGAGACCTATGCTATTGCCTAAAAATAGCATGATAGGTGACCTTTAAAAAAAAAGTTTGGATTTTGTTGTCATTTAAAATGAGAAATCTATCAATTTAATGTTATATATGGATCTATTTGGTTTAATTTAATGGATGGCAACTTATCAACCATTATTTGTGTAACTTTTGTGAAACATAAACCCTTATTATTAGGTACCTTTCACAGGGCTCATGACACACAGCTTGATTAAGAAAATCTTCCACAGATAACAAACCAGTGAGACAACAGTTCTTTGCTATGTGTGTTTATTTTTCTGCAAAACATCAAAAACAGGTATATATTCTTATTGACTTGAGTTAAGATTCACAGCAGAAACTCATCAAACCTTTGAAAAGCTTTCATCGTGTCCACGCTAAAATAATATTGTCATATTTTCATCATCATCATCATCATCATCAGAGCAACAACACACACCTACTGCTGGACGAGATGATATCCAGCCTGTTGTCTAAAACAAAAGCAGAGTAGCTGTGCTGTTTACATGGTTACGTAAAAAAGTGAGTGGTAAAAGTAGTTCCTACAGTTTCCACAAAGACTACAACATGTTATTATCACATTATCTACAAGTACATGCGTTGAAATGCTTCGTTATATCGTTACATGATTCATTGAGGGTTGGCTACGTTGACTAAGTACAATGTTTGGAAAATGACATTTCTTTCATCCTATGATTTTGTAATGAAAATGATTGACAACTCTGAAAAATACTTTTAAATGTTTACTACTCCCTTGTAGGCTATCTCACAAGTTAAGGGTAACATCATTTCCTAAACGTATTGTGTCACATCACCTGATTATATGAAACACAGCAGTGACAACAAAGGGCTTTATTTGTTGAAACTGTTAGAGCCAACCACCCATCATAACTCAAATTGGTAGTTTTTAAATCCAATGATCAGAAAACAATATCCTAACATTATTCTATATGTGTTTTCACTACCTTAACCACCATGGTGGCTTAACACACGCTAACTAAACGTTTATAAAATGACAATTATACAGTAGCTATGTGGAGAAGATACGAAATGTTTCTTTGATTAATAATCATCGCTCGCCTCCTCTTCCTCGTCGTACTTCCTCTTGACCGAGTGCTTCTTGTGCTTACCCCGGTGTCTCCGTTTCCCGGCGAACTCGGGGTTAGCGTCCCTCGTGTGCGTCTGCTCGTGTTTCTTCAGCAGGCCGGGCACGGAGAAGCCCTTCCCGCACGTTTCACACGTCCACGGCTTCTTGCAGGTGTGCGTCCTCTTGTGCACGTTCAGATGGGACGCCAGCTTGTAGGTTTTGCCGCAGACGTCGCAGCTGAACGGCCGCTCGTTGGTGTGCAGCCGGATGTGGACCTTCAGATTCCCCACCTGGGTGAAGGTCTTCTCGCAGATGGAGCAGCGGTACGGCCTCTCTCTTGTATGGATCCTCAGGTGGACCCTCAGGCAGTATTTGCTGGAGAACTTCTTCTGGCAGACGGGGCAGGGGATCTTAGCTTTGGGCACGTGATCCTGCTGGTGCCTCTTCAGGTCCGACAGGTACACGAAGGTCTTTCCGCACTGGGAGCAGAGGTACTGGCGGTCTCCGATGTGGTATCCCATGTGTCTCTTCAGCAGGCTGGGGACGAGGAACCTCTTCCCGCAGCGCTCGCACATGTGAGGGCGGTCTCGGGTGTGCCAGCGCTCGTGGTTGGACAGCTTGAAGGCCGTGGGGAAGCTCTTGCTGCAGTGCTTGCAGGGGAACGTCATCTGGCTGGTGTGGCACTCCATGTGGCGCTTGAAGTAGGTGGACTGCGTGAAGCCCTTGTTGCAGATGTTGCAGTAGAAGGGCTTCTGGCCGCTGTGAGCCAGCATGTGTTTGGAGAGGCTCTGCAGTTTGGTGAAGCACTTCCCACACTGCCCGCAGGCGTAGGGGCGCGCCGTGCTGTGCGTCTTCAGGTGGTTGTTGAGGAATGCCTGGGTCCTGAAGCTCTTGTTGCAGGCGGTGCACACGAAGGGCTTCTCTCCGGTGTGGATGCGCTCGTGGTCCATCAGCTTGGACTGGTACGGGAAGCTCTTGTCACAGACGCTGCAGGTGTATCGGTCCGCCGGGGGTCGGATCTGCTTCTTCCTCCTGATGCTGGGCTTCGAGTCGTCGTCTAACATCAGCCGGGCGGGGGGGAGGGGAGGCAGGGCGGGGAGCGAGAGGGAGTTGGTGGCGATCTGTGACACCCACTGATGCAGCGTGACCCGATGAGTGTTGGGCCTTTGGGCGTCTTTTGTTGCTGCTGCACTCTGAGAGGTGGACTTCACGGGCATCGAGACGACCCGGAAAGGGATGGCTTTTGGAGCCGGCTGCGCTTCTGGTTTATCCGCTGCTTCCCGTTCCCCTGGTGGTTCCTGTGTACTTTTCTTTTGCACCGATTCCTCCGTCCCAACGGTGTTTGCGGCACTTTTTTCCTTCTCTGCTCCTCCATCAGCTGTGTTAGCACCCCCCCCTGTCTCCTGTGGTCTGATGTCAGGGGTTTCAGCATCGTCTGACATCACTCCGAGGTCCTCAGCGTCACTGAGGGAGGCTGAGCTCGTTTCATTGGTTGTTACTTCTACACGTTTTGGGGATGGCGGCGGTGGAGGTGGAGGAGGCGGAGGCGGAGGTGGCTCGACTGGTTTGGGTCGGAAGGCGAGTGAAGAGAGGACGCAGTTTCCCACGGAGGACGAGATAGTTGCTGCATGAATAGAAAAAGTATGTCAACATTTAAACATATATGTACATTCATACAGTTACTACTGTTTATTTGTATTATTATTATTATCCTTATTTATGTGTATTCTCATGTGTACTCATGAGCGTCTTTGAGCATTAGGAAAAGCGCTATTAAAAAACAATGTATTATTATTATTATTATTATTCTGTATCTCAAGGTTCAAGGCGTTTATTGTCATGTGTGCATAGCTACAGTGTAGTTATGACAATGACAATGTTAGTTCCCAGGCTCCTCCAACAGTGCAACATGAATAAAACAGATACCAGGGTATATGCAGGAATCCTGAAGTGAAATGGAATACCTTTTAAGACCTTTTTTAAGACCCTTTCCATACATTTTAAGACCTCATCTCCACTTTGAGTTTTAACCGGTTACATTGGCGACACACTTTACCTCACATTTACTATATACAGTATTGATTGTCCTTCCTCCTTATCTTCCAACCATTTGGACGCAAACTTGCATTTCCCCATAACGATGTTGTTTAACAACCGGCGTAAACGGACCTTCGTGCGCTATCAAGCAGTGAGCGTGCGATGTCCTGTTCAGATGACGTCAAATCCAACGGGATGCCATAAATAAACTACACAGAATCACACTACACACCTACGCAATGATTACATTCAGGCAGACTGTAGAATACAACCTCTTTGGACAATTTATATACTTAATGAAAACAAGCTACAAAATGTAACACCTTGGAAAATGCCGTTTAATACTTTTAATACTTTTAATAGCCTTCATTTTCGCTAAATTGATTTATCAACTTTTAATACTTTTTAAGACCCCGCTGACACCCTGGAAAATAGTGCAAGTAAATAAAATAAAATATAATAGAAATTGTGCAGAATAGTCTGTATACAAGTAATTGGAATATTGATATATATAAGTTGCAAACAGATGAACGTTCTTTCAAAAGTCCAGGTGTTTAACAGTCTTATGGCCTGTGGGATGAAACTGTCCCTGAGTCGGCTAAAACACCTGGATTTCGGGGATCACTAAGGGTCCATCTTATCTTATCTGAAGTGTACCTTTAATACCCAGCAGCCCCTTGGCCTGCTGGTGCAGGAGGAGGGTCTTCAGGTCCCGGCTGTCGGGGATGAATCCGCCGCAGGCCTCCAGCACCGAGGGCTCGGCGGAGAGCATGGAGCCGAGCTGAGGACGAGAGGAAGGAACACGGACACAACAAATGAGTTAAGAGCATAGATTTATTGTTCAATATTAGGTTAGATCGTGTTTTTCTTACATGTACATTTAGAATTGTTAGACATATTTATTTAGAGTAGATCACTATTATATTATTTATACAAACACACACATGTCTGAAATTAAAAACCTGATATGAAGTAGTTGCTGTAAAAACGATAACATTTTTACAGCAACAAATTAGTTAAGAGTAGGGTTGCAAAGGGGCGGAACATGTACGGTAAGTTTCCGGTAAGTTTCCATGGGAAGTTAAGCTGGGGAATTTTTCCATATTGAAAACTTTCCATGGGAATTTATGGGAACTAACTGGGAATTGAGGGTAATGTAATCGAATTGTATCATTTTTAGGGTTGCAAAATTCTGGGAATTTTCAAAGATGGAAACTTTCCATGGGAATTAACGGGAATAAACTGGGAATTTTCTAAATTGAAGGTTGGCTGTTCATAGTGAACTTAAATATAGTTGGGGAAAGTATATTTTAGCATAATCTTGACTAAAACAAACAGATGCCATTCAAGCACACTTGAATATCCATGCCATTCCTCCATCACATGCACATAGCACACTGCTTACTGCATGGCTATTGAGACCACACCCCCTACAGGCACTGTGCATTCCTCCATCACATGCACACATGATTTCTAGAAGACTGGACCACACTTTTGAGCCCAAAGCACATTTTTGAACGAGTGGGGTTGGGGGGATGAGTAATATTTAACTCAACATTCATGTTTTTGTTCTTCAATGAAACAAATGATTGTTCAATACAATAATTAAAACTTGTTCTGTTCTACTTACAAATAATCTGTTGAAATGTCATGTTTTTTTAATTGTATCATTTTGCATGGAGGTTTTCTTATGACAAAACAAAATGCTTATATTTATGCTTGGATACGATACAATTCGATTACATTACCCTCAATTCCCAGTTAGTTCCCATACATTTTCCAATATGGAATATTTCCAAAATTCCCCAGCTTAATTTCCCATGGAAATTTACTGGAAATGTTCCGCCCCTTTGCAACCCTAGTTCCAAGTGAATCTGCGGCCCCCTGGTGGCCAGTACATAAATGATGTGGCCCCCACCACCATCCAAATTGCCCATCCCTGCTGTAGGGGGTGTGGTCTCAATAGCCATGCAGTAAGCAGTGTGCTATGTGCATGTGATTGAGGAATGGCATGGATATTCAAGTGTGCTTGAATGGCATCCGTTTGTTTTAGTCTGTTTGTTATGCTAAAATATACTTTCCCCAACTATATTTAAGTTCCCTATGAAGAGCCAACCTTCAATTTAGAAAATTCCCAGTTTATTCCCCGTTTATTCCCATGGAAAGTTTCCATCTTTGAAAATTCCCGGAATTTTACAACCCTAGTTAAGAGTATAGATTTGTTTTGCCTGTTAGGTTAGAGCAGGGGTGTCAAACTCAAGGCCTGGGGGCCAAATCCGGCCCATGACTTCATTTTATGCGGCCCCACAAGAGCTTGCAAAGAATATAATATGTTTATTACATGGTTACATGCCGATTTACAGAAGCACGTTGCCCATAAACTACATGTCCCACAATGCATCTCAAATTTGACTTTTTTCGCAGAATCTTATTTTTCAAAATGTCCTTTATTTTTTTTGACTTTTTTTCCAGAATTTAGCTTTTCTTTTTAAATCATTTTGTGACATTCTCACTTAAGAGACTTATGAAGTTATTACCCTATCCGATAATAATCCAATGCAGAGGCAATCATGTAATATAATACATTATTTTATATATATTAAATATTTATATATGTATTTTTATATAGTCTTATATATAAAACTGGCCCTTTGAGTGCAACCATGATGCTAATGTGTCCCGAGATGAAATTGAGTTTGACACCCCTGGGTTAGAGCATGTTTTTCTTTACGGACCGACAGATTATGATTAGGAAGTTTCCCTTTTTTCTATTTCACAAAGCTTCTGTTAAACGTTGCTCTCAGGTTGTTGTCAAATAGGTCAACATCTAAAAATAATCCAACCAAAACACAGCTTTTTAAAAAGATGTTCAATTAGTTTTTGTAGTCAGGCTTTACAATGTCTACAATTTGTCCAGTCTAAGAAACGTTTACATTTCATTCTTACTTTGTTTCAATGTAGAGCTATTATATTCGACACCTGGTCAAATGAGTTACTGTAATGTGTCCTGTGGATCAACTACAGAAGACATTTATTTGTTTTAATCCCCTAGGATCTGGGAGTAGCGATGGGTATCGTTAAGGTTTTAACGGTACTACTACTTTTATCGATACCGCTTATCGATCCGGTCTTTTAACGGTACTCTTATCGGTTCTTTTGGAAAACTAACTAAACAAATTGTGAACAAAATTAACATGTTTGTATCATTGAGTTAACTCCGTGTGTTGCTGCTAGCATACATAACACCTGACGTGGAAACGTTACTCGTGGATGGGGCTACAGAGCTACTAGAAAGACAGTCGAACCCGGTGCATTCCTCCGTCTGGATGTGGAGCACTTTTGATAAATGTTTAGACAAACTGCTCGTGTTACCGCCCTGACATGCTAAACTCTAATTGCACTTTTGGTAACGAGCATTGTCCACATCGAGACAGGTAAAGTTTAACCACACATTGGAGCGCGTTCTCTCCACCATCTCCTCCGTGTGTGTGTGTGTTGCTGCATGTAGCAGAGCGTGTGTGTGTGTGTGTGTTGCTGCATGTAGCAGCTGTGTGTGTGTAAACTGCCCCGCCCCCTCGCACACAGACGGGGGAGAGAGATCTCTCGTCTGGATTGGAAAGATCGAAATTACTAAAAATAATCAGACGCATTTTGCAGTCTTTTTGCGTATTAGAAACGGAGTTGGCGACACTAAAACTGCAATATAATGTTTGTGTAGCAATAATACATATGACATGTATTTTTTAGATGTCTCCAGTACCGATAAAAAGACCGATAACGTCGGAGCTTAACGGTACCACGGTCTTTAATAATTCAGCCCCGGGGCCCGTTTAATACCGGGGCTCGGTACCCATTCCTATCTGGGAGGAAGCTGTCGCCTCTCGGCCAATCAGATAAAAACGCACTTCCTGTCTCCAACCAGAAGCCCAATCAATGCAGTCTCTGTAGTTGGGCGTAAAGAAGTGGAATTCTTTGCCGAATGATTTAAAGGGCTAAAAGAACATTTTTATGTTTAAAAAAATGTATAAAGAAAGTGTAATTAGAAAGTATGAAGTTGACTTTTGATTGTGTTCTGGTTTTATGTTTCAGTATTTGTAATCAACTGCGACTGAAAGAATATTGCTGACTTTTTAACGGTCATTTCATTTGTTGTTGTTGTTTTGTAAGAAGCGGCAGGTAAAATAAGATTTTCTTCTCCCTGCTCCTTTCCACCATGCGCTATAAAAAAAAACACCCAGTATATGGTTTGTAAAGTGTACATGTTTTGTTTTAAAATAACTGCCATGTGTGGAATAAACAAATAAATCGAAAAATAACAACAAATGTCAGAAAGCAAATGTACAAGTGCATACCTGGGAGAGATTGGGAACAGGAAGAACTTGCTCCAGCTTGCAGACCAGACCTGCGGTGAGAGCCTGCAGCGCCACGTCGAACTTCGTCCCGTAGTGAACGGGGAACACTTCCTGCACGGAGAGAAAGACGTTTGAGTTGTGAGCGCCGATGTGTAAGAGCCATTTAGGCACATTATGTGAAGGTAGTTATTTATGGTTTGGTGAGCCAATTCCATATTCTTTTAAGTTAAAGGTCACCTATTATGCAAAATCCACTTTTTCATGTCTCTTCTACATCAACATGTGTCCCCTCTTCTTCATGTCTCTTCTACATCAACATGTGTCCCCTCTTCTTCATGTCTCTTCTACATCAACATGTGTCCCCTCTTCTTCATGTCTCTTCTACATCAACATGTGTCCCCTCTTCTTCATGTCTCTTCTACATCAACATGTGTCCCCTCTTCTTCACGTCTCTTCTACATCAACATGTGTCCCCTCTGCGTGAAGAGACTCTGAAAGTTTCAGTAACAAAGATTCTCTCACTTTTTGTCCTGATCCATTTCTATAAAAACCTGTCTGAAAATGAGCTGATCAGATTTTGGACACTTTATGATGTCATAACGATGTTTTGGCTTGTGTAACCATTAGCCAATCAGCAACCAAGGTAACCCCCCACCCCCCCACCTTATCACCTGAATCTCCTCCAAGAGCACCATTGTGTTCTTTGTAACCAAATATCTCTCAGAGGGGCGTGGGGAGGGGCTCCTTATTTTCATCTAAAGTAACAGACAGAGGGTGTTTCTCAATCGCGAGTAAAGCTGCTGCAGAGCCACTATTTCAAGCATACTACGTCATCGAGTGCCGCCGAAGTACTGTTCCAATCTCCAGCATACTTGGAAATCTACCGAGCCCGGCGTACTCCGTTTGGAGAAATATCGAGGCTGCACATGAGTAGACTTCGCCGTCTTAAAATCCCCACAATGCTTTGCGCACGGACCAATTTCCCCAAATCTGTGGCGGAAGATGTAAGGCAGGGCCTCTCATATGACGCACACCTGCACACTTGCTAGCCTGTTCCACTCTTTGTTTTCCGAATGGCAGGAAGTATTCTTGCCTCGCTTCTGAAGCAAGATGCTCGGCAGACATGTGCTACCAAGCAAGCGTACTCGCGATTGAGAAACACCCAGAGAATCAGCACTTTTGAAACAGGGCTGAAACAGAGGGGATTATGGGATGCTGCAATGATCTGTTTGGTGTTTCAGCCAATCAGAGACAGGTTCTGTATATATCTGAGACCTATAATATATTGATGAAAAACAGGATAATAGGAGACCTTTAACTCAAATGAACTGAATAACTATGAATTATAATTATAGCGTTTTTGTAACTTTTTGTTTTGCTTATGGACTGCTCTAGTTTTATGATTTCTTATTATTTATAGAAAGCAGAATGTAGTGTGCGTTCTCAGCTATAAGTGACACAGCAGGAAGTCTAGAGAGGAAGTCGGAAAAAGTTTGTGACCGCACAGATCCCTACGCCTGTTGAATTTGTTTGTTTGTTTTATTTAAATGCCCTTCAAATGTTGCAAGTCGGCAGTGGGCCGCCAGCTGATCCATTGACCCTCCCAATAAAGCACTTGAATGGAACAAGCAAGGTATTTAGATTTCTTAAACGTACGAGAGTCAATACTCGAATTTGCCTCGTCGACTAAGTGGCCTTTGAACATTCTGTTTTGCATAATCGGGCACTACAACATGGTTGGACAGATATAAATGAATGTATTGTGCTATAAACACATATATACATATTCACTGTGTTTTAATAAAACCACATCTAAATGAGTGGCAGATGTTAGTGTAAAACAGGAAATAGCTTTTTGTGATGACAACCAACGATGGTATATTACTATATTAACACAGCTGAGGATACCTGGAAGAAGCGCTTTTTTTCTGCTGGGTTTTTGAGCAGGTTCTGCACAAGCACCATGAAGTTCGTTTGGGATTTCTCCACCTCTGGGTCCTTCTGTAACACAGGACATACCGTCACTTAGGTTGAATTGACACACACGCCATGTTTAAACGCGTCCACGACTGCATGATTTCTCAGGGAACAGAAAAAGTCCTTTCTTACCGCTAAGACTTTCAGCTTATTTATGAGCGTTTGAATGGCTTTAGAATCCGGTGGGCCGTCCTTTTGAAGCAAATCCAAAATGATCTACGGTACAGGAAGAGACACTGATTATTATAAGTGAAAGCATGAATCAAAACCTAAGTAAAACAAATCTCATAAGAACTGAAATAGACCTCCTCGTAGGCCTCAAGTATTCAGGACATTCTGAGCAGCTTTTTAGATGTCCATTAACTTGAAAGCAGAAATTCTGCACAGTGAATAGAATAAGAATAGAATATATCTATATTTGTCATCACACAAAGTACAATGCAATTTCCTTGGCAACTCTCACTGCAGTAAAAAATAGACACAATAAATAAGCCTACATCAAAGATACAGGGATATAAGCTATAACTTTAAACACACGTTTTGTTCTTGATGCATGTAATAGGAAATATACGGAGTTCATCTTAGGGTACAAGGACAGATATAGGAAAACAAGCTTTTGTACAACAGCTACTTTGCACAATTGTAATGTATTTATAATGTAATGTCTTACGTATGCATGCATTTTCTTAAAGGTCCCATGTCATGGCCATTTCTACTGATCATAATTCCATTGTTGAGGTCTACTAGAATAGATTTACATTGTTCAATTTTCCAAACTCACATTGGTTTCTCATACAGCATTATAGTATGTGTATTCACTCTCTGTCCTACACGGCTTGTTTTGCCCCTTCTGTTTGTTTGTTTGTTCACCATGTAAAGCAGCCTTGGGTCCCTTGAAAGGCGCTATACAAATGTCATCTATTATTATTATTATTATTATTATTATTATTATTATTATTATTAAAGCTCCTTTGAATTTGATATTCGCTCACCCTGGCTCTCAACCCCAGGACGAGCTGCGCCGTCTGCTTGAAGCTGATGAGGTCGGGGACAGTTTGCGTCACCATGGTAACAAACTCCTCCACTTTCCCGTACTGCTTGACGTTTCTCTGCCGGATGACCTGCCAGATGTACGAGTAGGTGAGCTGCAGGGGGGAGGCCATGAGGCGGAGGGAGGAGAGGGGGAGGGCACCTGTGAACAGTCAAAGTCAACTTTATTGTCAATCTGTCAGTTTGTGAGAACGAAGCGGTATAAAAACAGTTTTATCCCAGCAGCTATTGCACAAATTAACAAATCATAGGAGCGTCACACAGATGCCTATTTATTTGATTATGAATTTTGAATGTCCATGTTTGTACTAGTGTTTTTCTTTTTAAATGTTTTTAAATATTTTGAGAATTGACGGAGCAGGGTCTACTTTTATTAGAGATGTGTCTGTTGTCTGTGTTTGTTTTAATGTGTTTTTATCTGCAAACTAAATCTACCTACGGGTACAAATAAAGAACCTGAACCTTGTGTGTACAGACAGAGAGATGGAAATACCGTTTCCCACAATCCCGAATATAAAATATACAAATATATGTATGCAAATATGTATATACCTATATACAGGGGTGCACATAACTTTTTTAGTGAGTTACTCAGATGAGTACCAAGAGACAGCGTTTGGTACTCACCCCACACGAAGCGTGGTCCTCCTCAGTGTCTCCTTCACTGTCCTCAATTTACACTTCTTGCATGCTAGATGATGAAGATGATGAAGATGCACCTCCCTGTCTCTTTTTAAGCCTCCGATTTGCTTTCTCCAAAACTTGTTGCCAAAACTGTGAAGTCCTTGCATTTCCTGAGGCCAAGTTGAAGGATCAAATACTAAGAAATGATCACATGACTTGAAGTCATATCTGATTTCAAATGTGGGAAGTAACAAAGCACACTTATTTACTCAAGTACAATTTTGAGATACTTGTAGTTGACTTGAGTATTTCTATTTTATGCTACTTTGTACTTCTACTTTTACTCCACTACATGTATTTAATACCTTTAGTTACTTTACAGATGTGGATGAATGATGTGAAATCTAATCAAGTGTTAAATCAGACTTTAGTTCCACCTGGAGTAAATCCACAAGCTACCCTGCAGTATACAAAGTCATTCAAACTAGCTGCACCTTTACCAGCTTTGAGAACACTTGATCAATCATTATAAAACATATCATATATATTATTCTGAAATGGACCAATCTGCACAATGACTACTTTTACTGTCTCTACTTTCACTATATTTTGATGAGAATACTTTTCTAATTTTACTTGAGTAACATTTTGAATGCAGGACTTTTACTGTAACAGAGTATTCCTACACAAGATCTGAGTACTTCTTCCACCTCTGTCTGATTTCAAACTCTTCCATAACACCCTGAGTAAGTTTGCAGCTGTGTGTTTCACTCCACTTTGGTGTAAATAAAACTGCAGCAGCTTGACCACAGAGCGTGAACGTTGTGATCAGATGATTTTGCGCAGTTCTCCAGTGTGTGCGCGGGGCACAGAATGTGCACAGGGGAGTCTCCCACCGCAGCCAGTTGGCGGACTTTTGGCACAATTCTGTTGTTTATACCGACGTTAACCCTGTCTGTGCACACGGCGACCAACTCTGTCGTCCAGTGATCTAAGCCTCTGCCTCCTGGAAAGCTTCACAGGTCCGTCGGTTATGTCCTGCGCGGCTCACCCAGCTCCAGTTCAATCAGTCATAGAAAGATTTTTTGCAGGGAGCGAAACGGCAACGTAGCTGCTTAATGTCTTTGGGTTTTTTGACATGCCTAGTAGTTTACTCCATTGAGTGTTGACAAGAAACACGTGTAGACGAAATATGTGTTTTGTTTTGATGTTTTGAGGTACGCAAAGGCGCGTAGTGACACAAGTGACGTTATGCAATTCAGATTTGTGCCGCGCATGCGTACCTGCGTACCAGTTATGTGCACCCCTGCCTATATATACACAATCAAATACACATTAATACATATACACACATTAAGACCTAAATAAAAGCACAACAATCAATATATACAAAAATAACAGTTAGGAAGATTTCTGTCAGAGAAATAGGAAGCAGGTTTACTTTGTTTTGGTCTATTGACAGAGAAGTAATCGCCAGCTATATCGATATATATCTTAACTATTCATCCATGATTGACAGGAAAGGCTGTTTTCAGCTTCTCAAATATGGCGCATTTTCTCAGTTCCTATTAAACTGGATATCTTCTGGTTTTGGACGGACAAAAGCAGACAACTGAAGACACCACTTTGGATTTTGAGAAATTAGGATAGACATTTCCATAGACTAAACAATTATCCCAAAATGATCTGCATGTTAATCAATAAAAAGGAATGATAGCTATTATAATACATATCAAAATGATAACAATAGGGCTTCCACTAATTGTTAATTGAAGCAGGGCCACCGCTTGCAGACAGGCAAGTGCTTGGGGCCCCGGACCAGAAGAGGGCCCCCAAAGAAGGTAGGCCCACAGCAATGACAACATGAAACACCCTTTAATTTACTGCAACGACATGTCGGGAAACCCCTTCAAGGCGGCCCCATGCATAGCGCGCCGTTATCTTAAGTTCCGTTGCCTTGCTCTGCTCCGGGGGGGGTTCTGTCGGCTGTGCGTGGTGATGAAAAGCTGCTTCGAGGGGCCCCCAGTGAATATTTGCCTAGGGCCCCCACAGACTCTAGAATCGGCACTGAATTGGAGCAAAGGGTTGCATGAACACGCCTGCATGTTTTAAAGCTGTGAATGTTGAGCCTGTTTTAATGATAATGAATTATGGTTTTACTGAAGTTTAACTAACTTATTTGCCCTTCAGTAACAATGTATATCCACCGTCTATAAATTATAATAACATAACAACGTTTGTAACACGTGTGTTACAGACAGTGGTGTAAAGTAACTAAGAAAATGTAATTTTGAGGTACTTGTACTTTACTTGAGTATTTCCAATGTTTGCTTCTTTGTACTTCTACCCCACTACAGTTCAGAAGTAGATGGTGTACTTTTACTTCACTACATGTATTTAATAGTACCTTTAGTTACTTCACAGATGTGGATTAATGATGTGAAATATAATCAAGTGTTAAATCAGAGTAAATTCACAAGCTACCCTGCCGTATACAAAGTCATTCAAACTAGCTGCACCGTTACCAGCTTTGAGAACACTTTAATGATCAATCATTATAAAACACATCATATATATTATTCTGAAATGGACCAATCTGCACAATGAATACTTTTACTTTTGCTACTTTAACTATATTTGATGCTAATACTTTTCTACTTTTACTTGAGTAACATTTTGAATGCAGGACTTTTACTTGTAACACAGTTTTCCTACACTCTGGTACTGCTACTTTTACTCAAGTACAAGATCTGAGTACCTGGTTACAGTAAACCACAGGATGTGCAGGGGGAACCTGTAGGGGGCGCTGCAGAGCTGACACATGATGAATGCAGATAAGCTGCAGATGGGTTGGTTTAGGATGAAACTAAGCGGGTACGTTTGCGTGTGCACGTACAGTCGGGAAGAGAATGAGCGCCAAAGTGTTACCTAGTTAGATTCAAACTAGTCTGATTAGTGTTTAGTGGGAATACTCCTGGTTGTTGTTAGCTTAGCTTACCACGACGCATCCGGAGCAGAGGACGGTTTTATTTTAAATCCAGCGGCATGGACCATCCCTGCTTTATCTTGTATTATTAAACAGCTGCAGAATAACCTTAGAAAACTCTGCAACACGTAACATCAGAAGCGAAAAGCCAGTTCTCCGCAACACGTGGTTTTCTTTGAGTCTCATTTTCTAACCGTTGTTCCCTTAGCTACAGTTAGCTTGGTAGCTTAGCAACTTACCTGTGGTATCGGACCGTTTCTCCATCCTGTGCCCGCGTGGGTTCCCCTACTTCATGAGAATGTGCACCGACTACACAGATACACTCACGGTGTTGTAGTTTAGCCCCAAATATAATGTTTAAAAGTCATTAAATGCCTTTCTTCCGACAGTCAAGCCAGGAAGAATAATGGCGGCCGCTGGGTAGCAGCTTTCCAAAACAAAAGTCCGAGTGTTTCCGGCGGAAACGAGTGTACAAAATAAAAGCACGGTGAATTTGCAAAGAAGGAGCAAGTGGAAGAGCGATTTGTCAAATAAATGATCATCAGACTTGTATATAATGAATTGTATTTTGATGTTATCATTTATTCTTACTAAGAAAAATAATAACAGTTAAAAAAAAAAGTATATCTTAATGTGTAATAGTTTCTTTATATACTTTTTTAAATGTTATTTTTTCGTTCTTGTTTTTTCCTTTTTTTCAACTGTGTTTGTGTATGCACCGTGTACAGTTGGCAATACAATTGTTCCTGATTTCTGATTTAATATTTTGTATATTGTAAATCCTTCACATTTCTGCTCCACACTACTTCTTGTCCGGCAGTGGCTCAGACAGTAGGGGCTTGGACTGTGAGTCGTAGGGTCGCCGGTTCAAGTCCCCAACCAGACCTAAATATGGAGTGTGCTACTTGGAGATGTCCCAGTTCACCTCCTGCTCTGCCGTGGTGCCCTTGAGCAAGGCACCAGACAACCCCCTTACCCCCCCACTCCCATTGCTCCCCGGGCGCTGTACAATAGCTGCCCACTGCTCCTAGTACTAGACTCCTGGCACTACTGTGTGCTCTGCATGTGAGACCATTAAAGAGGGTTTCATCCCTCTGATTCTATCTATCTATCTTTTAAAATCTGCACATTTCTCCACTTTCAATATAGTTTATAATGTTTGTCATATTTTATTATATTTGACTGTACTCATTTTATGACATAATTATATGTTGTGTAAATATTGTCTTTATTCTGGATGTTTTACAATAGTCTTAACATTGTTTTTTAAAATAGCTTTTATAATAGTACTATTTTAATTTGATTCTATTCATTTGCTACATATTCTTCTTTCTGTGTCTTCGTATGCACCATGTATACCAAAGCAAATACCTCGTATGTGTAACTTGGTAATAAAACCGATTCTGATTCTGATGTATAGTTAAAAGACATTACATTTGTTAGATGCTTTTATCCAAAGCAACTTACATACTCAATACTGTGGGCAATCCCCACAGGAGCAATTTGGGGGGAAGTGTCTTGCCCAGGTACACAACGACATGCTGACTGCAGTTGGGTTTGAACCAGTGCTCCCCTGATCGGAACACCAACGCACTAGTCCACTGCGCCACACGCCACCTGACAATATGACAATATCCATCATTGCTCATTGTGTTGCATAACAAATGGTTTAATTATTACAAATTGAATCACCAACACATTTTATTGATGCTATTGTCATTTGTGCAATCAACAACTATGGCAATAAAAAAATGCATCATTATTTTGCAGACAACAATAATATGATGTACCAATATATATATATTTTTGACATTGTCACAGAAAATACATATACAGTAATACTGACATTGGGCAGAAAAAATATTGTAAACATTTAGTAAAACGGGCCAAATGATCATTATAATCTGTTACATCTTCTACAGTAGCAGATTATAATGATCATTAAGGTACTTATAATGTGTTTTCCCAGAATGTTCACAGTATTTTGTCAAACCCTGTATACATTCATTACTTGGTCTATTTTCCAATTGCAAAATTACAATAAAAACATCATTAAATGTTTTTTTACTAGTAACAAAATAACTTAAACATCTCATACAATACAAATGCACATTTCCACCGAATAAAAAAAAAGAAAAGTATGCAATTTGGTCACCAGAAAAAAACAATTGTTGTAGACCTCATGTACTACATTTTTAATAAAGGTATATCTTTCCATATTTCATTGATGTGTCTCGGCAGTAAATCATACAAGTACAGAAAACTGTTATTCAGATACTGACCATCCTCTGTATTTGAGGCTATACAAAGCGTATGTGGTCTGAAGATTCTTTGCCTGTCGACTCATACGGGTCTGCCGACATCAGTCGCGTTTGTAACTGGCATTTCCTCCAGCCTACGGCCAGTTCTTTTGTGGCGAGAACAAGCCCTCCTTATGCTTCTCACTGAGCTCATCCGACCGTCCATCTATCCATCCCTATCTCCCTCACTTTCCCCCGTCCTGTCTGTCCTGTCTCTCCCTCCCTCCCTCCCTCCCTCTGACACATGCAGCACAACAGCGCTCACACTCGGGTAAGTCATGTTCTCATGACTGAACATGATTGACTCAGTGAATAAGGCTTTAAAAACACACTGACTGTGCCCGGGCAGCAGCGATAGATCACTGGGCAACAGCTTTGAAATACAATGAAGGGATTCAAAGAGCCTCTGGCGATGGCTATCTGCCATCTGGTCAGATACACAAAGCAGAGCACTTGTCAAAGTGCTCGGCCTGTTGTTCGTGACTATAGCAGGTTTGTAATTTGACCGATCGGAATAAAGTCAACAAGTCAACAAGACAAGCTGCTCTTTGATTCCCCTTTTTACCTCTGATGCTTTACCGAAAAGCAGTATTGATAGGAATGTGCATCATGTACCCCCCAATATGTTTTCAGTAGACGTAGAGCAGGTGGGATTCAGTGTGTTGACTGTTTACTCTACAGCAGTGAGTCTCGGAAACTAACAGCAAACAAATTGATGACAGGAGTCCCATCTCAACAGGTAAAGACTTCTGCCAAACAAAGTGATATCATGTTTGATTCAAGCCTCCGCGGATAGCTCAAAACTGGAGCATGGCAACACCCTGAATTGACATGAGGCAGTAATAAATAAAAAAAAACTCAGGCTGTTAAACACTGGCCAAGACAAGACAACTAATGTACTTCACCAGCCATTTTGGATCACAGCCAGCCAGTGTGTAGGGCGTTCTTCCACTGGTCCCAAAAACCTCTTTGGATAGTTAAGTGCCAGAAGTGCTTGGGGAATATTTTGTGACACACCTGCTTTCACAGCAGGTGAGTCGTCTCTCGTAGTCCGTGCACTCAGATGAGTATAAGCAGTGTCAGAAAAAACATTTGTTTATCCAGAAGGCTCCTGGCACTAACAGAAGAACCTGGAGAGTGAGTTGTTATTCTGTGTTGCAGATTTCCCTTTTCTATTAATCATGCTTCATCCGCTCTCATGTTCAGGGATCGCCTCCCCCACTGGCTGAGTGTCAGCGGCGTGGGTGAGTGTTTGAAGTGGGATGGAGATAGACACAGTTGAGAGCGTGTCAGAAGGGGCCATTTGGCTATTTTCAGTGTTGCAAACTGGTAAAAGCTTCCTAGACTTGACCTGAAAGTAAAAAGAGAAAGAGAAAGTAAGACTCACTGTCTCAAAAGTGTTTTTTCGTTCCTGTTTTCTATGACAAATAATACACTTCCAAAGCGGAAATCATCACTTTAGGTAATGATGAGTTCTCAAAGTACTGCTGAATATTTCATGATGTTAACTTACCAGGAATTGCCTTCCTGGAAGTGCTCACCAAAATGAAGGCACATTATCATGAAGGGTTAATTAGGGCGAACCACAGTAACCCAAAGAGATTAGAGTGAGTGTTGTTAATGGAATATTTTCTACCAATAACGGTATGTTTAGATGGAGGCGCCTAAGTTTCTTTTAATATAACAACAACAACAGGATAACCACTATAATTTGAGGTATATGCCATCTGTTATATAACGCCAGGATATGGTCCTCTATAAATAACTAATTGTGAAATGGCTCCCAGCGGAATCATTCATTTATGGAGAGCCGGAAGTCCAAAGTGAAAGTGCTCCTTGTGGTATAGAATCTATTCAGTCCTTTTGAGTTGGACATTATCACCCTTTTATACATTCATGCAATTATTAGCAAAAGAGTTATTTCTGACGCTAGTTTCTACAGCATGGAGTATGTACATTAATGCATAGTTTTTGTTTCTTAGTCCAATTTATAATAAAATAGAAAGCATATGTTTAATGGCTAACTTGTGTTTTACCGGTTGCTTTATGGTGTTGTGTTTTGCCTTGTAACTTAAATCCTTGTGTCCTTTTTTACCTGCTAGAAAATGTATTATTTTAGCATTTAGCTTAACTTAGCTTCACTCTCTGTGACACTTTTGGTTGCAAAACACAACATGGCCACAACCTACTTCTACTTCTTACATGCCATCTTTGGTCTACTTTGGTTTACTTATTGCACGTTGCTTTGGATAAAAGTGTCAGCTAAATGCAATGTAATTTAATAATATAATGTCTACAGCCATGGTAGCATCTCTGTGGTGCAGCAGTGCTTCGAGCTAAATGCTAACATCAGCATGCTAACATGTTCACACAAACAATGCTATCATGCTGATGTTTAGCCAGGATTTTTACCATCTTCACTGTCTTAGTAATGACCTCATGCTGGTCAATTACTTTTTTTCACACATGTGTCTATGTATTGTATATTTATCTATCATACAAAGTGAAAACTAATCTTCATGTTTCATAAAGTAGCTAATCCACTCTGAATAATTACTCACCAGCCACACTATGATGACAACACAAGCTGTGAAGGGGATGAGAGCCAGAAGCAGTGGATATCTGTTGGACCAGCTGTACTTACGACCCTCCCGCTGACCACCTGGAACAAGATAATATATTTAGAAATCTGATCCTGACTATGCCAATCATCTTTTTTAAATTCTTTTACTTTTTTTTTATTCCACAAATATATAACAGACATGAAGATGTACATAACACAAATCACACCCGCCTCAGTTTACAGTCTACTCAAATCTACACGTTATTGCTCACACATACATACATTACCCCTTTCCTTCCAAGTCTTGGCAAATGATATATGAATATAGACATTCATTCATTCATTCATTCTCTGACGTTTCCCTGGGTAGACAGGTATGCTTACAAATCCGAAACAGGTTGCTAATCATCTTCATGCTTTTTTATTGAAATAGCATCAGGGATTCAAGTGGTTCTGTCTCTCAAAAAGACTCACGTTGACAAATGCATGGTGTAAAAACACACTTAGCAGGCTTTTATGACCTTATAACCCCTTAATTACCTGTGTGTTCAGGGTTAGCTTGCATATCCGGTTCCTATCCCCGGTTGTGTTTTCTTGACCACAGAATCAATATCTGCCAACAAATAGGCCACTAAGCTTCTTTAGTTGTTGAGGAAGCCATTACAAATGCAAATGCATGACCATACCTGGTTTTTGTTGTGAATTAAGGCATGGTGGTGGCTTGCACGAGAAACCGGATGTTCCTTTAGAGGCCGCATGTAAGACGTCTTTGATGTAGTCAAAGTAAAGGCCCGACGTCAAGCTCCCTTCCTGATAGTGACACTGGAAGAGTTGCATCGCAGTTTCCTGGGGGATCAACAGCACAACAAGCAGCTCTGATAAACCTCAATTATGTAATTATATGTGCAAAACAGACCCTGAATGTGCAAAATATGACTTCCTAAAACTGAGCTCAATCCTTTCCAATTACTTACGAGCTCCTCATGGTCAAAGGTGAAGCGTAAACTCTTCAGCATCGCAATGAAGACGACTACGTTTTCTTTGTTGGAGGAAATGGTGCCAAACATGTTGGCTAGCTTCCTTAGACTCTGCTCCAAAGGATAGATGTTCAACACGACCCAGCACGTGCCAGCCTGCAGATGTGTACCAAAGAAATTATCACTATTTGTTCAATCATTAATAATCTGTTTGACATTATTCCTTCTTTCACTTCCTTATATACTCACCACTTCTTTGGGAATGTAACTAACAGGAATCTCATAATCAGAGGGGATATTCTGCTTCTACAGCGGAGAAGATGACAGAAAGATTTGTGTAGGGTTAAATACAAACACTAGAAACATGTATATGAATGTATGGGTAATATGCATCAAGCCTGTATTAACTCACCAATAATGACAGCTTGCTCACATCGTCAGTAATCGGCGTCCCAAATTTTCCAGAGCAGAGATTTAAACTTGTGAACAGACTCAAGAGGAGACAAGGTGCTTTCAAGATCTAAAAGACAGAAGAAAATTAATGCTCTGAAAAAACTGAAAGGTTGACTTTAATTAAATGTTTTATGTCAACATAACCTTATTGTGAGTAATTTCTTTTGACATTTAAGGATTACAGAATATTTTTATATACACAACATCAAAGCAGTCAACTCTTTGATGACCATAATTTCCATTACAACATGAACGGTATATGAAAACACGTGCAAATAATGTCATATATTATGTGTACAAAAAACAAAGAAAGGACAATTTCTTTCTCAAACAGGATTCGATATACTGTAGTATAGTTTTACTTTGTTTTCAAGGACTCAGGGACTTTCAAATTATACCAAATTCTCTGCTTTTCTTTTCTGAACGAGACAAGCTACACCTATAAATACATTTGTCCAAAGGTAATACACTTGTTTTTTGAATTTTTAAAGCAAAAAAAGCCAGACATTCTCCTCCATTTGCTGTTTTTTTACATTAGCTTAGGCAAATTAATCATCAATGAAACTGATAAAATACATAATAGTTAGTTACAACCCTAGTCCAAAATAAAAACTATTTAGTTTTATTATCATTAAGGCGTGAAATGAATCCACGGATTCATTTCACGCCTTAATGATAATAAAATAATAAGACACTGCAGGACCAAATGCACAGACATTTTTTTGACATCTGCTTTGACTATTTGCCACTTGAAAGACTTTAAGATATCAAATGCAAAAAGCATGCAATGAGGTTGAATCTGATGAATCACACTTCAAAGTTGCCAGAGTGAGTGTTGGCTTCAAAGGATTTTTTCATCCTTGTAAAATGAATGAAATGAATGTGCAGATGGACGTCTGGGAACACACAATCTCTTCTGTTCGATATATTGAGTCAAAGTAAGTCCTTTCTCTTGACTTCCCCTTTCAGGAGATTACTGTCTGCTTTTTGTGCGACTGTGTCTTTGTGTGTTTTGAAAAGCGCTATATAAATTAAATGCATTATTATTATTATTATTATTACAACACCAGCAGTGACTGTAGACCTCTTAACACGTTTAGAACTGATGTATTTATATATTTAATTGACACATTTATCACTATTAAAAGAAATACTGAGGTTTTGTTAGATGAGTTATTCTTATTTTTTACACTGCATGTTTAGATAGGAAATATTTAAGCACTGATGTCTTAAATTCACACATTTTTCACTACGATTTATTCAACACTGAAAAAATAAACACTGTGAGATAATTGTTCTGATTGTACAGTAATATATTGTAAGAATAAAGAAGAATATACAAACATACATCTCTCTCTGTTATTTAACCATATAATACAGCTGCATCACTGAATACACTTTTACAACAAACTGTTTATGTAACAGAAATAAATTATACTTACTTTCTTCCTCATATGGAGCAAGAATCCGTGGTTGCTTAAATCCAAGGCATGAAATGAAGTGTTTCCAGTTGAGAGACAGAGCTTATTGTGTGTGTGTGTGTGTGTATATGTACATGTGTGTGTGTGCGTGTGTGTGATGTCCGAGCGTCTAGTGAAACTTGAGGATGGGCTGCAGTCTGCTCTCGCTCCAGACAGATTGGAGAAGTGATCTGACGCGGTGGAGAGGCCGCCTACAGGCTGAGTCACCGTGTCACACACTGCATCTGTCTCAGACTTTTTCCATAAACTCCTACGTATCAGTGTGTTCATCAGGAGAAAGTGGGCGACTGTTCTCCGGAGGGAATATTCTGCTTAGAATAAGTCAAGGTTACTCCCAAAACTACTGTTTTTTGACAAGTGAGAATTAGGTTTTTGGTACAGCTTGAAGGTGTTTTGAGGGTGGCTGATTTTCATTTTTTCAGTATTATTATCCATTTGGATTAATGGATTTCATCATCATCATCATCATCATAATTTATTCACAACTAAAAAAAATCATGAGACATAATGGAGACATGTGAAATGGGACACCTCAATAAGCTATAGGAAGCTTGAGCCCAGACAATAAGAACATAAAACGTAACATATTTTCTTTATATATCATTAATACATAAGGAATTGAGAGAGTTCACGCATTATTATGAAACATTACAACCCAAAAACATCCGACACCGCATTTCATCTGATATATTTGCTTAACAAGTGTCGCTTTAAGTGGGTTTCAGGCTCGAAAATGACATGCCCAAAACAAATGACTACAACTTCACTTCTAAAAGGGTTATATGAATAATTTCTTTTATCAAAGCAAGGTTACATCTGTGAGTTGGATGTAGAAGTGTCAGAATCAATATAGATTTTTCTCAGTCAGAGTAAATTCAGATGGAACATAGTAAAAAAAGGTAAATTCTTACCTCCGCCTACAAAAAACCCATTACTTATAGTGAAAACCACCCTTGGATGATGGGTTAGTAGACTAAAAGCTTTAGGAATCCAAACTGTAACATACAATAAGTACCCTGTATCAAGATTGAGGCAAAACAAGTTAAATTTGACCTTTTTAGAGAGGTTTAGCAAAAACAAGTTCCAGGCGGAATAGGCTTTCGGCACATTTGGGTATATCTGGTTCCATCAGTGCCATTTGACCTTTTTCAGGGACCAGACTATAAAAATGATGTATTACATTGAATTATCACCATAGGTATTCATTCCATTCAAAGAAAAAAAATTTAAATTAAAAAAATTAATAAAAAATTAAAATATTAAAAAAATACTTTTTTTTTTTTTTGAATTTGTGAAAATAAAAAAGACCCGCCGAGGGGGGCTTTGGGGCTTAACAGGCAGACAAAGATACACAATTTCTTTTTAATAGATTTTATAGATAGAATAAGATTGTTTTGCCTATTAGCAAATACACCGTTGAAGTCAGTAAATATGAAGTAAAAGCCAATATCATGTATGTTGTTGTGTCCCTGGGAAAGACACTTCACCCCAGGTTGCTCCTGTAGAGATTGCCCATAGTGAGTATGTAAGTCACTTTAGATAAGAAGTGACATGTAATGTTGATTTCTATTATCAAATCAGTATCAATCACAAAGGAAAACACGTAAAAAACAAGTAAAAGTGCTGCACGTCACACAGTATTATCACTAACCTTTGCCATCACTGCGGTGTGGAATGTTAAAGCATTGCACAATATGATATAGCCTGATTTTAATACAGTCTATGGATTTAGCGTATGCTCTGTAACAGGTATGTGACCAAATGACCTCTCGTGAATGAAGTCACAATCAGGGTACTTTGCACAGGAGAGGTGGAAGTGAAAACGCAGCAGAGCTGAGTCAGGTCGTCTAGAACGGGTTACGTCTAACCCAGACATAACAAACACACGACTGCAGGCACGCGCTCACATCAAAAGGTGAGACTCATTGTTAACATAATTACACTTTTGAGGTGTTAGGTGTGACAGATTTACACAGATGTGACGTTAGCATGTTGTAAGTGAGTCCAGCTTGAGTTTGTTTTATGATAATAATCTTTATTGTGAGCAGGAAGATATAAATGAGGAACTTATGGAGTTTGCCTTTCGATGAGAGCATTCAGGATGCCTACAAGCGGCCATGTTCAATATAAAAATGTTTTTTCATATCGTAGAAATACGACATGGTTGCAGGAGTGTCTCACTGAGTGGACAGCCACTCATGAAGGTAAACATAATACTGGTTGTTAAAACATTAGACAATCACAACAGGAGAACGTTCATATTGTCACAACATGTATTTAATCCCTTTAGTTACTTTGCAGATGTGGATGAATGATGTGAAATATAATCAAGTGTTAAATCAGACTTTAGTTCCACCTGGAGTAAATCCACAAGCTACCCTGCAGTATACAAAGTCATTCAAACTAGCTGCACCTTTACCAGCTTTAAGAACACTTTAATGATCAATCATTATAAAACATATCATATATATTATTCTGAAATGGACCAATCTGCACAATGACTACTTTTACTTTTACTTTAAGTATATTTTGATGCTAATACCTTTGTACTTTTACTTGAGTAACATTTTGAATGCAGAGCTTTTACTTGTATCATCCTTCACTCTGGTACTTCTACTTCTACTAGTACACGATCTGAGTACTTCTGGTACTTCTACTTCTACTAGTACACGATCTGAGTACTTCTCCCACCTATTTTCACATCTATAATTATTGAATGTTGAGTACAGCACACAACCATTTTCCCACCACCATCAGATCTTTCTGTGTGTTTCTGAGCTCCACTAGGTGGTGACGTGTTCGCCAACAAAGTCCTGTATGATGCGTCTGGATCTGGAAACTTGGAATGCATCGAGCTTCTTCTGCAGAACGGAGCCAACCTCAATGTAGCTTCGCCTGCCAGCTGCCCATCCACAGAGCTGTGAGGACTGATACCAATCATCCAGCATTACTCCCATGCATACATCTTAAGAATATCAGAGTTTTAGATGTCACCTATAATGCAAAATCCACTTTTTCATGTCTCTTCTACATCAACATGTGTCCCCTCTGTGTAAAGAGACTCTGAAAGTTTCAGGAACAAAGATTCTCTCTCTTTTTGTCCTGATCCATTTATATAAAAACCTGTCTGAAAATGAGCTGATCAGATTTTGTAACCATTAGCCAATCACCAACCAAGGTAACCCCCCCCCCCCCCACCTTATCACCTGAATCTCCTCCTAGAGCACCATTGACTTCTTTTTAACCAAATATCTCTCAGAGGGGCGTGGGGAGTGGCTCCTTATTTTCATCTAAAGTCACAGACAGAGAATCAGCACTTTTGAAACAGGGCTGAAACAGAGGGGATTATGGGATGCTGCAATGATCTGTTTGGTGTTTGGAGCCAAACACTTCAGAGACATGTTTTGTATATATCTGAGACCTGTAATATATTGATGAAAAATAGTATAATAGGGGACCTTTAATGTATATGATATAGTTACAGAAAGAAAGACATTCCTGGAGTCAAGTTGCCATTCCTCTCCTCTCACTTAGAGGCCAAGTTGATCAAACTGTGAAGTGTCTCTCTCTGCACCTCACAGCTCTGCCGTCACTCTGGTGATTTTCCACAAAGAGCCTTCTGTGTATCACTGCAGTTTCATCACTGAACAACACTGCAGCAAAACCACAATCTAATGAACATGTTTCCCGATGTCCTGTTTTCTGGTTTAAGCATTTGTTTTTCACTGTCTCTGGTTTTCACTCTCATGCTGTTTCCCTCCCTCCCCTCTCTCTGTCCTTCTCAGAAAATATTAAATTCCAAAACAGCTTGATTGGCACCAATGTAACAAGGACAATTGCAGAAAATCCTTCTTTTGTGTTTGTGTGTGTGTGTGTGTGTGTGTGTGTGTGTGTGTGTGTGTGTGTGTGTGTGTGTGTGTGTGTGTGTGTGTGTGTGTGTGAGAGAGACCCATGAAGAGCTGATGATATATATACGTGTCCAAATCAACTGTTTATCGTCACACATGTACACTGCACATAAGTGGTAATTCAGACTCTGCATTTAAGCCATCGTAGTATTTGGATGTACTATACTAACCCTCCATCATAGAATTATCAGAATCATGTGTGCCTTGCTCAAGGGCACCACGCCAGGTGAACTGGGACCTCTTCAAGTACCAGACCACACTCCATATTTTAGGTCTGTTCGGGACTTGAACCCTACTGCCGGACACAATACTATACTATACACTATATATTATTTACTATATACTATACTATACTATACTATACTATACTATACTATACTATACTATACTATTCTATACTATACTTTGCTTACTGTACTATACTAACCAGGTTGACTGATGACTGATATACTGTGTATATACTGTATATGTGTGTTTTTTAATTAGTTGAAAGCATTACTATTAAGTTTAAATACAAAATATGTATTGCTTTCAACTAACCTAATAAAGTTATGTGAAATCTTTTGACCTAATACATTTAATTAAAGTCAACATTTCAGTTTTTCAGTGCATACAACCCACCAATGAGCCAACAAAACAAAAACATTCAATAAACCACTTCCCAGATTTTTGTCTTTTTCCATTCTGTGAGTTTGTCTCTGTGTCGTGGCTCGCAGATGGTCGGTAACTTTGTAAGGAACTCTTGGACTACGTCGGTCAACATCTGTCCTGTCATCAAGCGAACCTGGAGAAGACGCCAGAGTGGGAGGAGATATCTGACAAACTGAGTAAAACTTTAAATCTGTCCAGGATGTTTAGCCATGGATAAGAATGTGTAACTGGAGGCTTGTTGTTATTTCTGTGTCTCCAGGCAGGCAGACATCTCTGCAGCACTTCAGTCGACTTCTAATCAGAGGTCACATGACCCTCGGGATGCTGAATGACCCTGAATCTTGCTTTCCATTATCCTCCGAGACTAAATAGCTACCTGACCTACAGAGAGAACGACCTCTAGGGCCGCCTCTCCTCTACGTGAAACACTTTTTATCTATACCTGTGTGATGGAAACACTCATCAAGAGTCACTTTTCTCAAAATATATTAAATGGGAATGCATTTTCTCTGAAGGCCTACCACTTATTTTAAGTGTCAGAAAAAAATATTACTTCCTATGCTTGAAAAGTTAAATGTTTTCTCTCTTTATTGAGTCTTCTTATTTTGCATTGACATAGCACATTCTGTCTTTGTTAAAAGGCGATTGATTAAGGGCCATGATGGATTACAATTCTTTTTTAATTAAGGTGTTAGGAAAATATCCTGTGTGTCCTTTCACAAAGAAAGTACTTTGTGAAAGGACACACATGGCTTTCATTTACTTGTTGGATTGATCTGTCTGGAAACATCTTTAAATCTGTCCAATAGCAGGTTTTTATTTGATGTTTTACAGACAGTTAGTGACAGTTTTTACAAAAAAAAACCTTATCATTAAGAAAAAGACGAATGAAATAGGTGTGTAATATAGCATATGCTATCATTTCAATAAACGTATGTGTTTCTTTATTTTTTGAACCCTAATGTCAATGTGTCAGTGTGAATTTCAAATACCAGGCTGTTCACCCATGTCCCATCTACCTTGTTTACCTTGACTTTTTTACGCATAAGAGCTTACCCGGGTAACCTAAAAAGTGCAGACTAAAAGAAAGTGTTCATAAAATGTCTGCAAGAGAGCAACGAAACAGCTGGTCATTCGGATAGGGCCTTAAATGCACTTTCCACTCACACAGGTGTTTTCACTTCATGCTTATTAGACCTCAGCTCAAAGAGAATATAGGCAGGGAACTCGGCAACCAATCAGAACCATTTAGAGGTGAGACGTCCCGCCTTAACAGGTGCAATCAGACGCAGTCCTGAGAAGAAGTCTAATTAGGAGGTTAAGTGAAAACACCTCACTTTGTACTGGCTATACGTGATCATATTGTCTATAATCAATAAGGCCTTCTACAAAGTATTGTCCCATATGTATAAGAAGTTATTTAGCAATAAATCATTTTTGTTAAACAAATACTGGAACAACTGTGGTGTTTTTACTTTAAAAGCAGTTTAGGGTTTTTGTGCTCTTATTCCATGCTGGGTCTGGCTGTGTCTAACAACAACTATCACTCAACAGCAGATTAGCACAACAGAAATATGAGCTGTTTAAAGCCCTTAATAATATCAGCAGAACTCCTGTTATTGTATTATGATCTCTGTGCCAGATTGAAGGATCTGTGATGATAGTGATGGTGGGGCAGTAATGCATTTGCATGTGAAAGTGTTGATGTATTTAAGAGACATATAACCTCACAGCAGAAAGGTTTGCATTCTCTAAATACAAGTTGAGTAAATTGGCACTCAACCAGACATAAAAAGGGGAACATGTGACAGATTTAATCCTGAAGTCAAGCTTATTTACATCACAAATTCTGTAATGCAACACAGGTCATAATTCTCCCACTGTTATCCATTTGAAGCATCAAATAAAGTCGAAGCATTTAAACAACAGTCAACCACCATGCTAGCAGTTCTCTGAAGCCTGCTTGAAGCTAAATGCTAGTGACATCATTTTCACATCTCTGTCTATGAAGATGCTAACATGCTCACGTTAAGTAGGTGCAATGTTCACAACGTTTACCATCTTAGTCTAGTGTGTTAGCATGCTAACATTTGCTAATTAACACTAATGTAATGTGTAGTGACAGGCCATCGTCCAACCCAGTCTCACGGCATTTCGTGTTATAACCACGAAATTAATTTAATCTATTGATTTGTGTTCACCAACATGATTTTTGATGTGTTTTCGTGTCACACAGAACGATTTTAAAAGCAATGTATTTCTATTGGTAGTATATTTCGTGCCTGCACCACGTCTTTTTGTCCGGTTGGGTCTTGGAATACCAGAAGCTGGTCTTACTCAATATCTTACCCTAAGCCTAACCCTAACCCTTTTATTTTAAATTGTATGATGTCGGAGTTTTTTTGCCGTCCGCGAGGAAAATAAATGGGGCTCAGAGCCTCAGATTACTGAAATCTGTATTTAAAAAAAAAATGTTTCCTTCGAATTTGTTATTATTTGGTGCAGGCACGAAACATACTACCAATAGAAATACATTGAAATCGTTCTGTCAGAATACTGAAATCTGTATTTTTTGTAATCTCTTTTTCCTTCTAAGTTGTTATTATTTACATTGCTTTTAAAATCGTTCTGTGTGACACGAAAATCGTGTTGGTGAACACGAATCAATAGATTAATTTCGTGACTATAACACGAAATGCCGTGAGACTGTGTTGCATCGTCAAACTGCTAGCTAGGCTAAAAACCCTAGAAGCTGAATTAATGTATATTACTGGAGCTTAGGGCCTTATTTGAGTTTTGATGGTGACTCTCATGTCAAAATCTACTAAGTTAACAGAAAGCTAACAAGTTAGAGGGTAGGAAGAAGAAAGAACCAAAAAAAAAAAAAACGTACATATCTCAGCCCAAACCTTAATCCTAAAGTAACAAAACATAAATAAACCCTTCAACCCTAGCTATCTTCTTTGTTTCATCCTCTAAATGTATATCCGGCAGTTTTAAAATCATCCAGATCAACTGACAACAACAACAACAACAGAAGATATACAATTGAGTATTTGGGTGATAGCTTATCTCTGTTTATCGTTTTATAGCTCTCTTCTGTTGTGTCCAGTTGTTCTTTTTTGGCCCTGAACAAAGCCACTCATGCTGTGGTGACAGACAGCTACGTTGACAGGCCACAGTATCTGAGCTCACATGCTTTTTGTGGCTCTCAAAGCAGTGCCTCCTAAAAAAGACGCTGCATCATGGGGCCCACACTTTGGTACGTTCCCCTCTGATCCCTCTCTTAAGGCCAGAACGGCAGCTGGAGAGATTAGACAGGAGAGGAGAGGACACACACAACACACTCATAGCAGTACGAGAGGCCAGGATAGATCTGGTTCAGACCGGTTGGAGTACGTACTTCACCCAGAACCATTCACCTGAACTGGACCTCTTATGACCGTGGATAGCTAACTCACGTTGGACCTTTCGTTGGACTCTCTATCTCGTTCATTTTGGGATTCAGCCTGGTTAACGTAAAACTCTAGTGTTTCTGCGGTTCAAACGCTCCGGCCATGAGTTTTTTCGGGTACCGCAGAGAGTTGAGTAAGTACGAAGATGTCGATGAAGACGAGCTTCTGGCTTCCCTCAGCCCTGAAGAGCTGGCCGAGTTGGAAAAGGAGCTCGTGGACATCGATCCTGACGCCAACGTGCCCATAGGACTCAGACAGAAAGACCAGACGGACAAGACCCCGACGGGCACCTTCAGCAGAGAGGCCCTCATGAAGTATTGGGAAAATGAGACCCAGAGAATATTGGAAGACGAGATAGCTGGAGGAAGCCTCAAACCGGTCAGTATTGATGTTTAATTAGATTAGCTTGGCATTTCTACAATGTGCTAGTGGCCTAAACGGCTTGTTTGAAGGTGTATTAGATGGAAACCAAGACAAAATACTTTAAAAAGTTCAAAGTAAGTAGCAATTTAAAGGGGACATAAGAGGAAATTAATAACTTTCTTCCACTGTTTCTTCAAAAACCATATGCGATCATTTAGCTCAATAATATACATGTCTTTAAAGTGGACCCATCATGCTATATTTGAATAATATAGTGTAGGACCATACCTATATAAGGCATATTTATCCTTTTTTTTTTTCAAAATACCAAACAGATCATGCATTTTAGCCATGCCTCATTTTGCTCAATTTGCACTTTTTTAGCCCTGTTTTTGCAAGGGCTTATTCAGTGAGAACAGCACCATCTAGAGGCCTGGCATATGTACTACAGCGTCTCCAGCGCTTTCGAACGGCAATGGCCGTGGCTGTCTCCTCCTGATTGGTGGAGTTGGCCCAATAGCCGTAGCGCCACCGTCCTGACGTCAGGACAGTGTTCAAATCTGGATCAGTTTTTATCAGATCCGTTGCAGCCCCTTTTTTAGAGATTTGGGAATGGAGGAAAATAGAGAGGGTTGTGTTTTCTGACACTTGGTGAGTTCCCTGGAACACCGGGGACACATATTCATGTATAAAAGACGTACAAAAGTGCATTTTGCATGATAGGTCCCCTTTAAGAAAACTAAAAGGTACAGCTTTGCATTTGAAACACTAACAAAATGTGATCAAAATACAGGATGAAGAACAAGAGGAGTGTGTGACAGAAGAAAACAGCGGGGAAGAGGATGAAAAAGATGTTGAAAACGAGAAAGAAGACAAGAAGGAGAAGGAAGAGGAAGAAGAGGAGGAGCCGGATGAAGAAGAAGAAGAAGAAGAAAGTGAGGAAGAGGAAGAAGCTGTAACAGAGGAGGAGGAAGAAGATGAGGAGGAGGAGGAGGAGGAGGAAGAAGAAGATGAAGAGGAGGAGAAGGAACAGAATAACAAATCTGAGCCTGAACCCTCAAAGGATTTTGGGGCGCTGAGTTCAGCCCCAATGCTACTGAGGCCACAGAGGGCGGAGCCTATTAGACTGACTCCTCCCCCTCCACCTGCCGACCCCAATGCCACCGGAAACCCCACCGTTGTTGACGAAGCTCTTCAACAAGCTTTGAACAACAGCCCTGAACTCACGGAGGTCAATCTCAACAACATTGATGATATCTCTCAGGTACGAATGCAGACAGGAGAAATTCACTGATGTAAACAAACGAAAATCAAAGAAATAAGACAGAAATTAACTAAAAAAATATAAATTCCGCTAGTGTTACGCAGGGAGTGATCCAAGTCTTGTTTCGTAAATATATTTGTTGATCCAATATCCTCCAAAAGTACAATTATCACGTTTCCAATCATTAATTGCCCTGTGCCTTTTCTATGGCATGCTTGTTTCACCTTGGTAAAAAAAACATTTGCCTGTACTGGTGCGCTAATCCCACCAACACCTGTCTCCAATATGTAAACAATAACAGCAAGAAAACAAATCTCGAACCATTAAATTACATAAAGCAATAAATAGCTACAACAAAACCTTCAACATTTCCCATGATCCCCTGTTTCCAACATAGCTTTGAGATTTAAAGTGTATGTTGAGCTTCCTAGCATCCTGGTCTTTGCTGTTGGGTAACGTTTGGTTGTACACCAGCTTATTTTTAGAACCGGGCATTTTGTCATGGTTGTGTAACCGATAGCATAGTTACATCTTTGGCAAAGCCCACATATTATGATTGGAAAATTACCAAAATAATGGCGTCCACAGCTTTGACAAGGAGTCTGTTTTCAGTAAGATCTGGAGGTTTGAATGCTGGTCAGAGATGGCAAAAGTACACACATCCTTTACTCAAGTAGAAGTACAGATACTTGTGTTTAAAAATACTCTGGTAAAAGTAGAAGGACTGAGTAAACTTCTTTACTCAAGTTAAAGTAAAGAGGGCTTTGAAATGTACTTAAGTAAAAAGTACCCATAACTAGCAGCTGTTTTAAAGAGTACCTGACCTCCCTTTATATTAATAGAACAATAATGTCATTGTTAGCTAATGAATGTTTCCATGCTGAACAACGGCAACATGACAACGTTTTCATTGGTCCCTCTTCTTTAGAGAAGACCAGGAAATGATGGATACACGGATCGTGTTCAAATCAATAGGCACGCAATGACTCTAAATAATAATGATCACGCCACCAAACACACATTCAAACTAAAGGAACCAGCCTGTTTGGGAAATGTGAGAAGTAGAAAGTACAGGTATTTGTGTTCAAAATGTAAGAAGTAGAAAGTACAGGTATTTGTGTTCAAAATGTAAGAAGTAGAAAGTACAGGTATTTGGGTTCAACATGTAAGAAGTAGAAAGTACAGGTATTTGTGTTCAACATGTAAGAAGTAGAAAGTACAGGTATTTGGGTTCAACATGTAAGAAGTAGAAAGTACAGGTATTTGGGTTCAACATGTAAGAAGTAGAAAGTACAGGTATTTGAGTTCAACATGTAAGAAGTAGAAAGTACAGGTATTTGAGTTCAACATGTAAGAAGTAGAAAGTACAGGTATTTGGGTTCAACATGTAAGAAGTAGAAAGTACAGGTATTTGAGTTCAACATGTAAGAAGTAGAAAGTACAGGTATTTGGGTTCAACATGTAAGAAGTAGAAAGTACAGGTATTTGTGTTCAACATGTAAGAAATAAAAGTAAAAAGTAGTCAGAAAAATAAGTAGTGGAGTAAAGTACTGATACCAGAAAAATGTTCTTAAGTACAGTAACGAAGTATTTGTACTCCACTACTTCCCACCTCTGATGCTGGTCAAGTAATAAGAATTTCGCAATAGCCCTAACACTATCAATTTATCAATTTTTCAAAGCTCCTTGTTTCAAATTGTCCTACAGTATAGGAAATATTTTTCTTGCAAAGAACTTTGATGATACTCTTTTTATACTTTTTAGGAAACCCTTATCCGATTTGCTGAAGCGCTGAGGTCCAACACACACGTCCGGGTCTTCAGTCTGGCGAACACTCACGCTGATGACCCTGCGGCTCTGGCCATTGCTAAGATGTTGAGGGAGAACTCGTCCATCACCAGTCTGAATATAGAGTCCAACTATGTGACTGGGAAGGGCGTGATGGCACTGGTTCAAGCTCTTCCTGGGAACAACACCCTGACCGAGCTTCGCTTCCACAATCAGAGACACATGTGTGGAGGACAGGTCTGTTCACCTTTACCTCCCATTTTGTCTCAATATAACAAGCAGTTTAGGGAGTAACAGATTACATGTAAAGGGATTAATTCCAATGTTATCAATAAAGATCAATATATTATAGGTAGGCCTGGAGGAAGGATCTGAAATTACAGGAAAATTATGATATGCACAACCAAAAACAACTATAAATGTGTCGAACTTGTGACACTTTTACTACATTCTTAATGCAATATGTGGACAACTGATTTGTTAAAGCAAAAATACAGTTTGCTTTAAATCCATGAACTATACCATAACATGTACATGCACTAAAACAGTTTTTGTCAGCTCTACTATTCTATAGCCTAAATTTAAGAGTTTCTTATTTTTTCTAAGGTTGCATTGTTCTGTTGTCTTACACAAAATACACTGAAGTAAAAAACATCTTATTCATATTTATTTCTCTTTAAATAATTTGCATTGATGTTGAGGTAAACCAAAAGTAACGGAAAGTAATCAGGTTACATTACTTTTATATTGTGCTACTCAGATTACGTTACTGAATACATTACCCTTACAGGTAACTAGTAGTTGTAATGGAATACATGTTTTAAAGGTCACCTATTATGCAAAATCCACTTTTTCGTGGCTTTTATACATAAACATGTTTCCACTCTGTGTAAAGAGAATCTGAAAGTTTCAGGAAAAAAGATTTGCTCACTTTTTGTCCTGATCCATTTATATAATGAAAAAAATGAGCTGATCAGATTTTGGCCACTTTATGATGTCATAACGATTTTTTTGGCTTGTGTAACCATTAGCCAATCACCAACCAAGGTAACCCCACCGCCCCCCCCCCCACATTATCACCTGAATCTCCTCCTAGAGCACCATTGTGTTCTTTTTAATCAAATATCCCTCAGAGGGGCGTGGGGAGGGGCTCCTTATTTTCATCTAAAGTAACAGACAGAGAATCAGCACTTTGGAAACAGGGCTGAAACAGAGGGGATTATGGGATGCTGCAATGATCTGTTTGGTGTTTGGAGCCAAACACTTCAGAGACACGTTTTGTATATATATATATATATCTGTGACTATAATATATTGATGAAAAACAGTATAATAGGGGACCTTTAAAGTAACCCTCCCAACCCTGATAACAACTCTTGCTTACTCAACCTTTGCCCCTCCAGGTAGAGATGGAGATGGTGAAGATACTGAGGGAAAACAACACCTTGATCAAGCTGGGATACCAGTTCAACCTCCCTGGTCCCAGGATGAGCATGACGGGGATCCTCACCAGGAACCAGGACCGCCAGAGGCAGAAACGTCTTCAGGAGCAGAGACTCCAGCAGCAGGGGGCGCCAGAGGGAGCCGGATACCCCAGAACCAACGCACTGGTATGTAGCTTTGTTTATTCCCATTTCGCCCCCAATCTATTCCCATTTCGCCCCTTTCCCATTTCGCCCCCTGTCCCATGCAGCCCCAACAACAGCCTCTGATTCGTCAACAGACTTCATGCAATGCTTCATGGGATGCATCATTAGATCTATAAACTCTAACCCTAACCATAACCCTACCCCTAAGACCCACGACCAAGCAAAACAAGTATAATTTCTTATGTGGCCTAATGTAAAAAAGGGGCGAAATGGGAAAGGGGCGAAGTGGCAATGGGGCGAGATGGGAAAGGGGCGAAATGGAGAAGGGGCGAAATGGGAATATTTAGGGGCGAATTGGGAAGGGCGAAACGGGAAGACACCATGTAGCTTTGCGATCACATTGTTGAAATAAGCCGGTTGTCGTGGCTTCCTTCATTAGGCACTTTCACACCGGAGTACTTTTCCCAGTATAGTTCCGATATAGTTCAGAAAATGTGCGTTCACACCAAAAAAGAAGCTGGGAGTCCCAGCAGCTTCTACTGAAGCCTTCCCCAACTCCGGGGACTTCCGGCCGGGGACTTCGGGTGGCAGTATACGCCGTGAAGTTGTTTGCGGCCTGCCAGTAAACCCAAAGCAGAAGAAGAAGAAGTGACGTCAGCGGCTTCATTTGCCTAATCCTCCCTCAGGGACTTATTCCGGTGTGAACGCGATCTGTACTTAGTTAATCAGAACTGAAGAGTTCTGATGAACTAAGTACTTGGTGTGAAAGCGCCTATTGTCTTTCTATCAAGCCACTATAGACGCCTTAATAAAGAGACATTTTTAACTCGTTTTCTTTCCTTTAATTGAAGAGTTGCTTGGCCTCCGATGGTTTGGATGATGTTATGCGATGTGTTTGCTCAAAATAAAATAACAAACTTTTACACATGCAACAAAGAAAAAAGGCCTTTACAATATTCAAAACAAATGGGCAAAACTTAAATAAAATAACACACAATTACTGTAGGTATCCTTTCTTTCTTGATAAGGCTTATATAACTTAATAACTTAAAGGGTAATTGGACGGTTAAAAACTGCTTCGACGGCGTCTTTCTAGCAGGTTGCCCATCACTGCCACTTTTTAGAGGAGGCACCGTGGGAATTGTAGTTTTTTATAGTGTGTTGACTACAGACGTCACAATTAGGTGGCCTTTCTTATAAAAACAAAAATACTGGCTCTAACACCGGTAAAACTTACATTTTAGGTACGTTTCCATTGACAGTGACAGAGGGCCAACTTTACAATCCCCGAATGTCAACAAGCGCTCCGGTCCCAGCTGTGTGTATCACTTTTTAATGTCCCCGTTGCCGTCGTGTTTTGAGCTTCTTGCAGCGCTTCATTTATGCAAAATCTTCGAGTAAACACAGCGCATGTTTCGTCAAATTTGTGAATGTTCCCTAAACATTTTTGGGCCTTTGAAGCGTATTTGCACCTGTTGGCCACTGTACATTTCAACCACTTTCAGCACATTAGCCTTTTTTAGTTATAAATACATTTCTAATAATCCATGTTCCTCTCTGTCTCTAGAAAGGAACCTCATCACCTTACAGCTCACCCAGAGCCTCTCCTTGGTCCTCACCCAAACTCAACCGCAGCGACCTGGTTAAAAAACAAACTCCTCCGCCTCCTCCACGACCTCCGCCTCCTCCTCCTCCTCCTCCACCTCCTCCTCCACTGCCACAGGAGAAGAAGAAACCCACCAGGATGATTGCGGAGGTCATCAAGGCACACGAGGCGGGCGGCAAGAAGGTGAAGAAGACGAAGGGTAAGAAAGGCAAGAAAGGGAAGGAGGAGACGAGCAGCATCCTGAAGGAGCTGAAGAACGCCCTGAGGCCAGTGATGGTGGAGCGGAGGGGGGAGGAGGGCAGCCGGCCGTCCACACCAATGAGGTCCGCCCACGACCAGCTGATGGAGTCCATCCGAAACAGAACCGGCGGCAGCCTGAAGCGGGTGAGTGGAGGACGTTTAAAGGTCACCTATTATGCAAAATCCACTTTTTCATGTCTCTTCTACATCTACATGTGTCCCCTCTTCTTCATGTCTCCTCTACATCAACATGTGTCCCCTCTGTGTAAAGAGACTCTGGAAGTTTCAGGAAAAAAGATTCTCTCTCTTTTTGTCCTGATCCATTTCTATAAAAACCTGTCTGAAAATGAGCTGATCAGATTTTGGCCACTTTATGATGTCATAACGATGTTTTGGCTTGTGTACCCATTAGCCAATCACCAACCAAGGTAACCCCCCCCCCCCACCTTATCACCTGAATCTCCTCCTAGAGCACCATTGTGTTCTTTTTAACCAAATCTCTCTCAGAGGGGCGTGGGGAGGGGCTCCTTATTTTCATCTAAAGTAACAGACACAGAATCAGCACTTTGGAAACAGGGCTGAAACAGAGGGGATTATGGGATGCTGCAATGATCTGTTTGGTGTTTCGAGCCAAACACTTCAGAGACATGTTTTGTATATATCTGAGACCTGTAATATATTGATGGAAAACAGTATCATAGGGGACCTTTAAATCATACTTGTCATCCGATGGTCATCTCCTGGTCCTTTTTTCAAACTCCAATCTTGTTATCGGTGGTAGTGTCCCCTTACTACTGTGTCGGATGGAAGAAGAATCAGAAACAGGTTTATTGCCAAGTATAAGTTTACACAAACGAGGGATTTGCCTTGGTGTATATGGTGCACATGTAAACACAGTCAAAGAAGATACATTGTAAGAAAAAGACAAAAAAATAAAATGATTATTACAAAAACCCATTATTAATTGGAGAGAAGAATCTAGATAATTATTTACATGAAATATAGATACCAAAAAAGTACGTACAGTATAATATGACACTCGAAAAAATAAATTAGAGTAACAATGAATTATGTACAGTATTGGCATGAAAAGTGGAATGGTGTGCAGATATAAAAAGAGGTAGCTTTGTATTCAAAAGTGAAGAAACTCGGAGGGTAGAGCAGGACTGACAGTATTGAAATTAACTGTCAGGGAATAATTTCCATAGATGTTTACCTTTTGCCCTCTGACGTAGATGACCAACCTTGGCCATCTGTTATCTCCCTCAAGGAGGGGGCTGCTTTAGCCATGTGTTGTTGTTGCCAGTTTATGACCGGGCAACTTTCGGTCAGAGATGGTTTATTGTTACGACCGGGCAACTTTCGGTCAGAGATGGTTTATTGTTATGAGGACATATGGAACGCTTCCTTCTCGGGGCTTGATGAACCCAAGGTGTGACATCTTCGAGGCCATAAGCGTCAACTGCAAGTCATTCAGTGTCCCCAGCTGTTTAGTCTATCTAGTGAAGAATGTTGATTACCCTCATCCAAACTGGTTAAAACCTCTACGAGAGGACGGTTTCTTCAGAATTGATTATGGCATCTCATCCGTGTGGTCAGATGCCATATGATATGTCTTGTGAATTCTCCGGCCGAAGCTCCAAATAAACGATCAGTGTTTGACATCAAAGCTCCAGCTCTCCATCGTGTCTCTCTTTGAGTCCTGACTCCAATTGCTTCAGAAGTTTCCCCCACATTAACAAGATATTGTTCGTATAGTGTGCATTCATGTAATGCATAGTGTCTACGAGCAGGTGATGCAAAACTGCATTACCCCTACAGGCAAACTGAAGCAGAGAGAAATGTAAATGAGAATTACACAGAGTCATGTTATGTTCTGGCTCTCGACTGTGGTATTATCACAATGCTTTTACAACATATAAATACAAAATATAGCCAATAATAATGTGGGGCAAGCCTTATAGAAAATAATGCATCTGAACTCTGTTACCTTGGTGAAGAGGGTGAAGTATTACCCTGGCTGAAGCTTTAGTAAAGCTTGTTATATTGTTGGAGTGGAAAATCAGCTCTGCCCTCAGATGCCGGGGTCTTCTGGCTGTGAAATTCCTGCCACTTAGAGAAGGTATTTATAGAAACCGTTCAGTGAAACGTTGATAAAGACAGATATGACACTTTACATGCACACACACACCAACAACACACATCCAACAAGAACTGCCCACACACACTTCATCTGTTTACCCCACTGAGGATTGCAGGAATTATAATATTAAAAACATTATGTTTAAAACAAAGTGGTTCCTCAAAAATCCACAAACAATAATAACAGCTTGAATGTCAATCAGCGGGTTACTGTACGTTAGCATAGCATAAAGACTGGAAACAGAGGGAAACAGCTAGCCTAGCATCTTCCAAATGTGACAAAAAATGTTCACAAACTTTCTCTGAAATGTACGGAAGACAATTAGGGCCACATAAATTCTTCTTAATGTCAGAATTATTTTTTGTCAGAATTAAAGAAAATAATTTACCTTTGGTCAGATCTAAAAATACAAAATGTCACATGTGGCCTTAATCCTCTTCCCTAAAAATGACTTGCAAGCTATTTATTTGTAAAAAATAATGACTTACACATTTTTGAGAAACTTTAACAAAATAATTAATTGAAAATGTCTCATTATTTTGAGATTAAGATTAATAACAAGATATTTTTTGATTACATTTGTCCTACATTAACAACTATAACATTTTTGTTAAAATGCTTAAAGATCTGTTAAAATAAAGATTTCACAGCTGAGGAAAGTTGGAGTCTGGCCAGTTTATACCACGGAGAAACCAGCCTAAACCCCATGAAAAGTGGACAATAAAACAGTGGTTTGAAAACCCATAATCATCTATTTTATTTCCTGTATGAAACTGACACAGCATTGATATTTTCCAGGTGGAAATCCAACATCACCTACGATAAAACAAGCAGACGTACAGTACAGAGGGCTGTTGGATGCCATGCTGCCGAATGATGACCCTGGAGGGATAGAAACACAAAATGGGATGCTAAGTAGGCAAAAACTGAATTCTTACTCATGAAAAAATATATATTTACTGGTAATTTGCACTGCAGTTATAACTTTACATGTTTTGTTTTTTTTACGTATTTACACATAGAAATGAAATAATGTACCTGTTTATTGATAAGCTTTCAAATTCAATGTTTTCTTGTAAAATTGTAAATATGTTGTTGGTTGAATTATGTATTCATTTCTTAATATAGCCATTTGGTGTTTACATTACTTCTTGTCAGTGTCTATTCTGTCTTCTTCTTTGGTTTCTGGATGAGGTCCATTTCAAAGAAAAGGGTCACGCTGTTATGTAGCAGAGTTTTTTCTTCTTCATTATCAGTGAGTCAGTTTACTGGTCAAGCAGCACTCATGCATATTCCCACTGAGACACACTCACAATACACCCACTCCTGTCAGAGCGCGTTAGAGCACGGCTTTTGCTGTGTTACTGTGTTTGAACAATTCACAAAGCATGACGAGTGAAGGGAGAGAATAGACACTCACTGCTATTAACACTGACAGAGATGAGACACAAATCACAAGATCACATTTGGAGCAGCTACTGGGTGACGCTACACTACATAATGAATAAAAACCAAGACTGTGACACTGTAGAAATATCTGTTTTAGGGCTAAATATACTTAAAGTCTGTCATCAGCACAGAAACTGAAGCATTGCTGTGGACGGAGGCATCGACAATGTTATATATTAGCCACCTATCCAAAAGGCTCACCTAAAAAAATCTGTTTGAGTTTATGTTTTATTAAAAAAAAAGTCCCCTGACATCAGACAGTGTTTTCTGAAGGGAAGGGAAGTCGCTTTATTCAACGTCACCAGACTCCTTTCACAAAAACAGTGTACCTGGTTTGTTAGTTGGGATTCACTTGAGTCACACAATTACAATAACTATCTTGTTGAGGCAACGGTATATCAGCAACTGTTGTGTTCTGCAAAGTAAAGATACTGTTTTTGAGAATAGAGCCTGCCTGCTATATCAACCCAGTCTCACGGCATTTCGTGTTATTAGTCACAAAATAAATTTAATCTATTGATTCGTGTTCACCAACACGATTTTCACATTTTTTTCGTGTCACACAGAACGATTTTAAATGCAATGTATTTCTATTGGTAGTATGTTTCGTGCCTGCAACACGTCTTTTGGTCCGGTCGGGTCTTGGAAGACCAGAAGCTGTGTGGTTCATAAAAACATGTTCTTACTCAATATCTTACCCTAAGCCTAACCCTATCCCTTTTATTTTAAATTGTATAATGTCTGAGTTTTTTTGCCGTCTGTGAGGAAAAGAAATGGCTCAGAGCCTCAGAATACTGAAATCTGTATTTTATGTCATCTTTTTTTCCTTCTAATTTGTTATTATTTGGTGCAGGCACAAAACATACTACCAATATAAATACATTGCTTCTAAAATCGTTCTGTGTCAGAATACTGAAATCTGTATTTTTTTAAATGTCTTTTTCCTTCTAATTTGTTATTATTTACATTGCTTTTTAAATCATTCTGTGTGACACGAAAAAAATGGCGAAATCGTGTTGGTGAACACGAATCAATAGATTAATTTCATGACTATAACACGAAATGTCGTGAGACTGTGTTGGCTATATAGAGACCTGTTATAGTTTACCATCACTTTTGACATCACTTGTCCTAAAGCAAGTGGTGAAAATATTATTAAAATAGTGCTGACTTTCTCTAAAGTGGCGATAATGTGTTTAGTTTCTGATGCTCCAAACTGATGGCTAGTGTAGGTCGTACATTAACTATTAATAAGTACCTCATACTTCAACAAATCTGAACCAAGAAGAAAGACATTTTAACCAAAAAACAGGTTGAAATGTTAAAATGAAAGTAGTCGGTACAGTAGGTAAAACTATTCTCGATTTATTCTGGATTGGTGGGATTAAATTTGAGATTTATTGATTGAATAGGGGTTAGGGTTTAGGTGTCAGGTTTTTAAGGAGAGACCAGGGGGTGAGAGATGATAGAGTCTGAAGGGTGTGAGCTATTAGCATCCTAATCCTGGTCGTGCTTTTGTTAATGTTTCTTTCAAGAGATCCTTAATCCACAGTGCAGCTGTTTAAAAACAACACGGTCAGGGGATCAAGGGTGGCAACAAGGAGGAAAATACAAATGACATAATAGTTAACCCTTTACCAAAATAAACCAGACCTCTTAGGAGAAACTTTACACTTACATAATCATTGGATGGTTTTAAAAGTGGGCAATTAGTAATGACAACATAGATATTTTGCTGGCTCACATGTTGATACTTTAAGTTCAGTCAGACAACTCACGTGTTTCTTAATATGTTTATTAGAAGCAGCGTATAGTTTGAGTTTGGCGTCTAGGCTCGGGCCTCATCACTCCACAGATTTTCAAAGAACATTGAGTGATGATTAGATAACTATCCCCCGAGCCTACAGGTGGAAGCTGGGGTGGAGGCTGGGGTGGTGGTGGGGCAGGCAAGCAGCAGCAACATGAAACACAGCAGCAGGAACATGAACGTAGCAATAGCAAGTGAACACAGCAGTGCAGCAGCAGCATGAGCGAGGCAGAGGCAGGAAGACCTGGCAGCTTAAATAGAGCGGCATGTTTAGGAGAAAGTGTTTGGTTGGTTGCAAGAGGGACGAGGTGTGTCACGTGTTAATGTATCATTGGTGCTCGAGTTGACTGCCTGAACTAGCTCGCAGGCTTTGCCCCATTTTTTATGTTAAATACCAATGGTGCAGTATACCCTCCACATACTGAAAAGCAGTTCTCAATGGCATTTCCACATCAGTTCAGTATGCACAATGCATTCCTCAGACTAAGTGTCCTAAGAATAAAAACTTCACTTACTCAAGCACAGCACTTTGTCATATCTGTCAAACTGTCAATAGGGATCCTTACACAAAATTCATGCATAAAATGGAGAGACTTCCTGCTTGTTAAATGGGGTCTCAGCACTCAGGGTGGTCAATTGTCCTCATTTACAATTCATGATGGAGGGTTTCTGCACTGTAGGGAAATGAAGTCATCATAACTGTTAAGTGTACACGAGTTTACGTCATATTTCTTCAACACTGCTCTTGTATAACATCTAGCTTTAAGGGCAATTTCACTAAGAGTTGTCTTAAGATTCCTACTCAGCTAAAATCAGATTATTTAATGTCTTGCTGCATCGTAACAGCAATAATAATTGTGTAAATTGTATCAGACATTATGAGGCACTTTTGCATCATCTCCCAAAAAAAGACATTTGACATCCAAGGTGATGTAAGAGACATAATAGCAGTATAAATAATACCCGTTAACAGCCACAAAGTGAACAATGAGTGTTCAAATGGAAAGAATCTAAAGGCAAATAGTGCCACATCACTTCTATAAATGCTTTTGTTTATGTGCTTGTGTGTATTGTATTGTGTGTGTTGTTCAGGGGGGGGGGGGTCTCTATGGAAGCAAGCCTTGCTGACACACTCGTGGAAAGTGTAATACCGCTCTAATCCCCTCATAAACTCTGCAGCACACAGGACTAAAGCTGATGAGGACCATCACCTAAAAATAAATGGTACAGGCGTAGAATTGTTGTGGTCGTTATTGTGACAGTTAATTAAGGTCAATTTTTTCAGTGACTTTTTATAATATTGTTGGAAGTGCAACTTTTACACTTAAACAAATGTACTTTTTCTTTTGAGAAATTGGATATACAGTTTGAACTGTTAAATCGCTATGATGGTTTTTAAGGGTCACTAAGGGTAAAAAAGAATTTACGCAGCTGTCATAATCGAGAAAAACATTGAATTTCCGAGAGTTAAAATGACAAGGAAATAAAACGAATAAGGATAAACTTAAAAAACAGTCTTACATTCCCAGAAAAACATCCCTGAAATTAAAGTCATAAACTTACCAGGAAAACAACAGGTGATAAAAACATGTTTTTTCCTCATCATTTATTCCTATTGCATAAAACACACAGCATGGCGTTGATCTAACCTTGGAAAGTGAAGCAATATGTTGTGATTTTCATTAGTAATATTACCCCTCTCCCCCGGCTCAATATTTATTCATTTTATCCTACATCCATTGGCCCTGATAAACAGGTCATACACACAGCTGTACTGCTACCTGGCTCAGTTGTTGATGTAGAAGTACAGTGTGATAATCCTCTGCTCAGCTGTTCCCAGATCTGTCCAATGCCCGTTACTGCAGGTGATGAGGCCTGTATCCATCACACACACACACACACACACACACACACACACACACACACACACACACACACACACACACACACACACACACACACACACACACACACACACACACACACACACACACACACACACACACAACCTTGACAGACATCATTGCCCTCTTTAACACTGGAAATTATGAATCCTAAAAACATGTTTTGTTAAGGCACATCTATATAAGAGGCTTTGAAGGCAAAGGAAGCCAAAATGCAAGCGTATGTAAATACCCAACCCAGTCTCACGGCATTTCGTGTTATTAGTCACGAAATTAATTTAATCTATTGATTCGTGTTCACCAACACGATTTCCCCCTTTTTTTTGTGTCACACAGAACGATTTTAAATGCAATGTATTTCTATTGGTAGTATGTTTCATGCCTGCAACACGTCTTTTTGTCCGGTCGGGTCTTGGAAGACCAGAAGCTGTGTGGTTCATAAAAACATGTTCTTACTCAATATCTTACCCTAAGCCTAACCCTATCCCTTTTATTTTAAATTGTATAATGTCTGAGTTTTTTTGCCGTCAGTGAGGAAAATAAATGGCTCAGAGCCTCAGAATACTGAAATCTGTATTTTATGTCATCTTTTTTTCCTTCTAATTTGTTATTATTTGGTGCAGGCACGAAACATACTACCAATTTAAATACATTGCTTCTAAAATCGTTCTGTGTCAGAATACTTAAATCTGTATTTTTTTTAATGTCTTTTTCCTTCTAATGTGTGACACGAAAAAAATGGCTAAATCGTGTTGGTGAACACGAATCAATAGATTAATTTCGTGACTAATAACACGAAATGCCGTGAGACTGTGTTGAAATACCAACCTTTTATTGGAGTGAACAATATAATAATTCATTATTTGTCACGCCTCACTGATAAGGCTTGGAGTCCATAACATCTTATTAACCGCTATAGAAGCTAACATCAGCAACAACATCGCTAGGTTTTCCCCTAAACACATCTTAACAAAGGTAATTTCTTACATCAAACAAGTGGAAATGTGTCTCTAAAAGACAAATAATTTAAACCGTGAAAAAGCAAACACATTTTGACAGGCCACTGTGTGTTTGTTGGATCTTTGTTACACCGTGGTAAAGACGTTTTGTATTAAATCTGCTAAAACCTAAATTAAAATATGATAGCAATATTAGCATGCTACTTGTTAGCATGTATAAAAAAGCCTAACATGGCAGACTGGAAGGCCAAGATTACGACTTAAAAGTAAGATGGGGTTAGCAGTTAAGAGCTATTTAACGCAAAGATGAAATTGAGGAATTACAACCTTTGAAATATTTAGGAATAATTGTGTAGCAATACACTCTTGCTGCTAAAGCCTGGTCTGGTGTGACCAGGTAGCATATACAGGCTAATGCTAGCTAGTAACTTTATTGTTCGATTAAATACATCGTTTTTCTCCATTTGTGCTACCATTATATTAGGTTTTGATGTAATTGTTACATGTGTTTTAAGTAGCTGCTCTTGCCTCTTAAGCAAGTTACAGTTTAGCTTTAAAAATCGTTACTCTGGTATCTTTAGCAAGCAATGCTAACTACAGGGTTCTTACACCTTTTCCAAAGTCAAATTCAAGCACTTTTCAAGCATTTTCAAGGTGCATTTCAAGCTTATCAAGCATCTTACAGCTGTTGTAAATTACATATTTATATACACATACTTATCCTCAAATGATTATTTCCCTACCTCACATTAAATCAGATGTTCTTTATGCTATAAACAACCAAATGTGTGTTTCGTGATAGCATTCTACATGAGGATGATAAATTAAAGAAAAATAAAACAAAGTGTAATATTTCAAAATGAGTGACCCATCTGTAAGTAGACTGGGCATCCCATATACAGAACCGCAGTGACGCGTCCTACAACCCGGAAGTAAACTTCTTCCGGTTCCTTCGACAAAAATGCAATGCAATTTCTCCATAGGATTTAGGAAAACTTTTATTAAACTTGTGTTTCTTTAAAAAAAAAAAAAATAAGTATATTATGCCCCTTGTAGCACTTTGAGATTACTTTTAGCAATGAAAGGTGCTTTACAAATAAAATGCATTATTATTATTATTATTATTATTATTATTATTATCATTAGGTTGGACACTCCAAGGGCCCCCCCTATTCAGGAGCCATCGGATGCCCCCCAGAGTCTCTTCACCCCAACTGGACCCCCTGATGCCGAACTCAGTCGTCAGGTGGAGAAACTATGGCAGATAGGTGTCCTCCCCTTTCAGGAAGAGCCAGGCATCACCAGATCCAAGCGCCCCTCCAGTCCAGTGGACCCCCTTCCAGCAGCTCATTGACCGGGTCCTGCGTCCCACTCTCAGTATGCAGATATCCGGATGACTACATCGTTCAAAGTGAGGTGTTGGGGCAGGTAAAGGCGGGGCTCCAAGCTAACCTGAAGAAGAGTGAGTTGGGGTATCTGGGGTCGATGGAGGCTCCTCTTTGGTGCCGGGATGGGTGGGAGGTGGTGGTAGGTAGCAGCAGGTGTATGTGCAACACATCTTTCTTCTTAAGAAAAGCTTTAAGTACAATTTATTGTTTTTGTTCATTTAATATTGAGGAGAGCCAACAGGAAGTCTCTCATCAGCTGCAGCCTTCTTCTTTATTTTCCAAAATGCCTCCACGCTCCTCTTTACGTCTCAAACTCGCCCCGTGATGAATAAACTGAGAACAAATAAAACCTGAGCTCCATTAAAGAGTTTCATATCTTGATGAATGGAGGATATGGTTTCAGTACTCACAGGTCTTCTGGATCGTGGCTCTGATCGGGTGTCCTCTGATCCTGTAGGGATGAACACAATCCAACAGTTTAAGATCCAGTTTAAAATAAGTGTTAGTTCTTTGAGTCAGCTTCAGAGTCCTGATCTCAGGCTTTACATCCCATCATATCTTCTCTGCAAACACTACGACTGCCTGCCACAGCTCTCAGCTGCATTACAGGAAGTAACCAGTCATTGGTCTAGATCAGGGGGGTCCAAACCTTTTTCACAGAGGGCCACATACAGAAAGATATATAAAGGTCTGGGCCGCTCTCTAGAGGTTTGTTGCCTCATAAGTTCAGTTATAAGTCAGGAAACTCAATCAAATGAAGGTAAAGGATGCTTGTTACTTGAGGATGCTTTAAGAAACAAAACAGCTCTCAGCTCTCATTTCATTTCATTTCATTTCAATCTTTATTTCGAACAGATTAAAAATAACAAATAAAAAATAACAAATGTGAAAAAACAGAATACCGTATTGTTAAAATACAGTATTTATCCACATTCACGATAATATTTATATATTCAACAACAAAAAATCTTCATATTAATAATAATAATAATAAAAAAATAAAAAAAATAAATCATATGTGTCCGAAAGGGAGTAGGATGAAGCAAATGCTTATTAATTCCCACCCCTTACTTGATCAATGATTGTCCTTTAAGTCATTGTGCAAGTTATTCCTACTTACATTTACAAAATGTTATACATACATATACAATAATTTCTCATCTTCAATCACCTCTCTTCATTCTCATAGTTTTCCAAAAAAGTGTTTCTGTACATCCTTTTAAACTGAATTATGCTTGTGCTTTGTTTTAACTCCTGCTCCAAACCATTCCATAAAATCACCCCACAGATTGTTATACTCATACTTCTCAGAGTTGTTCTGACCTTGAGTTGTTTAAAATATAGATTTCCTCTCAAATGATACCCACCCTCTCGGTCTATGAACAATGTTTTTAATTTCCTAGGAAGTAGATTATGTCTTGCTCTGTACATGATTTGTGCCGTTTTAAATTTAACCAGATCAGTGAACTTCAATATGTGTGACTTCAAAAATAATACATTAGTGTGTTCAAGATATCCAACATTATTGATAACTCTTATAGCCCTTTTTTGTAATGTGCATAACGGCTGTAGGTTGGTTTTGTACGTGTTTCCCCAAATCTCCACACAGTAAATCAGATATGGCAATATTAGTGTGTTATATAGAGTATACAATGAGTTGTAGTCCAGAATGTGTCTGGCTTTTCCCAATATTGCGATAGTCTTAGCCAGTTTTGCTTTGACATGAGTGATATGAGGTTTCCAGCTGATTTTGTGGTCTAAAACCACACCAAGGAACTTAATTTCATATACTCTTTCTATGTTTATGTTGTCTAGTATTAATTGCACCTGTGGATTTGTTTTATGTTTTCCAAATAACATAATCTTTGTTTTGCTTATATTTAATGATAATTTGTTTGTGTCAAACCAATGTTTTACTTTAATCATTTCTGCTGTTATCACTTCCATTAGCTCTTTCAAATTGTCACCGGAACAAAACATATTAGTGTCATCTGCAAATAAAATAAATTTCAATATATTTGATACTCTGCAAATGTCGTTGATGTATATTATGAACAGCTTTGGACCCAACACGGACCCCTGAGGTACTCCACAAGTTATGTTCATGTATTCTGATTTATGTTCACCAATTTCAACAAATTGTTGTCTGTTGCTTAAATAATCTCTCACCCAGTCTAATCCCACCCCTCTGATGCCATACCGTTCCAGTTTTGTCAGTAAAATATTGTGATCTATGGTGTCAAATGCTTTTTGTAAGTCTATAAATATTCCCACTGCTTGTTTTTTATTGTCCATGCAGTTTGCTATTTCCTCACTTAATTCCATTAGTGCCATAGATGTTGATCTATCTTTCCTGAATCCATATTGACTGTCGTCCAAAAGCTGATGTGTTTCCATGAAATTGTCAAGTCTTTTTGTAAAAAGCTTTTCAAGGATCTTGGAAAACTGAGAGAGCAATGAAACAGGTCTGTAATTTGTGTAATGGTGTTTATCCCCAGTTTTATATAATGGTATAACTTTTGCTATTTTCATTTTATTTGGGAATTTACCAGATTGAAAAGACAAGTTAAAGAGATGAGTCAATGGTTCTGCAATTTCTTCAATAATATCTTTTACTATAATCATATCAATATTATTCCAATCGGTCGAGGATTTGCTTTTACATTTTCGCACAGTATCTATGATTTCTTTTTCTTCGACTGGTGTGAGGAAGAAAGAGCTATTATTTTCATTCCAGAGGTCCGTATCTTCCCCTTTAGTTGTTTCTACGGTTTTAATTTTTTCTGCCAGATCTGGCCCCACATTTACAAAGAATTCATTAAAACCATTAACCACATCATCTGTATTATTAATAACATTATTTTTGTCCACAAAAAACTCAGGGTAACCTGAACTTTTTGCTCCATTTCTAATGACACTATTTAATACTTTCCATAAACCAGAGGGTTTACTTTATTCTGTTAAACAGGAGCTTCAGATTGATTATAATTACAGGAAATATGAAGGGTTTATTTCACACTTGTTATCAAAATAAGTTATTGGGCTTTTTTCTTATCAAGTTAGATATGTTAGAAAACGTTTTCAGCTTTAATTGACTGAATTTATTTTAAAGGTGGGCTTATTAACACATGAATACTACTGTGTAATATATGTTTACGAAGTACAATATAAGACAAGCAGAAGTTTCCTTTGTGGGCCATATTCCATTATACTTTCAGAATTTGCTGAGGGCCGATTCCGAGGGCCGCATTTGGCCCCCGGGCCGCAGTTTGGACACCCCTGGTCTAGAAACTAAAAACATCCCATAAGAACAGACTACCTTTCCCACTCTTCTGTAAAACCCCATATGTCTGTTAGAGAGTTGATTACTAAAGTGTGGCTTTGCATGTTCAGCTGGCCTTCTATAGTTGATGGAAGAATGAAAGAGCCTGCAGTCAGTGGGTAACATCACTGATCTGTTTCCCCAGTGAGAGAAACACCTCCCTGTGGTTCATACAATACTGCTGAACCAGCAGAGACCCCTTACTGACCTGAGGGTCTCCAGTCTGCAGTCTGGACTCTCCAGAAGATCTCTCAGCAGCTTCTCATCTGAATCCTGCAGATCGTTGGCCCTCAGGTTCAGATCTCTCAGATGGATGTTGGACTTCAGAGCTGAGATCAGAGCAGAACAGCTGATCTCTGACAAACTGCAGCCACTCAGTCTGAATAAAGAAAACATGATGAGGATACAAATCTGTTTATATCAGATGTGTTACTCAACATTGAAATGAATGGGAACAAAAACATATGTCTTCTTCAGAAAGTCAACTTTATCCTGTAAAACTAATATTACTTCAGATGAACTTTATTCAGACGTTATCGTTTACTAAATATTAAAAACATAGATTTACTTTTCACAACTAACATCTATTTCAGTTCCTTTAAGAATCAGACAACATTTATCTCTGCAGTTCTTACTTTAGTACCTACAAATGAAAGTATGAATAAAAGAACATTTACAACTTTATAGATGTAAGTTAATTATGTAGAAGAATCAGGTTGAATAACTAATGAAACATGAGATCTCCAGCAGTAACAGAGAGTCAGTGAACTGACCTGAGAGTCTCCAGTCTGCAGTCTGGACTCTCCAGAAGATCTCTCAGCAGCTCCACTCCTGAATCCTGCAGATCGTTCCAACTCAGGTCCAGATATCTCAGATGGATGTTGGACTTCAGAGCTGAGATCAGAGCAGACCAGCTGATCTCTGACAACCTGCAGTTCCTCAGTCTGAATAAAGAAAACATGATGTAAGTTTAGAAAACAATGTTCCTGTTTGAAATAACTCCAGGTTTAATAATCTGTTCAGAGTTAAACAGGGTTTTAAAGGTCTCCTATCATGCTATTTTTAGGCATATATTATGGGTCTCAGATATACACAAATATATTAAAACATGTCTATGATGTGTTTTGCTGCAAATACCAAACGGATCATGCATTTTAGAAATCCCTCACATCCCTCTGTTTCAGCTGTTAGAGGAGAGCAGGTTCGGGTCCTTAGCTTGAAAAAAGAGGAGGGGGGGCTAATGCCTGATAAGAATTACTCAGCTAAATGCTGCCGTGATTGAACTCCATATCATGTTCCAAATCAAGGATTATCTCTGAAACAGTATGGAGCTCAAACTCTTTCTCTCTCTCAGGTTTACCACAAGGTGAGTTCCTTCTGATTTCCTGCTTCTTTTTTTTAATTTCTTTTTTTAGTCAGTTTATTGAACATGCCAGAAACAAAACATACAACAATAATAATAATATATATATATATATATATCATTTTCTTTCTTGTTTCTTCTAACTCATAATAATAATTATAACAAAGTACAAAAAAAAAATTATAATAATACAAAAGAAAACAAAAAAATAAATAACAATAATTCTCAATTAGTTTATTAATGTATTCTTCACACACATGCTCTCTCCAGTACAGGTTAGCTCCGAGTGTTAGCCAGTGGGCGCTGTACAATAGCTGCCCACTGTTCCTAGTACTAGACTCCTGGTACTAGGATGGGTTAAATGCAGAGGTCAAATTTCACTGTGTGTGCTGTGTGCTCTGCATGCAGCATGCGTGACCATTAAAGAGGGTTTCATCCCTCCCAATTCTATTCTATTCTATGCTAATGTAAACACAGACCCTATTACTTCCAGAACACGTCTCATTGTTTCTGACAGCAACGTTTCTGATTGGCCCGTGGGTGTAAAGCCCACCCACATTTTAGTAATGTCGTCATGACGCAGCAAATCTGGATCAGCTCCGTTGTTCCCCCGTTTTTAGAGATGTGGGTACGGAGGAAAAGAGAGAGGGTTTTATTTCCTGACACTTTGTGAGTCTCCTGACACCGGGGACACATGGGACACATAGGGACACACCGGGGACACATAGTGACACACCGGGGACACATAGGGACACACCGGGAACACATGGTGACACACCGGGGACACATGGTGACACACCGGGGACACATATTAATGTAGAAAAGACATCAAAAAGTGCATTTTGCATGATAGGTCCACTTTAATGTCAGAGATGATGTAGAAACAATCCACTGATAATCTGGAACTTTAACTTTGATCAGATGTTTAACAACTCCTTCATCTCCCTCACAGCTCATCAGTACTGACAGCATCTCCACTGACTCATGGAGCACAGAGTGAGTCTGAGGAAGCTCAAACACTCTCCCTCACACATTCACCTTCTCTTTGTTACTCTGATCCAGTGTTAATTTTGGCAGCTGTTTTTGATTTAGTCTTAGTCTTAGTCTTTAGACGAAAATGGTTATTAGTTTTAGTCACATTTTAGTCATTTCTATTCTTCATAGTTTTAGTCTAGTTTTAGTCGACGAAAACTCAAAACGTTTTAGTCTAGTTTTAGTCGACGAAAACTCAAAACGTTTTAGTCTACTTTTAGTCGATGAAAAATTACATTTTAGTCAACTTTTAGTCCAAATGTTTTCTCTCTTTAAACCAATTCAGTTTGGCAAATACAGGTATCTGACATTGTAATCAAGGTGACAGCATCAAGTGTTGAAATTCGTAAAGCAACATTTCACTCTCTTAACACTTTACTTGTGTAATATCTAGGGATGGGTATCGTTAAGGTTTTCTACGGTACTACTAGTCTTATCAATACTGCTTATCGATCCGGTACTTTAACGGTATTCTTGTATTTACTTTTTGTTCTTTTTTAAAGGAAAAAACGAACAAATTGTTAACCGAATTAATTGCTTTATTTAAATGTGAAATAAATGAAATATATATAATTATGTTAAAATATTGTACTGTACTTGAGTAAAATGTTGAGGTACTTGTACTTTACTGGAGTATTTAAATGTTTTGCTACTGTGTACTTCTACTCCACTACAGTTCATAGTTAAATGGTGTACTTCTACTCCATTACATGTATTTAATACCTTTAGTTACTTTACAGATGTGGATGAATGATGTGAAATATAATCAAGTGTTAACTCAGACTTTAGTAAATTCACAAGCTACCCTGCAGTATACAAAGTCCTTCAAACTGGCTGTACCTTTACTAGCTTTGAGAACACTTTCATGATCAATCATTATAAAACATATCATATATATTATTCTGAAATGGACCAATCTGCACAATGACTACTTTTACTGTTGCTACTTTAAATATATTTTGATGATCATACTTTGACTTGAGGAACTCTTCCTACACTATGGTATTTTTTTACTTAGCTACAAGATCTGAGTACTTCTCCCACCTCTGCACACCTGATGTGATAACGTTACTCGTAATTGGGGCAACAGAGCTACGAGTTAAGGAAGTCGAAAATTGTGCATTTCTCCGACTGAATATGACGCCTTTTGGCCGGCTGTTTGGACAGACTACTCTACTCGTGTCAACGCGCTAACGCGAAAACATGGCAAACGAGCTTTGTCCACATCGAGTCTTGTAGAGTGTCTCGATACTCTCTGAATGCTCCGTCCCCGGCAGATCTCTGCCGCTGCAGCGTGTCTGTTAGGCCCCGCCCCCGCACACAGAGAGAGAGGGAGATCGCTCTTCTGGAGTGAAGAGAGCGGAAATAATGATATTGCAAGTTAGAAATGTAAGATGCATTTTGACAGACAAGACAGACACTTGGGGGGAAATACCCTGCATTTTGAATGTCCACCATTAACACCTTAGTCCCGTCTCGTCTCGTCAACAAAAACTAAATATACATTTCGTCAAATTTTCGTTATCAAGAATCTATTTTTAGCTCGTCATCGTCTCGTCTTAGTCATGTAAAAAAGGTCGTTGACGAACATTTTTCGTCATAGTTTTCGTTGACGAAATTAACACTGCTCTGATCAATATTCAGTCATTAGCAAAAATGGAAAAAACTATTTTAATGTATTTTTTTCAAATTCAGAAAATGATAAACACAAACAGATGAAGTTCAGTCAGTGGACTGACCTGAGAGCCTTCAGTCTGCAGTTTGGACTCTTTAGTCCAGAACTCAGCAGCTCCACTCCTGAACCCTCCAGCTCGTTGCCACTCAGGTCCAGATGTCTCAGATGGGAGGGATCAGACTTCAGAGCTGAGGCCACGACTTCACAGTGAGCCTCTGAGAGTCCATAGCGAGCAAGTCTATATTAACACATATATTACAACATGTGTTAAAAAGAGGAAACGTAATGACCTCAAGCATTTGATGAAAAACATATTTGACATGTTCTGATTGAGATTTGCTGTTAGTCCATTTTATATATAATAATATATGATAATAGAGTGTAATGAGTTGTCAGTGTGATCTGATCACATGTCTGTGCTCCTGCTGTCACTGACTGTTACCATAGAAACAGAAATTACATAAATCACTTGACAATATTAGAGATGTACATATTTAAATGTTAATTAATATTTAGATGTGAATGATGGATGTTTTGGTTTCTCTGAGCATCTGGAAATGTATTGTGCACACAAATACAGTTAACAAACCAATAAAGTTTCAATATTTTAAACTGAATACCATCAGATGTTCTCACTATATGAGTATTAAGACATAACTCTGGTATTGGTGGGATATGATATAGATCTGATTTGAAACTCTAAAACATTGTGATAAAAACGTGTGTGTGTTTAATGATAAAGAAACTACTAGAAAGTACTAATAACTGCTAACTGTAAGTCCTGCTGTGTGATCACATGCTGAGAAACCTCTAGAGTCCTTCATGTGTTTGACATGTCGCCTCCATCACTCAATATGAAGAGAGAAACGGTTCAGTTTAACTATTATTATAAATAAATAGAAGAACAGTGTTGGTTTATTTTGCTCTCAGTATTTAAACAGCAGAAATGTTATAGTGTTTATTGAATAATTAAACTTCTGATCCACATTAGTTTATAAAGTTAATCACATCTGGACTTACTGTGCCTTCCTGCAGTTCCTCACAGCTGGAAGCAGTCTCCGTTTCCCCTCCTGTGATGTGTTGTACTTCTCCAGGTCCAACTCATCCAGAACCTCCTCTGACATCTGCAGCATGTAGGCCAGAGCAGAGCAGTGGATCACAGAGAGTTCCTTCTCTGATCTGTTCCCTGACTTCAGGAACTCTGTGATCTCTTGATGTACTGAGTGGTCCTTCATCTCTGTCAGACAGTGGAAGATGTTGATGCTCCTGTCAGGAGAGAATTTATCACTGTTCATCTCCTTCAGGTTGCTGATGGCTCTCTGGATGATTTCTGGTCTGTTGTCTGTGCGACCCAGCAGGCCTCCTAACAGTCTCTGGTTGGACTCCAGAGAGAGGCCGTGGAGAAAGCGGACAAACAGGTCCAGGTGGCCATTTCTACTTCTGAGGGATTTCTCCATGGCTCCCTTCAGGAAGACATCCAGGGATGGGTAATCCTGATCACTGTTTTTACTGTTCTCATAGTCCCAGTCTCCCTGCAGGAAGTGCTTCAGTACCTTTGTGTTCCTGTTGGTGTAACAGTGCAACAAGTAGACTGCAGCCAGAAACTCCTGAATGCTCAGATGAACAAAGCAGTAGACAGTTTTCTGGAAGATCAAACTCTCTCTTTTGAAGATCTCTGTACAAACTCCTGAGTGCACCAAGGCCTCAGTGATACCAAGACCACAGCGCTGCAGGTCTTGTTGGTAGAACATGATGTCTCCTTTCTCCAGATGTTCAAACGCCAGCCTCCCCAGCTTCAGAAGAACCTTCCTGTCAGCCTTCGTCAGCTGCTGTGGACTCGTCTCATGTCCCTCTTCATACTTCTGCTTCTCCCTCTTGGTCTGGACCAGCAGGAAGTGAGAGTACATGTCAGTGAGGGTCTGGGGCAGCTCTCCTCTCTGGTCTGTAGTCAACATGTGGTCCAGAACTGCAGCAGTGATCCAGCAGAAGACTGGGATCAGACACATGATGTGGAGGCTCCTGGAGCTCTTGATGTGAGAGATGATTCTGCTGGACAGCTCTTCATCACTCGATCTCCTCCTGAAGTACTCCTCTTTCTGGGCGTCAGTGAAGCCTCGTACTTCTGTTACCCTGTCCACACACTCAGGAGGGATCTGATTGGCCGCTGCAGGTCGGGAAGTTATCCAGACGAGAGCCGAGGGAAGCAGCTTCCCCCTGATGAGGTTTGTCAGCAGCACGTTGACTGAGGACTGCTGTGAGACATCAGACACAACCTCATTGTTTCTGAAGTCCAGAGAAAGTCTGCTTTCATCCAGGCCGTCAAAGATGAGCAGCACTTTGCAGACAGCCAGCTGCTCTGCTGTGACCTTCTGTAAGGTTGGATGGAAAACATGGAGCAGCCTGAGAAGACTGTACTGCTCACCTTTGATCAGGTTCAGCTCCCTGAAGGAGAGCGGGATCACCAGACTGACATCTTGGTTTCCCAAACCCTCGGCCCAGTCCAGAGTGAACTTCTGCACTGAGAAGGTTTTTCCAACTCCAGCGACTCCGTTGGTCAGGACCGCTCTGATGAGAGTCTGTTGGTCAGGTAAGGCTTTAAAGATGTCCTGGCACTTGATTGGAGTGTCATGGAGGCTCTCTTTCTTGGAAGCTGTCTCCAGCTGCCTCACCTCATGTTGGGTATTAACCTCTTCACTCAGGCCTTGTGTGATGTAGAGCTCAGTGAAGATCCTGTTGAGGAGGGTTTCACTTTGATCAGTTCCTTCAGTCACACGTTCACATCTCCTCCTCAGACTGAGCCTATGTTCATCTAAAACCTCCTGCAGACCACTATCTGCTGAAAGAGAAGGAAACATGAGAGAATCAGAAAATGCTTTTGAGAATATAACAATAAAACTAATAAAAACAGACTGAGTTTAAATGTTTTATAAACATTTTAATGTCTATGTTCTTCAACAGAATACCTAATAAAAAAAAACAATGAACCAGGAAGAGGAATAAGACACTGCATGAGTTCGGCCTCTTACCTCGTACAGAGCTGGTCTGACTGGCTGTCTGCAGGCCAGCTCTGGTTCTGGATCTTTCTCCACACTGGGGACAGGAGGGGTCTCCTGATGGAGGACGCTGCTCCCAGTATGAGGTGATGCACTGTCTGCAGAACCAGTGTCCACAGCTGGTAGAGACTGGATCCTTCAGGACGTCCTGACACAGAGCACAGCTGGACAGCTGCTCGTCCACAGGAACACCACTCTTCCTCTTCCCTCTGTGGAACACATCCTTTATAACACTTCAGAGGGGCTGATTCTCACCAAAGGTACAACAAGGGGGCACATTCTAGTTTGATCTTTAAAAAAAATCTATATAATATATACCCTTGTGATCAGGTATAGCTTACAATTCACATGATCATAAAACCAGAGAGCATCCTGTCTGGATTCATCACCCAGAGGAGCACATGCTGTATTAACCTGGTACACTATAAACCCAACTTGCATAGAATCTGCTGTGAATTAATATAAATAAACATATGGAAAGGATGCCTAAATAACAACAAAATGATACTGATTTGTAAAAAGCCTGAGTTAATGCTTTGTCAGGTCTGTCTCCAACACAATAAGCATAAAAACATTTAAAAACAATTTTTTTTGAAGAGACCAGTTTGATTAAAGCTAGGCTAACATTAGCTGCTCCATCAGCACTCATAATAACTTAATGAAGTCATAAGTACAGCAGTGACTATATTGTTAGCACCACATACAGTCTCTGGTTTAAACAGGTACTTTAATAACCCTGATTTAGTGGGAATGCTGATAACAGCATTCCCACTAAATGTTACGCTACGGACAAAAAGTTTATTATTCCGCCGGCTTATTTTGGCCCTCTTCTCCTCCCACATTCCACATCGCAGAAACTCCGTTCAAACATCAAAACGTTCAGCTCGGTCGGGAATCGATGGCTATCACTTTTCTCATTCATAACTTTCATAATTCCAGAGATACATCCCATAATACATCCCATTTTTAACCATTGAAGTCAATGGAGAAATTCTTCAGACTTCAACAAATCTTCATGTGACTTCAACTGCTAACTGTTCATTCATACTTTCACTCAGAAACCTCATTCCAACTTTAAAATGTTACACATCTTTCTGACATTATTCGTGTAACACAACTTTTAAATCTGATTCTTACTTTTAGAGATATTAAACATTGTTCAGACCTTGGTAAAGAGGCTTTCTTCAGATTTTAACATTAACTAGAGTGCGTGATGTCACAGCTAGAGTGGAGGAAATCTTGAAATTTGCCTTCATATTTGTTTTTAAAACTGCCGTAATTCCCAAACCCTACATTCCTGAGACATAATTTTTCATGAGTAACGTAGGAAAACATCTCATAGCTTGAAAAATGACAAATAATTAAGCAAAATAATTAAACAAAATGGCTCTTGAGGGCATGAAGTGACAAAAACGTTCAACATGCCTCAATTAAAGCCCATTGTAATTTCAGGCTGGGGGGGTGTCATCAAATGCCGTTGCCATGGCGACAGACCACTCGCCATGAAACACGATGACGCTGTAAGTCCAATGGACACGGTCCGATCGTCCCCCAAACTTTGCTTGTATATCACCGGTCCAGCCCTCAACAGCTCTACGTCAATTATCGGGTTTCATCATATGCCGTTTCCATGGAAACGCATCCCTCGTCATAAAACATGATGTCGCTATAACTCCTATGAAAATGTTCAAAATGTGCTCAAACTTCACATGTGTGCTAACAGTCCAGCCGTGAAGACATCTACGGGACATGCCGTTGCCATGGCGACACAATGCTCACCGTGAAACACGGTTTTCTCATAACTTCAGTGAAAATGCTCCAAACGGCCCAAAACTTCACAGGTTTGGTAACGATGCAGCCATCAACACATCTAAGCGTATTATGGGATGTCATCAAATGCCGTTGGCATGGCAACAGATCATTCGCCATCAAGTTAGTTCAAAAGTTTGGAGTTCAAATATTCTGCTGCTTTTCCAAGCCTTTTTACTTTCTTTTCTTCTCTCATCACACATTCAAGCCCCCAGTGTTCATGTATCATTTCAATTTAAATTATTCACTTTCTTCTTACACATTACATTTCGGCATAGCAGTTTAGCGTCAGCTTTTCAGCATAAAGCATTCCCACTTGCAATTTCTTCAGGAATTGCATTCTCTAGTTTAATATGAGCTGCTGGAGAGCTCTGTTCTCCTCTCTGATTCCCCTCAGACCGTCAGAGACCACAGGAGCACCATCTCAACACTGAAAGGTTTTTGTAACAGAGCGTCACAAACTTTACACTCAAGATGAAATGTTTCACGCTGCACGAATACGCAGGTGACATGAATTTAACATCTTCACTTCCTTCGTGTTGCCAGGCATTGATCTGGGTCTTTGTATTGACTCTACATGTGATTTCACAAAACTCTGTTGTATCTGCTAACGCTAAACACAACCAGCTCACCAGGTTATCACTATTATTAATAAACATCTTAAAAAGACATATCATAGACATGCCCAATTTGGTAAATAATGTTTTGGACAATATATTTAGTTTTTAAATCAGAATTCATCAACATTTTTGCTATTTAAAACCATTTTATACACAGATACAATGATAATATAATTGCATATTGAAATATCCTTAGATAATGTTAGCTTACTCTGCTGCGTTTTCCCTTTACAAACTGCTCACATGATTTCATTAAAGAACAGTTTGATATATTAGATTACATCAAAACTGGATCCTCTTCAGTTTACAGCGGAAACTCTTACTTTGTGTCTGAGGGTCCAGGTTCATTACTGAAGTCTAGAGGTTCCCACATAGACCTGTCACTCTTCAGAGAACACATGGAGACCGTAGACCCTGCTCTCTGTCTGTGGAAACAACACATGTTTAAACATCATTAGTTCATTTAAAGAGCAGCTTTTGATCTATGACTGTTCACCTTATGAAAGATTTTTAGAGTCGTGATTGTGGGTTTCTGTTGTTCAAATTCATTCGAATGTGAAACGTTTTACATATTTGTATTTTATTTGCTTAATTTAACACAAAGTCCAACATGGAGAGTGTGAGGATGATTTCACTAGTAGATTATTTACTATCTCTGATGATGACAAGAAGCAAGAGATCAATTACACTTTGTTAATGTACTCTACTGGGTTTCATTAAACAGTTTAGATTATCAGATACCAACAAACTGAATCCTTTTCAGGTCAGTTTACAGTGGAAACTCTTACTTTGTGTCTGAGGGTCCAGGTTCATTACTGAAGCGTGGAGGTTCAAACATAGACCGGTCACTCTTCAGAGACAGACCGCTGGAGACTGAAGATTTGTCCTCTTCCTCATCTTTGAAATCACTCATCTTCTCCAGTCTGACACACACACACACACACACACACACACACACACACACACACACACACACACACACACACACACACACACACACACACACACACAAACACACACACACACACACACAAAATACATCAAATCAGTCAGACTTCAGGCCGCTCTCCATTTTGTCTGCACTGGGCTGTCACATGTTATGTAACTCTGACGAATCAGAAAACAGGAAATAATACAAGTGTACAACACTTGCAGAAGTCTCATTGGACTCTAGGACGCAGATTTTTAACCAAGTTATTTTCTGACATCCAGTAAAACAGAGTAAATAATGAATGTGTTACAAAGCAGATCCTGGTGTTAACACTCACCCTGTTGTCGTCCTCCTGCTCCGAGCTGTAAAATGGCGTCTGGCAGTCTGACTTCATACTTTCACCTTCCTGTTTCATAACCAGCCTCACCAGCTGAAGCAGTTCACACACAGGGACTTTGTTCAGTGAGATAGAAAAAGACATGCAGCTAAAAACAAGCTCAACAAAGTTATCAAAAGGACACAAGATCCACACATCAGCGTTCATAGGATATCATTCAATCTGCTTTATATAACAAACAATGAACAGCGACTTAAATAAAAACACAAGGCTAAATTTAACTAATTTACAAGATGTGCCAAAATCAGGGCTGAAATAGAGATTTCACCTCTAGCAAGGTGGAAGGGGGAAAAGTGTTTTAGTTTTTCTCGATTGCTAACACACATTTCTTTTTAAATTGCTCAGTTTCTCAGAACACTAAAAACAATTCACAAAACCACACACCCTAAACCCTAACCCTAGCTGGAGGGAGAGGACGTGGACAAATAAGAGTATGAAATGAAATGTTATCAACCATGGTTTGACGATGAGAGAGGCTGGACAGAGGGTTCAGCCTAATCTAAGCCGATGTACTGTCACCTCTGTAATCCGGACACTTAGACTCTGCATAACTCATGATATATCAGTGCTTATATCTGTTGTGTGAAAAGTATTTACTTCATTACTGTAATTGAATTGTTGGCATGTTGCATACTATAACTGTACACAAATCCTGCACAATGTACTGTGGTAGACTTACTTTTATGCAACACAGACACTGACCAACCCCTATGTCTTTGTTGTTTATCTGAAGGACTGAGAAACAAAGAGGTGCAGGTGGAAAGCTAAGGATTTTCAATGAGGCACAGGAAGCAGCAGTTACAAACTGGGTTTTGGCAAACAATGCCATCACACTTAGAGAGATCCGAAGCATAGTAACTATGTGGTGAGATGCATGTTGCACAATGTTATTTTTGAATAAAATGTGATTTTTTTCAACAACTCATTTGTATTTCTTCATTTACTGTATTTCTGTAAACTCAAGCAATCTTTCTCTGCAGAAACCTCTATGTACAGAGCATAGCCCATAACAGATGAAAGTGCTTTAGAGTATGCTCAGCAGTGTGTAGTTGGGTGGTCAAACCATCTAGTATTATGAATGAAGTGTGTTATATTTGGTGCAAAAGTTTGCATTTGGTAAGTGTTTATGTGGTTTTCAGTGCAGTTCTTCACTTAGCAGGAGACATGAGGTGTTTTGCACTTTGGGTGTGTGGTTTTGTGAATTGTGTTTAGTGTTCTGAGAAACTGAGCAATTTAAAAAAAAATGTGTGTTAGCAATCGAGAAAAACTGTAATACTTTTTTTTGCATGTAACATTATGTAAAATTAAGCTGTCTGTGGCTCTTTTCTGCTGTAACAATGTACATGTCCCCTCTGTGGGACTAATAAAGGTGTTCTGATTCTGAACTACGATGCTCAGCAGCTCGCTTGACAGAACTTAGACGCTGGTATCAGTTTGGTTTCCCACCAATCACGGGAGTATTGTGTATAGAAAGTGTTGAGTTATATTTCTCGCACTACCTTACATCCATGAAGGCAACATGACAGAGGGAGGGCTGTCACTCAGGATGCCAAACTACTCTTTGGCAAGCCCCGCCCCCCCAAGCAACATCAAGTTTGAAGGTGGAAAAAACTGTGAAACCTGAAAAAAATAATTGTTTTGAATCTGAAAATGTAAAATCTGCAACTGAAAAAAAGAAGGATTCAAATATCAAAATATGTAAAAGGAGTGGAGCTGTCTTTTTATGAAAAGTAATTAAGCTCGCTCCGACTTCTTTCTCTTTTTTTTTTTATCAAAAACAGCTAACTATTCAGTCAGATAGCAATTTATTATAAAAGTAAAGCAAGTACAATTTCAAGCACTTTATCCAAAATTCAAGCACTTTTCAAACCTTGAAAAACACCACATGAAATTTCAAGCATTTTCAAGGATTTCCAGCACCCGTACGAACCCTGTATTTTTTAATAAGCCGTTTCTACCTCATGATTTACTGGATAGAAAATATTGATACTTTTTTTGAATAATGCAACAGATCTGTTGTTTCTCCCTAAATTGTCAGCACTTGGTGTCTACAGGAAAAACACTTTATCCTCACCGTTTCTGTACAGTAGAATATGGACATGGACCCGGTACAAGCATCAGGTTTGTAAAACTAAAATGTCTTTAGGCTATTCCTTAAAGTGGACCTATCATGCTATATTTGAATAATATAGTGTAGGACCATACCTATATAAGGCATATTTATACTTTTTTTTTTTCAAAATACCAAACAGATCATGCATTTTAGCCATGCCTCATTTCGCTCTATAGAGTGGCGAAGTCCCTCCCCTTCCGGTGGACCTCCATGGGACCTTATTTCGGAAAAATTATGTATTGAAGTCAATGGAGAGAGAAAGATTATCTTTCGATCCCGTTTGAATTGTGCCACGAATTACACATATGATGTTTGTCAATTTAAAAGATAATTTTGCAAGTCAAAAAAAAAAATATGTGTCGTAAAACTGTGAAGTAACACATTTGTTTGTGTGAAACGCTCAATGAACTACATCTCTAGTCAACAACACACGTCACCAAGATGGCAGTCACTACTGTCTTGTCAACAAAACGATTGACTACCCTCACTATCACCACAATGAAACACGTCCTGAAGAATGTCATGCAAAGCTGCCAGCCTGCCTTCCTTTGATTCTCTCTGAACTGCCTGGTCGTTTTAATGTTTAATGTCAACCATTTGTGCAGATAGCATGAAGTAGAGAAGATCGCTAGCGTTAGCGTTAGCATTTCTCCCCCGGGCTTAAATTGTGTATTATAGAATGATCACACCGGTAACAGTACTCCTCAAAGGGTTCACGAAATATGACTACTACTCTTACTGTTTAACATTTTGGGTTACTTAATGTTACTTCATGTTAAGGCTAATAAAAATGACAAGGCTGTAATGCTAACTAACGTGCTAGCTACTAGCTAGCATGATCCAGAGTACTCCTGGTCCTTTCATCAGACGGGAAGCGAAAGAACGAGCAAGACCCATTGCTGGTATGATAACAACCTGGTACTAAGCACACAGGCATCTTGTTAAAGTTATCTTATCTTAGCCAGCGCCATAGAGATAGATTATATCTATATAGCGCTGATCTTAGATCTCAGTGGAGGAAAACAATTGTGACATCACTTACGCGACTCTGGGATTTGTAGTCTTTCTAGTTACGTATTTTTCATAGTCTTATATTTCAACAGTTTTACGACAAACTGTGACTTTTTTTGACATGGAAATTATTTTTTAAGATTGACAAACATCATGTGTGTAATTCATGGCACAATTCAAACGGGATCGAAAGATAAGTTTTCTCTCTCCATTGACTTCAATACATTATTTTTCCGAAATAAGGTCCCATGGGGCGGAAGTAGATGGGCGTGACTTCGCCACTCTATTTGACATTTTTTAGCTCTGTTTTTGCAAGGGTAGATTGAGTGAGAACAGCACCATCTACAGGCCTGGCATATGTACTACAGCGTCTCCAGCGCTTTCTAACGGCAATGGCCGTGGCGGTCTCCTCCTGATTGGTGGAGTTGGCCCAATAGCCGTAGCGCCACTGTCCTGACGTCAGGACAGTGTTCAAATCTGGATCAGTTTTTATCAGATCCGTTGCAGCCCCTTTTTTAGAGATTTGGGTATGGAGGAAAATAGAGAGGGTTGTGTTTTCTGACACTTGGTGAGTTCCCTGGAACACCGGGGACACATATTCATGTATAAAAGACGTACAAAAGTGCATTTTGCATGATAGGTCCCCTTTAAGCTTTACATAATGAATGACCTGATTCCAACAAACAGTCATTTATTAATACTCCGAAAAAAAGATAAAAAGAAAAGAAGCACAATTTCAATTGAACCTGTAGTGTAACAGTAACAAAAAAATAACAATAATTCACAATGAATAGCCGAACATAACACTGTGGGCTACCTACATGTGTAGGCTATACTGTTTGTAGTGTATTGGGTTCTTAAAGCATATGTTCCAAAATGATACAGATCTCAAAATGTCCTGTATTCATGCGCCAAGTCTCCTCTTTCAATCTGTGCAAAAATATAACAAGACTCAAACTCTGGAGCAAATGTACAGTCGACAGCGAATGAAGCTATATATTCCAAAAAAGAGCATTTTAGTATTTTTTTCCTTCTTTCTTTTAAGAAAATACGAGTGCTAAACTAGGTTCCTTTGAATAAGTACAAATAAACTAGAGAGCAATCGGTTACGAAAATAGTTTTTTCCCTCCTGACGGACATTGAAGACACGATTGATGAAGGATTTGTGGCGACTAAGCCCTCCCTTCACCCACTGACCTAAAGAAAAATAGACAATTTCCTGAAGAACTGCACATGTTAATCTGGGGACATGGCAGAGGAAACATGTGCGATGAGAGGAGGCAGATATGAAGCGACAGATGGAGGTAAGGGTGCAGAGAGATGGGAAGACACATAATGGAGCCGGCAGACAAGATGGAGATAGAGAAACAATGACCTAAGATATGAAAATGTCAAACAATCACAGATTAAATGAGGTATTGCACAGATTAATACAAAAAAATAAGCATAAAAGGCAACACAAATATACAGCAAGTTGATAGAACATTTACAGTTAGAGTTTTGTAATTAAAGTTTCTTTTAAGAACTATTTTAGTGTTATCCACGGATAAGGGAGGGTAGGATCAAAAGATGAAATATCGCTAGTCATCCCACTCATCATCATCCTCAAAGTCTTCATCATCTTCATCGTCATCGTCCTCATCTGTGGGAGAGAAGAAGAGATATCAAACAATGTGTATTCTCCAGACAAATAAAGATGTATTTATAGCAGCAAGAAAAAGTGTAATTTCCTTCTGTCTGTTGAAAAGGATATCACTTTCTATTTTCTTACTTCAAGCGAAGAAGTATTTCCCCAATAGAGAAAAAGGAACCAAGAGGGATGTTCGAGACCGAAGAGAAAGTGGTGAAAGTCTAATTTATTTTTGGGCGACAGTGTGTCATTTGACATACAGTTAGTGACGCAAAATGTCAACAAACTGCTCCATTTATAGAGGTTTAAGAGGCAAGGTGAACTTCTCAATCCACTCAAATTAATAGTGAAATAATCAGAACTGAATACATATACGTGTATATTAATATATATCAGTGGCGAACCGTGTCTATCACAACTGGACCTTCTGTAGACACACACACACACACCCTCCGCAAGAGCATGCAAAGAATATAATACGTTTATTATACGGTTACATGCCACTTTACAGAGGCACGTTGCCCATAAACTACATGTCCCAGAATGCATCTCGTTTTGTGACATGGCACTGAAGAGACTTGCAATTATTTGCCCTAGACTTCTGCTTTCAGACGTAGTTAATTATGAAGTTATTACCCTATCCGATAATAATCCAATGCAGAGGAAATTATGTAATATAATACATTATTTTATATATATTAAATATTTATATAGTCTATATATATTTATATAACCATAATGCTAATGTGGCCCGGGATGAAATTGAGTTTGACACCCCTGATCTAGATCCTCTGTCTCGAGCCAGTGAACTACCGGGCCTTCTAGAATACCCTGGAACCGAGGGGAACTCTGAAAGAATACGCCCATTGGTATATGATTGGTTGATCAAACTGTCAATCCAAAGGTACGCTCTCATTCAGTGCAACGGCCAGGGTTTAATATTTACTTGCACTATATTTTTCTGTTTATCTGTATTATTGTGTTGCACTGTTGGAGAAGCCTGTGACCTAAGATTTTCATCGACATAACTACACTGTAGCTATGTTCGTATGACAAATAAAGAACCTTGAACCTTGTATTCTATCAAGGATATAGAATACCTTGGTTGAAGGATATTCTACCCAGAGACCCAGACAAACATCTGATTGGTTGCATTTTTTTTCTAACACAAAACCACTGAAATGCGTAGTGCATGGACCGAGAAGGACAAACAAATCAACGTAACACTGTAATATTACAGATACCATTCTCATTTATTCATTTTACATACATTTTATTTATATAATTAAATCGATTTTTTGTTTGTTTTATCCGAGTGTTCCAGGGTATTCTCTGAATACCTTGAAGGCCCTGACGGTTCGCCACTGATATATATACATGTTTGATGTAGATTGGATATTACACCTGAAGCACAGTCTGAAAATAAATACATTTGAGTAATATCATTTTGTGCTTATTCTAACGGAGCGTCCACACAGCAGCGTTAAAAAAATCTTGAAACGCTTCTGCCCATTCACTTTGAATGGGGTGACGTCACTTTCCCTCACTTTTCGCCGAACTGCATTGTGGGAAGCAGAGCGGAGACTTCCAGGCATCTCAGGATTCAAAAGTTGAGCAACGTTCAACTTTTGAAGCTGAGGTGGAAGCGTCAGCCAATCAAATCCCGTGTATGCAAATCTGACAGTTCAAGCGCTAGCCAATCAAACCGCGTGTATGCTGGGAGAGACATACCGCAGGTCATTTCCTCATATTCCAAAAAATGGAGGAGAAATTAGCGGTAGGGAATCACCCGGTGCTTTATGACCAGTCCCTAATTACCTACCGGGATACAAACCGGAGGAGCCAGGCATGGAGGGAGGTGGCAGAGACAGTGGTAGGTTTTCGCCTGTTTGGGGAGTTTATATCCAGTTTACTTCGGGCTTTTTTGCTTCGTATGTCGGGGGCGGGAGATTCATGTGATTGGTTGTTGGTCGCAAAAAATCCCCAAGCTTCAGATACGCCCACCTCCAAGATTTTTTTAACGCTGCTGTGTGGACGCTCCGTTACTCCTTTTCAGACACTCATCATTTTGAATTTGCTCCGTTTTCTACTTATTTTATTAGTGTTTTTTTCATTTTGTACTTATTTGTGACAATAAGTCCAAATGTTAAGACCCTCATCTGTAGATTTTACATGCATTTCCTTCCAAATGTCACTGTTTATGTTCATTATTACTAACTCCAGGTACTGTGCTGTGTTAAGACAGTTGTGTTTGACTCGTTGCTTTGGACTGAAGTGAATAATGTTAAGTAAATATTAAGTGTACTTATGACAGTATGTACACGTTCTACCGTGCAGAGAACAAAGATTATAAGAGAGTTGATGGTCAGGTAGATAGATGGTGGATGTTTGTGTGTTTTCACCTGAGGAGTGAATGGCCTTGCTGCGTTTCTGCATCACCTCCATCAGGGCCCCCACGATGCCTGCCGACAGGGCGGGGGTGGAAGGAGCCGAATCGCTATTTTCTTCCCTCTGTAAAGAAGCACAGAGTTAAAGCACAGGGTAAAGATGAAAACATATTTTCAACATTTCATTTGTATAAAGGTCTCAATAGTTTAATATGTATATATGTCACCTTCTAATTGCTGCTACTCATTTTTTAGTCATGGTTGTGAACTTATTTATTTATTTAAATGTCTAATGTGTGCTATTCTCTATATTTAACATACGATACCATAACGATTAAAATGTTTTGTCGGATCAAGTCTGAAAATGTACTTGCATCACAACATGCTAGCTACTTTATTATTAGTGTACTACTTTTTATCTGCTATGTCACTTTTGCTGTTATAAGATAAGATTAGGGATGCTCCGATCGCCAATTTTGGGGCCGATCGCCGGAATCATTATCGGCCGATTCCGATCGAGTGGGCGGGGCCTATGGGGATCTTCCATTTAAAGTGATGTTTACAACTCAGTTAATGGGGCTCATTCACTGGAGCTTCCACAAACAACAACCAACATCATTATTACATTCAAATGAAGTACATTATTCAAGTTTACATTAACTTTGGATAATAACACGGGAGAGATGAGCGGAAGCGCTCTCTTGTCCTCTCTCCCTCTCTCCCCCTCTCTCTCCCTCTCTCTTGACAGCCTGTCAGTATCTCATGCAGCTCACTGATCCAGTACTGAGTGACCCGACAGTGAAGAATAAACATATTTATAACTGGTTTAGCTTGTTCCAGAGATAGATACAATAGCTAAGTGTGTTAGGTCTAACTCTTAGTGTGTGTGTTGCTCTGCTCACCGGTCCGTCACAGCGGGTGGAGCTGCAGGATTTCTGCTTCACACACACGTTGCATACCGCTATTTTACTGTCTTTTTCAGACACCTTTAAATACTGCCAGACTGGTGAAGCCATTTTGGCGAGCTTGTTTTGCCGCACACAGAGAAAAGTGTCATGTATTTTACGTCATCATTTTACGTCATGCGATCGGCTCTCGCGATCGGCATTTTTAGAAAGCACCGATTGGTCGGCAGAGAGTGAGTATCGGCCGATGTCGATCGGAGCATCCCTAGATAAGATAGTACTTTATTGATCCCAATTTGTGTTCCAGCAGCATAAAAGACATGGCATTGTACAATACAAATTAAAAAGACTAGAAATAAACAAGAAAGTAGAAAAATATACATGTTGAATTTACAAATGAACAATAACAAAAACAAACAATAAAGCAAGTTATTTGATATACATAAGTATGTGAGGGATGGAATATTAAATATTAAACTGAATATAAATGTTATGCATTTCCCCGCTGCGGGACTTATAAATGATTCCGGATTCTGATCTCTGATATTTGATTGGCTACTGACCACTTTGAGTTGGATTCCTTGTCGGATTTGCACCAGAAGCGAGTCTCTGCCCGTGTTGTTGGACACCGGCCGCTCTTTCTGCTCCACCTTCTTCAGCTGGCGTCCCTCTCTGATCTGACTCAGCAGGGCCGACTTGGGCACCTCTCCTTCGTTAGCCTCCATGGGGGGTGGGGGGGCGGGGGGAGGAGGACCAGGAGGAGGTGGAGGAGGAGGGGGAGGCGGAGGTCCTTCCATCGAGGCAGGAGGAGGCGGAGGGGGAGGAGCCACGTGGATCGAGGCATGGGCAGGAGGAGGGGGAGGAGGGAGGGAGCCTCTGCTGGGAGGAGGAGGAGGCGGAGGAGGACCGGACATGCCCGGGCGGGATGGAGGAGGAGGAGGAGGAGGGGGCGCGGAGACAGGAGCTCTGGAGGGGGGGGGAGGCGGAGGGGCTCCTCGACCCCGGGCGGGAGGAGGTGGGGGAGGAGCTGAGGCGTGGTGGGGGGGAGGAGGAGGAGGAGGAGGGCCGCCTCGGGATGGAGGAGGAGGAGGAGCTGGAGATAAAAGACAATCAGAAAACTTTAAGAAATTGCGTATTTAGTACTGGTGACATTTGATCTGATTTTTATTTTTCATTTAATGTCAAAGTCAACTTTATTGTCAATATTTCAGTTTGTGTGTACAGACAGAGAGATCGAAACACCGTTTCCCACAATCCCGAATACAAAATATATATACAAATATGTATATACCTATATATACACAATCAACAGACACATTTATACATATGCACACATTAAGACCTAAATAAAAGCACAACAATCAATATATACAAAATAACAGTCACTTCAATATCATTATTATTTTCTATCTGTTTGACTGTGTTTTCATCTTTAGATGCTGTCGTTTAGTTCACTTGCTCTCTGTGTATTTTCACTTGAAAGCACTTTGTAACTATGTTTTTAAATCTATCTATGATCATCAGTCAGAGAGCACACTGCAGCCGGGAGCAACATCCAGATCTCCTCTCATGTCCTCTTTACACTTGATCCAAAAATATGTTCATAGAAAAGGGACAGACAGAAGATCTGGATGATCACAAAGAATTTCACAGCACTGTCAAAAATGCATCGTGCAGTTATATGTACACACCACAAGGGGCAGCCTTCACCTGCTGTTAGAAACTGTAGGAGCCAAAATGCTATTAAGCCTGAGTTTATTTGTCGTTTTATTATCGTTTCAGGGTATATGCAGGAATCCTGAAGTCAGATGTAATACCTTTTAAGACCTTTTTTAAGACCCTTTCCATACATTTTAAGACCTCATCGCCACTTTGAGTTTTAACCGGTTACATTGGCGACACACTTTACCTCACATTGACTATATACAGTATTGATTGTCCTTCCTCCTTATCTTCCAACCATTTGGACGCAGACTTGCATTTCCCCATAACGATGTTGTTTAACAACCGGCGTAAACGGACCTTCGCGCGCTATCAAGCAGTGAGTGTGCGATGTCCTGTTCAGATGACGTCAAATCCAACGGGATGCCATAAATAAACTACACAGAATCACACTACACACCTACGCAATGATTACATTCAGGCAGACTGTAGAATACAACCTCTTTGGACAATTTATATACTTATTGAAAACAAGCTACAAAATGTAATACCTTGGAAAATGCCGTTTAATACTTTTTAATAGCCTTCATTTTCGCTAAATTGATTGATCAACTTTTAATACTTTTTAAGACCCCGCGGACACCCTGCCGTTTGTTTAGACCACTTTTATTTGTATTTGTTTAGCACTTCCGGGTGTGTGTTTTTTAGAGGGTGAGCATTTGCTGATTTGATTTTTCTGTTGACCGTGTGGTCCTAGTTATGTTATCGTAGGTTTCCTTTTTGTTTATGAAATATGATTAACCTTTCAGCTTCTGAACGGACTCTTTTTGAAAACGCCTCACAGCCTTAAGCCAAGTTTAGCCTCTCAGCGACTCAAATTAGTGTGAATTGTGAATGATATTTCATGTCTCGCAGGTCAGATAATGATCAAAAACCAAACTCAAGAACAAACCAAAAGGGCAAACAATGAACTAACTTAGTAAGCGCAAAAACGTCAAACACTATCATTTCAAGTTGACATGCAGAGCAGCATGCGGAGGAACCTACCGCTCCAGCTGGGCGGACCTGAGGACAACACGACCACACAGTTAGATTACTGTCAAAAGTGTTGGATTTCCCCTTTTTTGTTTCAACGAGAATATAATCTATTTTATCTTTCCAGGCCCGAACACCATTTGTATTTCCAACATCTAAAGAGCGTTACCTTGTCTCCGTAGCTCATTTTTGACAGCTTCTACACCTCCCTTCTTCTCGATGAAGTCGTAGATGACCTTGGAGGTCTCCTTGTCCTTCAGCTGAGCCTCGGAGATGCCGCACATGTCGAACAGATTCTTCAGCTCTGGGTCCAAGTTATTCAACTGAAGGAGGAAACCAGATTTTGGGATTATTGTACTGAATTATTAGAAAATGCTCATGTAACAGAGATACAATTGATAATTGTCATTGGGGCACATTTGCTCCAAACTGTATTAACATCAAACTTTGTTTCAACTGAGAGGAAAAACTCATCAGCTGATTCTGTGCCATTAAATCAGAATCAGATATTTAAAAAAAGTATTTGTGAATCCTTTGTGATGTCTCCTCTGTGAAGACAACTTCAGAAAAGTAGATTTTCAATAAACTACAAATTATTAAAAAAACTACAATAATAATACTAGCTGTTATGCTGCCCCCTGGTGGCGTGGGGTAACACTACCAGGAATTTTCTTTCTGTGAGCCAACCAGGAAGAAATCATTATTGAATGATCATTATTTACTACCAGGGCCGGCCCTTGGCATAGGCAGTATAGGCGAATGCTAAGGGCGCATCAATCTATGGGGGGGGGCGCCGAAAATTGAAAAAAAAAAAGTTAGAAATAAAAGGAAATTTTTTATTTTTTATTTCATAACACAATTTCCCGATTTTGGATCAACAAAGTACATCTTATTATCTTATACTAACAGAATTACGCCTATATTGCGTACAGCGCCCATAAACTATGGCGCACCCCCCCCCCCCCCCAAAATCAAGTTGAACTGCCCCAGACCCAGTAAAAACCAGAGGTTTATGTGAAATAGTTCTTTTTTTGAAATAATGGTTTTAGTGTGCAATTATAGGTTTTAATTTTGTATTTGTGTTAATTTAAAATAAATCAAACTCCCAAAAAACGTATACAGCTTTTATTAACATTGGAATTTACTGTGTAAGCGGCCGGGGGGGCTTGGTGGTAGGGATGGGTACCGAGTATTAAACGGGCCCGGAGGCTGAATTATTAAAGACCGTGGTTGGTACCGTTAAGCTCCGACGTTATCGGTCTTTTTATCGGTACTGGAGACATCTAAAATATGTGTCATGTGTATTATTGCTACACAAACATTATATTGCAGTTTTAGTGTCGCCAACTCCGTATCTAATACGCAAAAAGACTGCAAAATGCGTCTATGATTATTTTTAGTATTTTTGATCTTTCCAATCCAGACGAGAGATCTCTCTCCCCTGTCTGTGTGCGAGGGGGCGGCGCAGTTTACACACACGCAGCTGCTACATGCAGCAACACACACACACACACACACACACACACGCAGCTGCTACATGCAGCAACACACACACACGGACAGAACGCGCTCCAAGGTGTGGTTAAACTTTACCCGTCTCGATGTGGACAATGCTCGTTACCAAAAGTGCAATAAGAGTTTAGCATGTAAGGGCGGTAACACGAGCAATTTGTCTAAACATTTATCAAAAGTGCTCCACATTCAGACGGAGAAATGCACCGGGTTCGACTGTCTTTCTAGTGGCTCTGTAGCCCCATCCACGAGTAACTTTTCCACGTCAGGTGTTATGTATGCTAGCAGCAACACATGGAGTTAACTCAATGATACAAACATGGGTTAATGATTAGAGGGAACTGAGTTATTTAGTTTGTTAAAGTTTCAGCCATTCTGTTTACAGTTCTGTCATCACATTATTTAATAAGATTTGTTAAAACACTGTGGTTTCTTTTGATGTGAAATATTATGTATTTAATTTAAATAAAAAGCAATGTTAGTTTTGTTCACAATTTGTTTAGTTAGTTTACCTCATTTTTTCTCTCCAAAAGAACCGATAAGAGTACCGTTAAAAGACCGGGTCGATAAGCGGTGTCGATAAAAGTAGTAGTACCGTTAAAACCTTAACGATACCCATCCCTACTTGGTGGATGCCCTCTCAGCCCTGGTCTGGCGGAAACACTGACTGACATCATCCAATTAAATCAGTCCTTGAAAGCTTTAAGTTATGAAATCATCTGAATTCATCTTTTTCATTTGCTGACGGTAAGTCCTCTGACCCGTGTGATCTGGTGCTCATCATCCTGCACGCTATAATTACTGATGATGTTTTTTTTGGGACTGAGTCCATGGATTATGCAGATACAGGTTGAGTCTCTTCCCTCTCAAATATATCCTCGTGTAACCCTCCTGATGATGACTTGGCTGCGCAGCTCCGTTTAATATTTTTGGAGGCGAAATACAATTTGAAGAGTCTGAGGGATGTGTGACTGAGGATCAGATCACCAAGAGGCCAAGTTTTAGGAACATCTGGAGGTAGCATACGATGTGTGAGACACGCCTATGAACACATTTCAAATACATTCTTGTTTTGCACTTACATCAAAACCGGTATTTGGATCCCATCCTACGTGCCCGATGTGCCTGTGAGAGAAGAGAAAGGGAGAGCTGGTGAGAAGGTGAAGATAAATGCAGCACATATCCCCAAAATAGGGAAGAAACACACAAGTAGAAGTTCAATACATTGCAGCCATACACTCCTCTGTTTTTGAATTCCTGAGGGCCCAGTGGTAACCTGCAGAATCGCTTAAAAGAATATGAAAGCTGCCTCGGACTATTCCTGAAAAGCATCACTCCGATATTCCTGCGTTACCAATAACTCCTCATGCTGTATAGGATCAGAATCTAAAGGATTCCCGACTGGATTAAAGCCTCGTCCAGATCACCAGTCCTTATATGGGCATGGGATATCGGAGTCATATAAGAAAGTAGAATAAACTCAACGACCTACAGTCATGGAGCTGTTGTACTGTGTGTAATCTGCAGTTGTGTCTTGAACTGAACAGATTAACACTATTTAATCCTCATTGTAATGCTATCATCATGTATTAAAGCTGCTGTGCAGTGTATTGCATGTTAAACAACAAAAAATGATCCAGGATAAGGATTTTCTTTACTTCCTCTAAGAAAAAAAGGACAGTAAAAGAATCGATTTCATTCAGAAATGACAGTTTAAATGTAAGCCTGCTGCCTGCCACTCGTCCACCGGCAAACTGACCAGACATCGATCCATCTATTAAACTATAAATTGACGCAGATCATCGAATAACATTGTTCAATTATTTGCCTGTCTGACCCTCATCATTGGGCTCCTTGTAGATACAAAAGGTGCAGTATTATACATTTTTCGATGTAACAGGCGAAAACTTCATAATCTGTATTTACCGCCAATCAAATGACAGCGAGTGTTTTTCTCACAAAAAGGGGCGTGGCCTTGCGCAGAGGGAAAGTACCAGGATGTGTTGCTCTCATCTATAGCCAGAATGCATTCAAAGTTTGCAGGATCACACAAACCATACGGCACAATATGCATCACGGTAGGACATATCTGTGGTGGCTCAATTAGCTAGTAGCTAGGCTACTTTGACGCGTTTAAAGTATTAAAGTCTGTACTTAAGTTAAAGTTTAAGATGTTAAATGAACAAAGTAACGCAAAGAATAATCAAAAGCATGACCACACCGAACTGTTTACACACTGAACCTAGCTCAGCCTCATTGTCTTTCCACAAACCCTGACATACAAATGTAAACGACAGCTAAAGCATTTTGGCTCCTACAATATGATAAAGAGTAATTGAAAGATGTATTTGACTCACTGGAAGTTGCTGGGTGTGCCGATGTCTGCCTTGGTCAGCCTCTTTTTCTTGGACTTGCCCTTCTTCTCCCTCTTTGGGAATGCCGAGTGCACGATGTTGTTCACCTGAGAGTTGTTGTTGTAACGCTGCATGTTGCTGATCTCTGGGTTTTTGATGTCCACCGTAGCCATGGGCAACGTCGGGCCTTAATAAGGAAAGACAATAAAGATTAGGGTATGTATAATACAACGTGTGGAAAACCTAGAAGTCAATTGTTTCACTGAAATATAAAAAGAGGCAAATCTTTAGATGTGGGGTTTTGCACTAAATCTACTTTAACGTGGAATAAAATGACCTTCTTAAACACAGACAGGGTCAGAAATAAGGTCTATTATGAAATGCGAACATGGAGCTTCTTTAGGGACAGCAGTGCTGCCTATGTTACGTAATGAATAAAATAAAAATTATGCCCCGACAATCTGGAACAAATTGCCCGAATCATGCACGTCCGCAGAAACTCTTACTATTTTCAAATCGAGACTGAAAACATATATTCTTGCCGCCTTGCCTAATAAATGTTTTCCAAAGCAGACTAAAATATAGACTGTTTGGCAAAAAAGAAGCTGGATATTTTATTTGGGCTTAAAAGATATGAGATTATAACAATACTTCAGGTTCAAAATGACAGAATACCAAAACATAACAAGCACAGTTCACAATGTCATTGATATAAAAGCTTTTAATATGTTGTAGAACGTAGGTTTAGTGAGCATCCTTTAGTCTTAGTTTTGAGTCCTTTTAAGCAAGTTCACTCAATCATCATAACTGTCAGTTTGTTATTTCTTTAGTAGTGAAAAGACAGTCTATTATTTACTCCTTTTGATATGTTATTCTCAATAGGGCCATGACAGGCAGTAATGACACCGGGTTATCTGACTTAAAACTGATATCTGCATACAGTATGAACGCAACATCTGGCAGCAATGCAACAAATATTTTTATTGGAGTCATTCTGGCTTTGGTTTGTAGTCTGGGTAGAATTGACAAATCACGTTTGGGCTTTGATAGGTAATGGGTTTCCACGCGGAGAGCTAAAGAGGCAGAAGAAGATGCTCGGAAAGCATTGGCTATGGTCTGTCAAGAATTTACGTTTTTATTAGCTTTAAAAAAACTAAAAAACGTATACTGTACGATGACCGGTGTGTGATATATTGGGCGTTGAGACTAAATTGCCGTCGGAGAGAAAACCCATAGATTTGTTTGCTCAACTACCAACATAAAACAGACAAACAATTACATTTATTTGAATGTGAATAATAGATGCACTTTTTGCCTTTGTACATACATCTAAAGAACAGGAATAGGTCACTTTTTCTTCTTTACATGACGACACTAAATTGGACTGGAGGCGATAAGATACACCCACATGTCACATAACTACGCACTAATGTGAACCGCTAACAAACAACCACAGGAACTCTGTCACACACGTGCAGCCAAACAACGTGGATTTAAATCACTATTAAGAGGTAGCATTGCCTCCGTACCTTTGAAACTTTCACTACATGGACTTTTGGGTGTTTTGCTGGGCGATGGCGAGGCGGAGCGGCTGCGTCGCCTCCTCACCCGGTCCCAAATACACCCCCCCTCTTTCGCCCCGCAGGTGCTCATACCGACACCTAAAAGCATTTTGTCCACCAGGTTTTGAGCTCCCTCTCCGGAGGGTACGGAGACTGGAGCGTTGGGTGGGTACAGTTCGTCCTGAGGGAGAACCAGGCAGTGTAAAGAGGTCAGGCAGCTCCCTGGACTCAAACCTCCACCTCCTCCTCCTCCTCCTCCTCCATTGACTTCATAGTTAGGATCCTCAGAGGGAGCGGACAGGAAGGTGGTGCAGAACATCATCGTGGCAGATGTTAGCAGGGCATGAGAGATACAGAGAGCTCAGATAGAGAGAGTCCAAAGAAGATCCAGGGTTCAACAAAATGACTTCTGGTTGAGTTTTGGCTCCAGAAAGATCTATGGTATTGTTTCTCCGACAAGAAATATGGTGCGTCACATCCAGGAGATTCTCATTCCCAAGATTGACACACAGCTTCCGCTTTAATATGACGTTGTAAGTCGAGGAAAAAGCGCAATCCAATTGTTGTCTCTTCAGAATCGAGTCCAGTCTTCTCGGAGAAAAGATTCTCATGAAATCAAATGATGATGATGATCGCAAAGGTTTCCCAAAAGCACTGAAAATAAGCCAACTTGTGACGGACTTAGTGCATTTACTGAAGTAATATCCTCATCAGACAGAGTTTACACGCTGTCTGAGCTGTGAGGGCAGACATCCAGCAGTGCCATCAGAAAGTAAGAAGGGCCCGCCAACACTTTAAGTTTCCACTTCCTTTCACATTCCTTCCATCACAGCAAGAGTTTCCTCCTATGCAAATTGTTCACCAAATGTCCCTGCTTTATCCGTGTGTCTGAGCTCCGCATATTTTCTATCTGTTTTGCAATCATTTTCTATCCCTTTGACTTTCCATCTCAGCGGGAAGCACTGTCAGATTATCTTTGCTCGGATTGGCCCCCAGCGAACATTTCCCCCCCCCCCCACCTCCACTACCGTCTCCTCCCTCTCCCTGCAAAACACACGAATGGATCTAATCCCAGCAAATCATTCTGGATTTAGTGCTGGATATTATTTTTTTTACGTAACCCATTAAAACCCCATCCGTGCGTAATCCCACGTTAATCTCAGGGGGGGGGGGGTTTGAAAACATGGTGAATCTGCACGGTGAGAGAAGACAAGAAGACGGAGAAATGAAGACCGGAAAGGGATGACAGGGCAGAAATGATGAGAAAAGGGCAGAATAGACGGAAAGCAGACTGGAGATGACAGACAGGAATGCCGTATGGAAGCTAAAAGTGAGACAGATGGAGATGGAGACGGAGAGGAGATGCTCCTGTGGGTCGGGCATGGATGACTTTGGCACCAATTCAAACACAAGATGCTCAGAAATGACAAATCCAAGACAGGAACATGACTCGGACGAAGCATCCTTTTAATTCTCCTTTCCTTTGCATGATCTGAAAACAAGCTATAACAGAATATCAAGGCAGAGTCTGTCAATAAAGTCAACCCATTATCCCAGAAATGGTTTATACCAGCTCCGAGTTACACGGTGGTTTAGCTACGTCACGAATGACAGCATCTGACCACACGTGACCCGAAAAGCATCCGCAGGCCAACTGCTGTTCAAATATAAGCTGAACGTGGAAATGTGTGTGCATGCTCACACGTATTAATAAGCCAGCTGTTTCAAACCGTGCTTCATGTCAGCCTTGAGCTCGACCCCAGGCTGTGTGTGTGTGATGCTGCTTGTCCACAAACAAAGTGTGCGTTTCTGCAAATGCATTCCTTCTGTAACGTCATCATAATTAGTGAGGGGCGGGCCATGAAGGGCACGTAGTTTATAGATAGAGGCTCACTTTAAGGCAGGGCTGTCAAACTCAATTTCATCGCGGGCCACATTAGAATTATGGTTGCACTCAAAGGGCCGGTGGTAACTTTAAGACTATATGAATATACATAGATAAATATATATAATATATATAAAATAATGTATTATTTAACAATATTTCCTCTGCATTGGATTATTATTGGATAGGGTAATAACTTTATAATTAACTACGTCTGAAAGCAGAAGTCTAGGGCAAATAATTGCAAGTAATGGCAAGTCTCTTCAGTGCGCATCTCACAAAATGAGATGCATTGTGGGACATGTAGTTTATGGGCAACGTGCTCCTGAAAAGCGGCACGTAACCTTATAATAAACATATTATATTCTTTGCAAGCTCTTGTGGGCCACATACAGTGAAGTGGCGGGCCGGATTTGGCCCCCGGGCCTTGAGTTTGACACCCCTGCTTTAAGGTCACTGTGATATCTTGGAGTGTAACTGCATTGTAATTAGGGCTGTACTGAATAGTTCATTCGTAAGTTCCAGAAGTTTTTTTGTGATCTAAATTGACATTCCTGTTTGGGCAGCATTTAGGTAACTTGTGTGCGTTTATTCTATTTTATTTTATGTTTTTATTGTGTTTTTAGCACGTCTTCATTTGTATGATGTTTTAATGCTTTGTGAAGCACTTTGTGACTATGTCTGTGAAAAGCACTTACTAAATATTTCCCATTTGCACAAGTCTGATTCCCGCTCTACACTTCTCTCGTGTTTATTTCTGAAGCTAACGTCAGGACACATTTGAAAACGTACCATTTGGAGGGTCGCGTCTCTTCTCTGTGAACACACATACAAATTGAATCGTTACAATGCTGTGCTATTTAGTGGGTTGTGTTAGTGAGAAGCGAATGTGTCAGACAGAGATTTACAAAGAGAGTTTATTGGTGAGTGTGAGGCTCGGCGGCTTTGTGCATGTGCTGCACAGAATGGAAAGTTAGGGGAAGTTTGCCAAGCGAAGTGTGTGGTTAGCGCATTTTAGGAGACGTTAATCAGACATTCTTCACAGCCACGACTGCTAGTGTTAAATTCGTACAGACATTCAACGCCAGAAAACTGACGGCTTGAATTTTCCAATGGCTGAAGATCACAGAAGAAGACGTGTTGATATCATTTGACACCCGGTGCAGACGGCTGAAGGGCAAGAGATTAAAGAAGGATCCGTTTAAAGGTGAGGAAGTGACCCCAAGGAGAGGAAGTCAGGCGGTCTTAACCCTTAGATTGCATAAGTGGGTCTTTTTTTACCCGGTGAGGTGGTTTTCTTGAAGTATCTTTGTAATTACATTTTTTTATCATTTCATATTCCAGCTATTCCTCAATAAACATGTTTTGGATATCATGCCATTAAAATTTTAAGAAATTGTAGTTTTTGTATTACTACCCCAAGCTTCCATAAGTGGGTCAAATATGACCCGCATGCATTTTCTATGTGATCCTCTGGGAAAACGTTTTAAAAAATGTCTAAAATGATAAATAGTGAAAAATTAAATATAAAATATTTCTAGTGTGAACCAAAATATAATACTAAATATTATACAAGAGATTTTTCATAACCAAAATGACAAAAATGGCATAAAAACACATATTATTCTAATACGGGTCCTTTTTGACCCACTTATGGAAGAGTGTAGGGTCCAGTCACTCGTGCATCTAAGGGTTAATCAAGCAAGAAATATATAAAAATGTGTTGGTGATCGTATGGTGTCGCAAAAACAATGTCAATCAGTCAAACATTCACGGCTCATTTCATTGGATAGAAAGACAAGATAGGTGTTTTAATGCAAAAATAAATGTTGTTAAATTGCCTTTCAGTTTTGTCTTTTGCCAGTTAAGTCTAATTGTTGGTGCTGGATTAAAAAAAAGTAAATATAGTAGAGTAGGTTGTTCGACAAACACACAATTCTTTGCTGCTCAATCTTAATTAATAAAAGAGGGCATAACTCAAAGAAAATAACCATGATCAATTGATGACACTGTGGAAATATTATGCCCATGAGGGAATTCCTCTCAATACTTGTTTCCATGTATTTCTTTTGCCAGTCAGTATATTTGTTCAACCCCCAGAGGGCAGTGTTGTGATGCATCCCAGAGGTTTTGCTTACAGTTATTCTGGATTTATCATAAACATTTGACAGAAAACATTATTGTGATTTGACTTTGGAAGTGTCATAAGAGCACCTTAATGACGGCAAGGTTTAAAACGGTGATATGGGTTTTCAAAGTAAATCAGAGGAAGCAGTAGATGGTATAGTTTTAGCAGACCCAGGCAAAGCATTCTTAAACATGTCCAATACATGACTCTTTGGTGAAGTGTTGGTTTAAATAGACTCGTATATCAGGCCTAAAGTATGATTTAAGCATCTGTATAGTACTTCAGAATTCATTTGGGTCATGTATGGAAGTTAAAACCATTTTGCCCAGGTCTGTGTGGTTGAGAATTGTAAAAAAGAATGACAAGTTTAGAAATGAATATGATCTTGTGTTCACACTAGTCAAGCCAAGGGATTAATTCAAGCCAAAACCTCCTATTGCATCCTTTAAAAAGACACATAAAGCAAAGTATAGACAGAAGCAGACGTGACAAACTGACTGCTTTTGAAAACGACTTTCTGCATCCGTGTTTTAATTTAACTTGAAATAAGCTCAAAGACTGAACTGTGAATATAAATAGTTTCCCTTAAAATAGAAGATACAGAATCTCATGATTTAATAAGGTTAGACTCTTGTTTACCAGTCAATTCTAAAATCAAATACAGAGTTCAATCCCAGATCAAATGTAGGTTAAAGGGTCTTAAACATATTGTATTCAGCGATTGTAATGTTAGGTTAAAAGTCTGTTGTTTCTTGTGTTAAATATTTGTCTTTGTTCACGTTGCAAATACAGCTGCTGTAATGCAAGAATAACGTCAGACTTGATCTCATAGAAACAATGGATTATTTTGAACACAAGATATATATTTTCTAAACCCGTCATTCTTTCAGTATGTTCGGTCAGGAGGAAGGTTTGTAGGCATGTTTGCCGCAGCAGTAAGTAGGTACCAGATTTCCTCTGTCTTCTCCCGATGAGCTCGTTCACATGGCTGCGGAAGCGCTTCGTCTCCTCCTCACTGGCAAAGTTCAGACCCACCTGGCAGTTCTGTGACACACACACACACACACACACACACACACACACACACACACACACACACACACACACACACACACACACACACACACACACACACACACACACACACACACACACACACACACACACACACACACACACACACACACACACACACACACACACACACACACACACACACACACACACACACACACACACACACACACACACACACACACCACACACACACACACACACACACACACACACACACACACACACACACACACACACACACACACACACACACACACACACACACACACACACACACACACACACACACACACACACACACACACACACACACACACACTTTGTTAAAGTTTCAGCCATTCTGTTTACAGTTCTGTCACCAGATTATTTAATACGATTTGTTAAAACGTTGTTGTTTCTTTTGATGTGAAATATTATGTATTTAATTTAAATAAAAAGCAATGTTAGTTTTGTTCACAATTTGTTTATTTTCATTTTTCATTTAATTGTTTATTTGAATAGGGACTATGCACATTAAAGGTAGGGTAGGTAATTTTGAGAAACCGGCTTGAGATCGCTAGAATTTGAAAATACACAACCGGAGAAAATCTGCCACTTCCTTACAGAGCCCCTCCTCCAACACACACGAACGCGCACATGACCAATGAGGGCACGAGATAAGTTTGTGCACAGATGGAAGGCTGACAGGCAGGTAGGCCATCCAGTTATTTTAGCCGGGTCGGCTCAGATGATTGGTCGTGCTTTTTACAGTACTAAGGCTTCCACAGATGACATTTTTTTATGGATTTTTTGTCAAAGCATTTCAGATATTCATTGCTATCGGGATGTTAAGAGCATTCCATGGAATATAACAAAAAGTGTATCTCGAGCCGGTTTCTCAAACTTACCTACCCTACCTTTAATGAACACTTTAGACAAATAATGCTTCAAGTGTAAATATGCCGGATTTTAGCTTTGAGCTAATTTCCATCCGTAGTCCCTGACATACAACATATAGTTAGTTTACCTCATTTTTCTCTCCAAAAGAACCGATAAAAGTACCGTTAAAAGACCGGACCGATAAGCGGTATCGATAAAAGTAGTAGTACCGTTAAAACCTTAACGATACCCATCCCTACAAAGAGATGTCACAATGACTTTTGGTAGGTAACGTGGATGTGGGCTCACATATGACAGTTCTCATATACATTTTCTGATGAACATAAACTCTGTAGCAAAGCGTTTGTACTTGATTTGTTGAACAAAATCATCCCCAGGAATAAACTGATTTCCAAAATATATTTTTTCTTGTTAAAAATGTGCTTTCCAAATCCCCCCCCACAGTTTGAATGTCAATATTTGTTTTTTTCATCAAGGATATCAGCGCCCTTTCTCAAAGACTTAAATGTATTTTATTCAATGTAATGTCTCTGGTGTTAAGACGTAGTTTGCATGAGAGGCAGATCCTGAAATTGACTACAAATGAAGAAAAAAGTATTTATAAGACAAAGAGTATAGGAAAACTCACATCTCCAGTAAATGTGATGAAGTAAGGTTTGGGGAGGTAGATGCTGAAGTTGTTGTACAGCTCCTGTTCAAACATCATCTTACCCTCCTGTGGGAAAACACACAGACACAGTTAAATAAATGCTTCACCATATATATCAAACACTAACAGCATCCCACAGACTTTACCGTGTGGCTATAAAATGATGAGGTGGTCAGGAATATGAAATGGCGGTACACCACATACGATACGATAATACTTTTATGGTCAGATCAAGTCTGAAATGTGACTTGCATCCCAGCAGCTCCATGTGTAACATCAACATAGACAGATATCAAGACACAATATATGAACAACAAACATTTAACATAACAGCATAATATATTATATATAATATTATTGGTGGTGAGTTCCATCATCCCTCAGCTACTACAGTGTTTATGTGCTGCTCTGTACGTCCTCACCTTGATGTCCCACACCCGGATGAAGTAGGATCGCAGCGGGTTGTCTTTGACCAGACAGGCCACCCCGCAGCCTCTCTTGTTCCAGATGGAGTTCCTGTCTGCGGTGTACAGCTGCACCACGGCCGAGGACAGGGACTGGAGGGAGAGGAGAAGAGAGGGAGAGTCAGGCAAAGCCAAACCAAGAGGTTTCTAACAAGGGTTTTAACCTAGTACAGCCCAATATGCTAATACAATATGCTAATACAATATGCTAATACAATATGCTAAAATGAAAATACATACTGTGTAAAGTAGCGGTTCCCAGCCTGTGGGCCGTGACCCCTAGTGGGCCGCGAAGGCATTGCAAGTGGGCCGCCAAATTATTTGCAAAACATTATGATTTGAGTGGAAACATTTAATTATTAAGATTTTTTTTTATTTGAACCTCTTTTCCTTTCTCTTTCTTGATCCTCCTTAGCAACGGTCATTACAGTCCTTGACAACGGTCTGTGTCACATGTTCTGAGTTGACCAATCAGAACTTTATTTAGCCTCTGTATTGTTTATGGTTGAATGTGGGCGGCGAACATATTTTAGATTCTTATGTGGGCCCTGAGTTGAAAAAGGTTGGGAACCGCTGGTATAAAGGAAATTAAAAGATTGATCCCTATTAAACCAAAGCTCTCGTCACACATTCACTGAACCCTAAATTAGACGTCATGCGAAGAAGCTGTATGTGAGAACGCAAAATGTCCCAATACGTTGAATTGCTCATTGTCCGGATAATTCACAATGAAGATGTTTGTGTGTTGATGAGGTTTTCATGGGTTCCTTTACATGAATCAGCAAACCAAAATGTCTAGCTGGCGAGAGGACGAGATTCGTACGATTCTGTCGGTGTCAGACAAAGTCACGAAACGGAAAGAGACTCAGTTATTTATGAGCAAATTACTAAGTTTCTCCATAAGTGAGAACACCGCTTACATCGACAATCTCTTGCTGTGCACCTGGAAAGTGAAACTCAGTACGATGTTAGGACCTGATTCCCCAGACATTGCCCAAAGTGCAAAATGAAAGCAATGAATTGATGGCAACACTAACGCAGGTTGGTAGCAACGTAACCTTCAATGTGTCTCTGAACTCATCAACTGTCTCAGGCTGGAGCCACGAGGACGATAACGCAAACGGACCGAAATCGATATCAAAAAAGTCTTCCGTCCACACGCAATAGGCACCAGAAACGTGTCCGTTCACACGAGACTGCTCGAAAGCGCTGGAGACGCTGTAGTACATATGCCGGGCCTGTAAGTGGCGCTGTACTCCTGCCACAAAAGCAGCTTAGAAGACTTCCCGTGCATGGTTGCCATGGTTGCCCTTCTGTTTATTCTCCACTGTGGACGCTCTGGCTCTTTTTCTCCCTCCCCGAGGCAAGCGTTTGCTCCTGCTGTAAATCTCCCCGGTAGTCCACCAGCAGATGAAAAACACCCACCTCTCCGCCTCTTCCAGGGGACGAGGGGACCGTGCGGCAGAGTTTCAGTTAGATTTTTTTTCGCCGGTCAACATGTCCGTTAAAGTTGAAATCTTCCGGACAAAATTAGAAAAGTGCCGGTCAGAGGTCTTCTTTGTTATTTATTGAGCTTTAAAACAAATGAATTACGACTCTATATAATAATATAAGAATAACAAACGGAGCCTCTCTTTTCCTCCCCCTCTTCTGAGAGCCCAGCAGCTGATCTCTGAGCAGGAGAGGCGGGGCTATTGCTTCAACGTTATCAGGAAATGATCGTATAGGCGTAAACACGGAGCCCCCCCCCAGAACGTTTCGTACGCAGATCTACCCACCTTGGGACCCGTTATCGTTATCGTTTTATGCGTGTCCCTGTCGGCCTCGTGTGGCCGAACCGTCTATATGATAGAGAACTGTAGCGGATATGACCGTTATCGTCCTTAATCTGCAAAGCCCATGTTTGCAAAACTCAAGATCTGCTGGAGATACAGCTCTGCGTCAGTCTGTGTTTACAGCACCGACTCTGCAGTGGATAAAGAAAGGCAACAGCTGCCCTAGTTGTTGCTGTGTAAGCTGCACAATGACACACGCTGAGAAGCACAACTGTAACACACTCAGACACATCCATGATCATAAGAGCAGATGAGGCTCCAGCAGGTTTACAGGGGGCCGGGGGGGGCTCATACACAGCAGGGGGTCTGACTTCAGTCATTAACACACAGATGAAAGCAGCGGCAGCTCACAGGGAGTCGCTGCTGATCACCTTTTCAACTCAGTGCTTCCTGGAAGATACTTCAACAACGTGATGTGTAAATGTGATGTTTAAATGAAGCAGATGCAAAGAGGTAGATTTTATTTAAAGTAATGCCAGCAAGACACATATTTCCACAGCAGCAAAGATTTATCTGTGTTTTTTCTGGTTATTTTCTCTCTAAGCATGTTGTCTATTTTATTTTTGCTTGTTTTAAGAGCAGTTTATAAGTCGAAAACAGTACAGCTGCAACTTAAACTTTAATAACATTGAAAGCAATGAATGTCCCTAGTCCCTTTATTGATATTTGCCAACTGTATGAATGATTACTGCATGACAAGTAGCACTTATTGCATGACAAAAACAATTATGTGGCTCTCTTTCTGCTCGTCCTTGTTATCATATCTGCCCACAAATTCCCTGGCTTCAACTTCTCATGAACTAAATGAAATCGTAAATTCTGATATCTCGGTACAATCGTATGCTACGTCTTTGTCAATAGTCTTTTAACCATTGACCACTTTTAAAAACAATGTTGACAGCAATCCAAAAAGATCTGACCTTAGCAATAAATCAGAATTGAGCGCTAAGGCTAGCAGTTTGAACAAGTTCTGAAAAGGCAGGTGAAGTTAGAAGCTACAAAAGTTCCTTTAAAAATGTTTCAAGTGAAATAGGACCACTTGTCTGTGTCTTATAAGAAGAACTGCCAAAAGACTAGTTCCAAACATATAGACAGTCTTTTAATTAGGCAATCAAATCCTAGGCCCCCTCAAAAATGTAATTCGGACTACACACTGTTCACAGCCACTGTAGCAGACAAAAGAGAAAAGACACTATTATACAATTTAGGTTGTAACACGTGCACGTGGAGGAGATGTTACACCATAAGGATGGTGTATGATGCGAGTCTAACCTCAATGTATCAGCCAATTAGAGCTCTCTCTCTCAACCTCCGCTGCATTATATTCATTTAATAGCCCGATGCTACTACTAATTGACATGCATCCAAATTTCAACCTACATTTAAGAACTCAGCATCAACAGACTATGAAGATATGACAATTTGTCGCCTCATAGCAGCATTACAGCTCTTAATTATGTTGTTTTTTACCCTACATCAAATCGGATTGTATGAATTCCTCTTTATGAAAGAATTTCTATGCAACAGCGATGTTAATGGTGTCCATGCTGCTAAATCCCGGGGCTTCATCTGCCCATGGAGCGCTGATTGTTCCTGACAGGGCCGAAGGCAGGAAGTAAAGCTGCGTCTATGGCGTCATCAAGACCCGACAAAAAAATAAAAATCATACTTGCTTACAGTCACACACAAAAAACATCTCTCTTATTCTTTCTGCTACTATGATGAAGCTCAGCACACACACTGCACAATCACTATCTTACTTTTTCCACAGAGAAAAAATCCATCCTGATTTAGGAGAGTTTCTGGAAACTACCTTAAAGAATATATTCAAAACTTATATTCTGTGTGAAAAAGGAAGTCAGGACATGCAAAAAAAAATCTGCTTTCTGCAGAAGCCAACTATAGCTGACTCATTTTGAATGCGGTCCAATAGCCATTTGGTCAAGCTGTTCCATATTGGCACACAATCATCACACCTCTTCACATGATCTTCTGGAAGGACAGCAAGTAAAAGATGGGTAGGAACATAGAAAAGGAAGCGAGGCAGTGTAGGGAGAGGGACAAAGGGACAGTGTGTGGGAGTAATAGGAGACGGATGGGATGTACAGGAGGAAGAGATGGGCTTGATGAAGTCCTGAAGAGAAAATATGAATGACAGCAGATGATAGTAATGCTGTAAGGAGAGACTAAACAGGAGGAAGGAAGGAAGGAGAGAAAGGGGGCAAAGTGGAGGAAAAGAAGATTAATGTTCCACTTCTCCAGCACAAATCACCAGAGGAGGCTGACCACAGGACTTCCTGTATGAGAGGACTGCTGATCAGGCAACACACACACACACACACCCCCACACACCCTTTGCCCAGTCAGACTGTCGCTGATGGGGAAAACAGCAGAAAGAATACCAATGAGCAAAACCAATGAGTAAGAGCACTGTGCATGTACCTGTCTGTGTGTTGCTCTTTATGTGTGTGTGTGTGTGTGTGTGTGTGTGTGTGTGTGTGTGTGTGTAGATGCATTATTCAGACATGCAGCAGAATGCAGGTGGAAATACTAACATGTACTTCCTAAAACATGATCCAAGAAGGTACACAACTCACTAACTAAACTACACACTAAATGCCCGTACATGTCATGTGTATTCTGTATGCTTTGTTGCACTAAGATACTACATAAAACTAAATTCTGTTTAATGTGATATAAAAGGAGAACAAATCTCCATATTTGAGAAACTGAAACAGCATCTTCTGACATTTGTGCGTGAACAATGAATTGATTGTCAAAATAGTAGGAGATTATTTATCTGTTCATTTATTGGATCGACTGATCATTACATCTCAATAAAAAATACAATTATTAATTTTTTTGTAATTTGAATGAACTTTTGCCTCTCCAAATATTTGTTTTATCAATACTCAGCTACCGTCTGAAGAGCAGGCGAAAAAGTAGTGCCACAGAATTTAAAACATGTAGAGTGTTTTCTATGTCATTGAAGCAACATTACAGCAGAAATATTCAGAGCAAAGCTGCTGAAAAACATGTCCTTTGTACAGTATCACTGTTGACCATAACCTCTCAATACTGAGTGAGAGAGATCTCGGTTACCTTAAAAGAATAAGCTAATATGCAAAAAAGCTTTTAAGAGCCAGAATAAATCAAGTGTAACTCGGCTGAACGGAGCCCATTAATGGCTGTGCATCTTACAATGAACAGTACAAATAAAAAGGGAAGGCAAAAGTTGACACAATTTCTGCACAAGCACATGACACACTCTCACTCAGTCGGCCACTAAATCACTGGTGGGCATCCTAATTAGATTGGCTGGGGAGACACACAATGTCTGTCTCCTTCACTCTCTCTCACTCACCCCCACACACACACTGACTCTCTCTGCATGCAAAGTTGTGCACTGACACACAAAGCGTAGGACTGCCAGGAATGTTCTGGATTGTGCTCACATGCGAAGTGACAGGGCTGAGCAATTTGGAAACAAATATCTAATTTGTTTTGGACTGATATATGCAGACACATTATGATAATTGTTTGCATAATTGTTCATACGTTTGTACAATACGATCTGTAAACCAGGGGCCGAAACAATTCTTTAAATATTGGACCTCTTGCAAGTTGGATATTGCACAAGTGCATTTTGCAATTTCGATAGGATTCTAGTCCAGCCACCAGTGACACCATTGCCAAAATGCCTGAGGATATTCGTCATTTTATTTTGTTTAAAACAGGTTATATAGGTGTAGGAAGACACACCTCAGGAAGCTGCAAGGGAGGGGGTGAGGCTCGCACACTGACAGGCTGACATCATGTATGATGGGACAGGAAATGCCTTTCCAAAGCCAACACACACACACACACACACACACCTCACACACCAAGAAAATATGTCAGTCATACACAACCTTTACTGTACACACTGAGAGGTCAGTATGATCAGCATGGGGAAAGTTACAGGAGAACAGGCAATGTCTCGGCTTAGGGCTGGACGATTTAAAGTAAATCACATTTTTCTCACCTATATCAATTTTGATACTGTCACAACATTGTAGGTTTGATGCCTTCACAAAATATTTATACAATGAGAATTTTGATACATAATCATCCGTAACTTGGATAAAATGATTAAGCAGTTGGCAAATACAGTAGTAGAAAAGCTTGAACAGTCCTGTAAATTCAGAAAATGACATCACTTCACTGTAGTCCAGCCCTTCAAACCAGGAAAAGTCAACACTTACTGTATGACATCGCAATATAATATTGATATAAACTAGATTTTTCTACACCTAGAGCACATGTATGTATCTGACACTTGACTTTCAACATGTCTTATCTGTCAATGCTATCAATAACAGGCAAAGGAGAGGCATTCTTTCCAGATGATATCACTGGTGACATAGTTTCTAAAAAAGCTTCAAAGCAATTTGGTTATATACAATGGGAATAATACAATTTTCTATATCCCACATGAACACGGTGAACTTTATATGGATCTCAAACCGTGCCTCTTATTCAGGGTTGTCCTGTGCACACAATTTTTTGGGAAATTTAACAAAACCCTCACTGCTGAGAGAAATATCATCAAACTTCACAGTGAAAGATTTACACATTTGACTACCTTAAAGGTGGTGATGCAATTTTCCGAGAGTTTCCAGATAACTCAAACACCCTTATTCCTTTGACAGGTCAGCCATAATAACAAAGATTTAAAGCTACCATCCACTACCTAAAAAAGCTTACAATATTTTAATTGTGATGAGCCACAGTAAAAAACAATATGCTGCTCTGGGAGGCAAACATCCTGTTCTCTGCTTCCCTGGGGAATAATAACTAGTTTGAACTGCTCCAATTCCTTATATAGTTGAATAATATTCATATGTACTAGCCTGTGGGTGTTCTGTAGTTGTAGTCCTGCAAGATGACAAAGAGGAGACAGAAGAACATGTAAAATAAATGTTAGGTTAAGCTACTGCTGTGTAATATTGTTGATTGCACATGTGTTGCATAAATACAGACACAGTGTAACCATAAAAATGAGTCAGCTGAATCATGCTACACGTGTTGCATCATATCAGACTCAATATTGAATCGTGACAGTGCATTACTGATCTTATGGACTGTCTTCACACCTGCTTTCTGCTCAGGTTTTGAACCTAGTCTGAGGACTTTTGAGATGTCCTAGAACAAGTCTGGTGGGCACATTCTTCACCGAGGACACACTTCCCGAAAACAACCAAGGTTCAGAGCTATGTTATGTAATGCAAAATAGCGCTGATTGATTTAACAGCTCCAAAAACACAGCTATTCACTCCTGTAGCCAATGCTAGGCTTAGCTCAGCCAGGCTAGCTGTCAGCGGTGTGTCAGGAGGATTTCCTGGGTGCTTTCAGGTGTGTCAAGCTTTAAAAGTTCATAGTGGAGGCCTGGAACAGGGATACAACTGTTTTTTTTTTCAAATGGGACGATGAACCCAGCCAACTCTCCCTTTTCTGCTGTCAAAACAAACCAACCGCTAAAGTATTTCCCCGGGAAAACAACAAACTAAAGGCCATAAACAAACCGTTACATCTCACGAGCTAGCCGTTGGTCGCGTGAAGAAAACAAACAGTTAGCATGTTTACTGCTATCATACATAACATTTAAATTGAAAACTTACAATGCATTTCCTGCCAAGGTAGTTGAAAAGGCAGTCATTTTCCTGCGGTGTCAGGAGTATGGAACCGACGTTTGCTTGCCGACGTTGCGGCGGATGTCCACTCATTATTGGGGATCAATTTATAAAGTGTGCACCGACTGTAACTCGTTATAGGAGATCCAACAACATAAACAATCCCTCGGTCATCCGTGGCCTTCCTGCGACCCCCTCACACCGGTTTATCCTGGAGGTCCACAAGAAGGGGTGCCAAGAAATGTATGTCGTTTTAGGGATGCAGTTGTCCTTTTTAAAATAAGGTCAAAACTGCAGCGACTGAGCGAAGAAGGAAAACGCTAAAAAAAAAAAAAAAGTTTCCTGGGAAGTCCACCCGCCACACAGCCCAGAGCCAGCTCCATCCAACATGGCAGGGTAAGGACGAGTTCATTATCTGGGAATAGGGGTCACACGTTTCCTAGCTGTGTCCTACATAATCAAAAAGGGTTATATTTGGGAACAGCAAACAGTGAGAAGATTATATAGAAGTAGATAACATGACAACTTTATTCTGGTAGAATGTAAGTACGGAAATGATGCTAAATAGAATTACAATCATCAGCGTACCCCCTATGCAGATGGTTTGATCCAGTCTGCCCGTGTCTTTTATGGCAGGAATGTGTGTGAGTGCAGAATGGGAGGAGATAAGAAATAAGGTGCAAGTGGGAAAGATAATGGCATACAATGCTCCCTGTAAGAGGAATTATTCAGCTGAAAATGAATGCAGAGCTAAGCCTACACTTTAATTTAAGTCTTTAAGGCTGAATAGGTGTTCAAGATGGAAATTGCCCTTTAATGATAATGTGCAATTATATTCTTGAAGTTAGAGAGGGGTCATGGCCCAGCTAAAGAGCTGTTATCTGGGGCCTATTATTTCCTAGACCATAAACATTCTCTGAGATGTGAAATGATTGGTGCTCCTGAAGCTGAAATGCCTCCAGGGACTACAGGTCTCCCCCTTTCATTGCAATAATCCATAAATAGCCTATATATAAAGCAAAGTACTATTAAGACTGCTCCAGTTACTACACATAGCCTCAAGGGTAAGACTGATAAGTGTGGCTTAATTATTTTTTACATTACATTACATGTTACTTGTTAGACGCTTTTATCCAAAGCGACTTACATACTCAATACTGTGGGCAATCCCCACAGGAGCAATTTGGGGTGAAGTGTCTTGCCCAGGGACACAACGACATGCTGACTGCAGTGGGGTTTGAACCTGTGCCCCCTGATCCGAACACCAACGCACTAACCCACTGCGCCACACACCTCCCAATTCTCCAAAGTGTACTTTTAAGTTGTTTCTACAGAATCCTTTTCAATTGACTGAGACACCCCTATAGGGCACATTGTATAATATCACAACTTAAAGCCTTTTTACATCTGACACCTTTTCATAGCGCTCATCAATTAAACAGACATATTCAGAGGCTACTATGAGTAGCCTCGAACAAGGGCAGGATACATACATATTTTACTAATGTGCCCAAAGGGTGTTTGTAACGCTCTGCAACATGCTCCGTTGGTAGCTTTTGAGAAGTGTTTACATGACAATGTAGCTATTGCCCTGTTTTGCACAGTTTGGATAAACATTTTAGACTTGTTGAAATAAACTATTGCACAGTTCTACATCTAAGAATGTGCGTGAAACTAACGGCAGTTCTCTTCTCTTGCCGGGTTGGTATTGTGGTAGGTCACTTGTAACACCTGTTCTGTTTGATTGCACATTGACCAAACTCAGCTTTTATTGATAAAAACACTTTCCATTATGTCAAGATGAAAACGCTACAATATTGCTCTTAAGGAACAAAATATGACTTTAATTTAACCATGGAATTCTCTTAATATTTGCAATATTTTATTGAATGTTGAGTTCAGCCTTATCAGCACTTAGGTGTGAGATAGATAGCTTTAATCCAATACAGACATTATGATACCTTCCTTCGCTCACTGTTCTGCAATAAATATGATCCTTATCTAGGCTGTAAATTCGTTTTATAAACCTTCACTGAACGTAAACTAAAGCTGCCCTGGACATGCTCTTTCACACTTACTGTACTTCCATGTTCTTCCACTTGTTTCAACCTGGTTCCGCGCTCTTCTCAAGAAAACTTGTTAAACTTGAAACACCCGACTAACAAGCAGAGAATCGCCTGGAGGAAATCTGCATACTCCACCTCGCTTTGGTTTGGCAAAGTGTAGAAGTGTTAGAAATGACTCATAATGAACATGAAAACATGACATTTTGTAGCAGTTAATGAGGAAAGGAAGGGCAGGAGATTAATAAAAGCAGATGTACAGCTGAAGAACGAAAGTAAGCAAAAACATAAGTAGTAAAACTTAGCAGTGTGTGATTTTATCCCAGTGCATTAAACCCAATTTTCCTATATGTAGTTACAACGTAAGCAATTACATCAGTACATTGTGACGTATTGAGAAGGATACAGATGCTCTATTCACAGAAACTAAATGATACTGACAGCTACTGCTTGGTATGCACTTACTCACACAAAAACAAGACAAGTGAGCGGAGCAGATACTGTTGTGTAAGCTACCTAACTGACATTTCTGAGCAATGACAACATGGATGTGTGAGGTTGGAGACGATAGGTATTTTGATTGCATTTCTAGAGAGAATGTTGGGACGTTTTGAGGTGTGGTTGTACAAGATATTTATCCATAGTCAGTGCATTACCTACAGTAGATGAAACCTACATGTATACTAGCCTGGGAACAAAGCTATGAACTGCTGTGGAAGGAGTTTGCAGAGAAAGCGCATTTTAGCTCCGTATAAGAAAGGCCTAACTTAAAAAATAATGCTATATATAGAATATTTTCACTGCCCCATGCTGTCAGACAAAATATATTAAATATGTTTTAATCAAAGTCACCAAACTTCATTGACAAAGACAGTAATTGTACCTTGCATAACACACGAGTTCCTGATATAATGCTGACTTGATTAGTTAGTTAGTTAGTTAGTTAGTGTTATTGTAAGATTTCGATACGTTTTGGAAAAAACCACAAAACACAATAACACAAGCGTACTACTATTTTTGTCTATTAAGTCAGGTGGCGTTTAGGAGAATATAGATGGATATAACGGCCTCAGTGATCCGTTTGAAAGGACTTAACAACAGCTGGGTAAAGCAATGAAAATATTTTAATTTGGAATTGTTTAGTTGAGCCTTTTTTTAAGTGGCTCAAATGCTTCTGTACACAGCAGTACATAGCTTACCTTTCATGTTGGTACTCTTGTTTCTCCAAACTGGAGGAAAAACAGTGACTAAGGATAAGTACTTACAGTAATACAACCCCAATTCAAGCCACCCAAACTGTCCCTTTAAGTGTGCCCTGACGTGTTTGTAATATAGTGTGTATTTAAGTAATGGAATACCCTGTTCATGTGTTTTGAGGGTTATGCAGAGCCACCTTCTGGGGCTCCCCTTGTAAAACATTTATTTGACCCACTTTCCACAACAAAAGAGGTTATGAGAGGAGGAAGAGGACAACATGAATATTATATCTTGAATTCCGGAGGAAGACATCCCCTACAGGCCTCTGTATGAATTATTAATGAAGTTGGCCTTTCTACATCTCCTCCTCATGTAGAATATTTTGGGGAAATATCACAATGAGGTCATGACAACAGGCAAGTATAATGGTGTGCCAGGGGCGGCGCTTTGCTTTGTAAATAGGAATCAGGTTTGCATCACGTACTCAAATGCATTTAAAACAAAACTCAGGAAAGGGAATAATGGTAAGAGTTGCACCATCTGTACTTCCTATCCACAAGATGGCAGCATCACAGTAGATAATATACTGCTGATGCTCCTCAGTGCACTCAGCACATTGGTTACTGGATCAAATTATATTAGATCAACATTTATGCCAAAACACAATACCCATCCTGTGCTGTTGTGCAAAATGCTGCATGCATACATCATCAGGCAGCTGGCAGAATGAAGGGAGTGCTGCCCATCTGTTCAAATAACAAATATTTTCACGTGTGTTATGTGTCATGATTTGAAAGCAAAACAATGCAGGTCATGCAAAGCAGAAGGCGTTTACTTAGTTTTGGCTTCCTTTGCAAACCTGTGCCGTGGAAAACAATGACCTGTTATGCAAATGCAGGAATAAGGAAATGTCTTGTGTCTGTTTTGTCAATGTGTAAAAAAGACTTGATTAGTGTGAAATGTAATCTATGAGCTGACTGCATGGGGCCTATCTATCAAAGATGACAGAAAAAGATTAAAAGGGTTAGAATAAACCTTTTGTATGTTGTGCAATAAACATTTTAGATTTTTCCTCCATGGTTAACAAAACAATATTAAAGTCTCTAATACTGAACCTTTGCAGGAACCTTCCCTAGTTCTTATTTTATCTAATCCAATCTAATCAAATCTAACCTCATCAAATCTAATCTCATCAAAATCTAATCAAATCTAATCTAACGTGAAAAACAAAAAATAAACCCATTTCTCAGTAACTTCCCATTTTTATAATTGGTACATTTCTTGCTGAGTCATGAGTGAACATTTGTTTTGCTTAAAAATTAGACTGACACGATCATGTTTACTTAAAGGGGACCTATCATGCAAAATGCACTTTTTGATGTCTTTTATACATAAATATGTGTCCCCGGTGTGTCAGGGAACTCACGCAGCGTCAGAAAATAAAACCCTCTCTCTTTTCCTCCGTACCCAAATCTCTAAAAACGGGGCTACAACGGAGCTGATCCAGATTTGCGTCCGATATGACGTAATATCGGAAATGTGGACCCACGGCACTATCAGAAAGTTGCTATTAGAAACAATGCCCGACTGTTTTGGACGTAATATGGTCGGTGTTTACATTAGCATCGCTAACACTCAGAGCTAACCTGTGCTGGAGAGCATGTGTGTGAAGAAGCAGGAAATAAAAAGGAACTCACCTTGTGGTATAACCGGCTAGAGAGAAAGCCTTTGAGCTCCATACTGTTTCAGAAACAATCCTTGATAATCCATGATATGGCGTTTCATCACGGCAGTATTTAGGCCCAATCCCAAACCACGCCCTACACACTACCCCTCCGTTTGCGCGTTCGCGCGGAGGGTCCGCCACATTAAGTGCTGTTCCAAACCAACGAGTGTGGAGAGGTGTGGAGGGGGAGTGGGCTATCAAGCCCTCAAACAGCGAGTCTGCATCGGTGCTGACTTGAGACTGGTCTCTACCTGACCGGAGTCACGCTGTGTGTGTCCGTCGCTGTTTACAAGTAGTTCCAGCAAACATCCACTGATAAATTGCGATGTTAACAACCTCATGATACCTGTGTTTAGTCTAGAAAAAGGTAAATGTGTGCATTTTATTATAAAGTTGTGTATATTTACAGACTGTTGCAAAAACTAAGAAGCTTATAAACATCAGGTTTAAAACTAAAAGAGCTTTACAAAAAAGTAACACAATGAAAGATGTTTGGAGTTTTATTTGAGTTCTTAATTTACATTTTTTGTCTAAGAGATGCTGATTTGAAACCGTTGTTACATACAGTTACGGCATTTCCTGTTTCTGCCGGAGAGAGGGGAGTTTGTCCCAAAGCTTGCCGCTGTATTTACTCACTCCATCTGACAGGAGGGAGCCTCGTTGAGCTGCGAGTGTGGCTACAGACGGAGTTCACTCCGCCACGGAGGGGTAGGGTCGAGGGAGTGGTTTGGAATTGGGCCATAGTTTAGACAGTTGCTGCCGGGTCCTGCATGAGCTCAGCCCCCTCCTTTTTAAAGCTTTATACCCCAAATCAGCACTTTTGAAACAGGAAGTGAAATAGAGGGATATGAGGCATGGCTAGAATGGGTGATCTGTTTGGTATTTTGAGCAAAACACTTCATAGACATGTTTTTGATATACTTTTATATATCTGAGACCTATGCTATTGCCTACAAGCATGATAGGTGCACTTTAAAAGAGATATATTACACTTATTCTCAGGTTTGTTCTTTTATATTAGGTTTCTACTCAAACATGTTGACCTACTTTAATCTTAAAAAAACACATTATTTTTCTCATACTGTCTGTCTGAATATAGCTGCGTCCACCCTCTCACTGAAACGCCTCGTTTTAGCGCCCGTCTCTTTAAGCCCCCTTCACAATAAAAGCCTAATCTGATTTGATTGGTCAGTGTTTCATGGTTTTCTGCATTTGTGGATCTTCTCTTTAAACGTCATGAAAGTAGTAGTGACATCACAACCTTACAACATTTCTGAATAGCTTAGTGTATTTCTCCATCTATTGGGCGTGTTAATACTTTCACGGTGTTATTATAGCACCTAGATCTGTTTATAGTAATAAAAAAAGACACAAAAGTCTCAGTTTTTACATTATGGAACATCCAATATTTCTGTTTGCCATGTATATAAATGTTATGTTCATAAATGTTGTATGTGACTGGACTACGGATGGAAACTAGCTCAAAGCTAAAATCCGGCTCATTTACATTTAAAAGCATTATTTTGTTTAAAATGTTCATTAATGTGCACTGTCCCGGTTCAAATAAACGATTAAATGAAAAAAATGAAAAAATGGTAGTATTATCTGAATAGGAACACGCATACGCAGACAGCCCTCTCCTAAAAACAGCCAGTATTCACACTGTGCCTCTAACTTGTGAGATGACCACCACCATTTGGTATTACGTGTCCCTGACCAGACGCGTAAACACACACAGGGTAAACAGTCCAACGAACAATTACTCGTGACATTGCAGTGAAAATATATTCTTAGTTAATAAAGTTATTTTTGTCTGGAAGCAACTCCTCTGTTGCCACCTAGGCGCAAACTTTCCTGTCTCCTAACTGGAGGGGCAGAATGTAAACATGTTGGCTGCTTATATGCAGCGTATTATGCAATATTTTACAATTAGGCCCACCTTCAACCCAATGGTATTGTTTTATACCATATTGAACATTTTCAATTGATTGATTTCTTAATAGAAGGGAAAAGGAGGCCAAAAATGTGACGAATATGGCATTATCTTGAAGAAATTAGTGTCTAACTGTACTTCTATGACTCCATATATATCCAAATTCCTCACAAAATTAAATTATGTGTAACCTCCAAAAAAAGGAGACATGAACTCGTTATGTAGTTGTGAAACATTGAGCAAGTTTATCAAGTAATCCCATTTGCTTTCACAGCCTCCATTGTTTTAATTATTTATTTCAAGTGACAAACACCGATGTCAACACCAGCTCAATAACATAGGCTCCATTCTGATGCCCTGTACATTTCCCCTCACTATGAGGACAGTGAAAGCACCGTGACCTCACACCCAGGTGTTTCTTCCTCTCTGCTCCAAGATAAACTTGGCACCGTGCGATCGAAACGAGACGTCTTTCTGATACAAACAACGGAGAGTGAAGGGCATCGCTGTACCGGCTCTAGCCTCTGCTCCCCCTCACTATATCAGACAGTGCCATCTTTAGTGAGGACACATTGTTCCAGTCAACACTTCCTATGGTGAGACGGATCCACTGAAGGCATGTCCAGGTATTGTGTCTTTTTCATCTGAAAGTTGGTTTTGAGTTGTGGTTCATGATTGTCGAGGTGGATTTCCAAATATAGATCAGTTTAGAATTAAGCTGTGTTGTTCTTGGGAGGAAACTCAGATTTCTGTCAGATTTTAGGCCTGAGTTGAGAGCTGAACAGAATACGGAGAAAGGTACAGTATATTATATAATAAATATGTAAGGTAACTTAAGACAGTATACTAGCCCATAGATAGAAGAAACTAAAAAGAACAGATGGTGGCCATTAACTTGTTCCAGGTCTGAGTATTGTTTTGCTTGCCTGATTATAGTTTAATTATAGCAACATTACCAGAGGCCCTAAGAGGCAAGTGAGAAAGAAAAATGATGGCGATCGAAGTCTTATTTAAAGTGTTTTCTGTCCTGTTTTTAGGACAAGCAAAACAATGTTTTTTCAGGACAGTCTTTTTAGGTTCCATAAAAAAAAGTTGTATCTGTAAATAATGGCCAAACTGTTGTAGCCTGTTTATATTTGTTGTTTATTTTTGTAAGGTATTATTGTTTTTAACTGTGAAAAACATTTTTTAATTCTTTTTATTGAAATGAATCATTGTTTGTCTTGAAAGATACATGTCTTACTTATCCAACAAAATGCTTGATGTGTCTTTAATGCTGATAGTCCCATTTATTGCATGGTTAGTGGTGCATTTCAGCCTCTAGTGGTTGACATGGGTATGACAACAACGAACACAGTTGTCCCGAAAAAAATGCTTTGTTCCACGTTTTTTTAACTTGTTCCGTAAACATTGTCTACCAATATGTCCATGTATTATCATATTCGACTGTGACATGATGTTTGATTGTTTCTGTCTTTACTCTTCTTTTCCTCAGCCAGGGTGAAGGATGGTCACACAGAGGAGCAGACGCTGTGTGATGCTGCTTCTCTCTCTCACCCCATCAATCTTCCCCCCTCTGCCCATCTCCTTCCGCCCTGCTCTCACCCTCTCCGCCTGGCCTGCTGTATCATTATCTGTAACAGCCTCCACCCTTCCTGTTGGCAACACCAGCATATCAACCATTTCTAACGCCCTCCCCACTCCTGCGATCACCTCCACCATCAGCCCAACATATTTTGACCAAACTTCCACCAGAAAAAGCATAATTTCCTCAGATGACTTGCTTGCTAAAAAAGCCCCTCTGTACGAAAACCCACTATGCAATTCGTCCAAAGTGACTCCTGTGTCTTCTGACAAACTACCTCTTCACACGGCTGAACATCCAACAAGTTCCCCATCTTCTCCTCTACCTCAAAGTTCGTCTACCCAACATCCCTCTACTGTTTCAACATCATTCCTCTCCGCATCCTTCTTAACCACTCAAACATCACCGCCTCCTTTTGCCAAAACTTCACCCAAAATCCTCACATCTCCCCCAGAAGCAGCATCCCCTCGTCGGAGCAAACCACTTCTGCCTCCCCCCCTCCACCACACCACAGTCCCGATGTTCCAGCACCAGCCTTTCATTGTGAGTTGGAACATTCCTGATCGGGTGTGTAAGTGGTACAACATCTCACTGGACACCTCGCCATTTAAAGGAGTGGCAACACCTGCTAAGGTAGGAGGAAATGTTTGAATCATATAGTTAACTATTACATTCAAATCCAGGGTGGGAAAACACATGCTGTAACCAAATCACAAACTAATTTACATGAAGCTGGAAGGACATTTATGGTGATGTGTTTTGTCATTTGAACGGCTATCAGCGAGTTGTTGCATGTTTTACATGTCTGGAACATAGATTGTTTCTTGTTTCGACATGTTTTACAACTCCAGTTAAATGCATTACAGGTTGATTTATAGAGGCCTTTTATTACTGGAAATCTTACATCTGTTCTTGATGTCTTTTAAAAAAAATTGTATATATTTTTTTTAAATCTTTTTATATGGTTTTTTGCAGACATGGCACTTTCAGCACATTAAACAAAGTACAGAACAATTTGTTTGTTAAAGGAAAGAAAAATACCCATCCCCTATCCCCTACCCCTACCCCATAGGTCATAGTCACAGCAAATAGGAAACAATGAAAAAATAAATAATGATAATAATAGGGAAAACATTTTTTATCTAAAACAATTTGATAACTAATATGATATATTTGTTCTTTTATCACAAGTTTGTTGAAATGTAATGTTTAAACATACCAGGCAATATGTGATAATTTGCCTGCATTGAAAAATCAAAACATTGGGTAAAGACCCAAATAAAACCAGATAAAATACAAGACAGTAACAATACAATATAATAATAGAATAAATACCATAACATGTTTGCATCACTTTGTCTTGTTCCTGCTACAGGTCCCAGGTCAGTTCCTGTCTCTGTTCTACACTGACCGGCTGGGTCTTTACCCACATGTAGACCTGACCAGTAGGAAACAGCTGAACGGTGGCATCCCACAGAGAGGGGACCTGAGGGCCAGTTTGAACAAGGCCAGAGCCGACATCAACTACTACATCACATCCAAGTGAGCATTTATTGATTGACACGTGTGCTCTGGGTCTCCTATCATGCAAAATGCACTTTTTTAATGTATTTTATACTGCCGATATGACGTAATATCGGAAATACGGGCTGGCTTTACACCCACATTAAAGGTCCCCTATTATACTCTTTTACATCAATATATTATAGCTCTCAGATATATACAAACATGTCTCTGATTGGCTGAAACACCAAACAGATCATTGCAGCATCCCATAATCCCCTCTGTTTCAGCCCTGTTTCAAAAGTGCTGATTCTCTGTCTGTTACTTTAGATGAAAATAAGGAGCCCCTCCCCACGCCCCTCTGAGAGATATTTGGTTAAAAATAACTCTGGTGCTCTAGGAGGAGATTCAGGTGATAAGGGGGGGGGGGGGGTGGTTACCTTGGTTGCTGATTGGCTAATGGTTACACAAGCCAAAAAAATCGTTATGACATCATAAAGTGGCCAAAATCTGATCAGCTCATTTTCAGACAGGTTTTTATAGAAATGGATCAGGACAAAAAGTGAGCAAATCTTTTTTCCTGAAACTTTCAGAGTCTCTTTACACAGAGGGGACACATGTTGATGTAGAAGAGACGTGAACAAGTGGATTTTGTATAATAGGTGACCTTTAAAGTTTTAGACCCAGAATAAGCGCTTCTCTAACAGGGCTGAAATAGAGGGGTATGAGGCATGGCTAAAATGGGTGATCTGTTTGGTATTTTGAGCAAGACATTATTTTGATATATCTGAGACCCTAATATATGCCTAAAAATAGCATAATAGGAGACCATTAACTTATACTTCTCCTCTCCATTACTTCCAGGACGAGCCAAGGCCTGGCTGTGATCGACTGGGAGGAATGGCGCCCCCTGTGGGACAGGAACTGGGGCGCTAAGAGAATCTACCAGACTCTTTCTGTGGCTCACCTCCTGCAGACTGAGCACTCCCTAAATCTGCAGCAGGCCACAGAAAGAGCCAAGACTCAGTTCCAGGTCAGGACACCCACTGTGGAAATGAATAAAACACATTGTAGAGTGTGAAAAGATAACTCGGTAATACTCGAATACTGTACTGGATTTTGAAGTGATTATCAGAAATCCTTTATTCGGCCCACAAAGGTGAAATGTACAATGTTACAGCAAAGTGAAGATAGAGATGAAGAAACCTTTTCCATAAAAGACATTTACATAGTATTTAAAATACAAATTATTACAATTTAATGAAGTACACGTTCAGGTAGAAAATAGGTAAATCGACGATATACTGTATTACACAAAGTTAAGAAAGAAGGTCATACATATGATATGAATAATTTGCATCAGAAATGTGTCTACAACAGTAAAACGTACGTGATGCAACAATGTTAACAATCACATAATAAGATATAAATAATAATATAGTTAATTTTTCTGCAGAATAAGTACTTTTTCCATACTTTTACTTTTAAATGTGTTGCTGTATTTGAACATTAATGTAATGGTACTTTTACTTAACTAAATGATCTGAATTCTTCATCCACCACTGCTTCTTCTTTCCGTTCGTTCTCTTTTAGGTGGCAGCTAAGAGTTTGATGTCCGGGATGTTGGCGATGGGCCGAGCCATGAGGCCTAACTACCTGTGGGGCTTCTACCTGTTCCCTCACTGCTACAACTACGGCTGGGAGGAGCCTTTTTACACCGGCCGCTGCCCCAGGGAGGTGAGGAGGCAGAACGACGAGCTGCTCTGGCTGTGGGAGTCCAGCTCCGCGCTCTACCCCTCCATCTACCTACAGGTTGGGCAATAATCAAAGTCAACTTTATTGTCAATCTTTCAGTTTGTGTGTACAGACAGAGAGATCGAAATACCGTTTCCCACAATCCCGAATACAAAAACAATATATAAAAATATGTATGCATATATGTATATATACACAATCAAAGACACATTCATACATATGTACACATTAAAGGTCACCTATTATGCAAAATCCACATTTTCATGTCTTTTATAAACATGTGTCCCCTCTGTGTAAAGAGATTCTGAAAGTTTCAGGAAAAAAGATTCACTAACTTTTTGTTCTGATCCATTTATATAAAAACCTGTCTGAAAATGAGCTGATCAGATTTTGGCCACTTTATGATGTCATAACGATTGTTTGGCTTGAGTAACCATTAGCCAATCACCAACACTTCAGAGACATATTTTTTTATATATCTGAGACCTATAATATATTGATGAAATACAGTATAATAAGGGACCTTTAAAGGTGGGGTAGGTAAGTTTGAGAAACCGGCTCGAGATACACTTTTTGTTATATTCCATGGAATACTCTTAACATCCCGATAGCAATGAATATCTTAAGTGCTTTGACAAAAAATCCATAAAAAAAGTTCATCTGTGGAAGCCGTAGTACTGTAAAAAGCACGACCAATCATCTGAGCCAGCCCGGCTAAAATAACTGGATGGCCTACCTGCCTGTCAGCCTTCCATCTGTGCACAAACTTATCTCGTGCCCTCATTGGTCATGTGTGCGTTCGTGTGTGTTGGAGGAGGGGATTTTTTCCGGCTGTGTATTTTCAAATTCTAGCGATCTCGAGCTGGTTTCTCCAAAATTACCTACCCCACCTTTAAGACCTAAATAAAAGCACAACAATCAATATATACAAAAGTAACAGTCACTTCAATATCTTTGAGAATGTACATTAGTGCAAGACATGTCCATAGCAGCGTAACAAAAAAAAGTGTCTGGTGCTGGATTTGAGTGTCTGTGTGTGTGAAGACATGAATCCCTACTGTTCATTCTGAAATTGTACTTCCTTAGATGTTTTTTTAATGCATCCTGGCTCTGTTTCAGGTCTCTCTGGCTGACAATCCCAGAGCTGCCCTGATGGTGAGGAACCGTATTCAGGAAGCGCTGAGAGTGTCTGCCCTGCCCCAGGGACAGGGAGGAACCGCGCCTGTGTTTGCTTACATGAGAGCTGTCTTTGTTGACGAGAACAAACGCTTCCTCAGCCAGGTACCTGAGAGCCGTCCAAAGGGAGACATGTTTTAATCACAACTCACTCAATATAAAAGATGCAATATGTTGTGAGCGTTTGGCATATTAGGAGGCACTCTCAAACAGATGACATCTCTGAAACTGTTAGAAAAATATCACTCGTCACCGGCTTGAGCTTCAATATCAGGATCAATGTATTTATTGTCCTTGCAAGAATGGAAGGAGTCATCACATACAGAGCATTTGATACAACTAGTTCCTGAACAGTGTCCTTCACATGCTGATTTACAAGAGAGGGAGTTACACAGTCACAAGATGGAGGAATATAAAGCAGTATTCAATGTTTACTTCAGATTAGCTCCACGTCAGAAATGATCATGCTTGTCATATGTCTATCTCCATAGAGGCTGAATCATCATGTTAATCACATAGCTATCATATGCCTAAAACAGTCCTGATGCTCTTCTAGGTAATCATACATCCTGTCATGTACACAGCTACAGTTGGGATACCTTTGTTATCATGTGTACTCTGATACTGAAAGAGTACATTCAGTATGTTCCCAACAGAAACAGTTCATTAGTGAGTGCCCACACTTGACTAGATTAGCTTAAGTTACCGTTTTCTCTCAGCAGTGAGGTCAGGTTTGAAGAGGAGTTTGGTTTCTTGGTGTAACACCAGCCTGCTCAGGTGGTAACCCTCATCATTGTGTAGTAAAATGTCCCCTGAGTGTTTTAACTATAGGCCTTTATGGTGTTTTGATCTAATATCACTGCTGCATTAATGTGTGTGTTGCATTTCACTGTTGTAGTTGTTTAAGGTTGTGCTAATTTGAACTTCTTTATTGCATTATTACACTTTAGCTGATGCTTTTATCCAAAGCCACTTACAATGTGTGCCACTAACCAAGAGGAAACTTATTCTGGACAGCAAGAATCCTGCAAGTACATAAGATAAGACAAGATAAGATGGAACTTTATTTATCCCCTTGGGGAAATTCAGGCGTTTATAGCAGCAACAGGGTCAGAGTTCAAAACAGGATTCACACAAGGTAAAAATAAAGATAAAATAGAGTAAAAATCAACTCCAAATAAGACAAACATGTTTAATCACAACAACCATAAATAAACAACACAATATGCATGCATGTATAATTGTCTAATTTGTGAATGCATGCAGCAATTTCTGTGTATATACAAATAAAACAATGCATATATTTAACCATCTGTGTGCAGGCAGACTTGGTCAGCACCCTTGGGGAGAGTGCAGCAGTGGGGGTGTCCGGTGCCGTGCTGTGGGGGGCCAGCGCTGACTACGATGACCAGGTAACATCACCCTGCACCCCCCACTGACTGCTCAAAGACATGAACATGAACTGATGGCAGGTTGTGAGAGGATGATAGAGGAGTCGCTCGTCTCTGTGACTGACTGATGGATCGTGTTGGTTGGCAGTGTGACGTTTTAGTTAATCCAAGGCAGGGAAACCAGGATTAGCTCAATGAAAGTGACTCTCACTGGATGTTTAAACTCTTCTTCACTATAGAGTGGTGCAGCGGTGATGTATTTTTGTAGGTCGACCCGGAAGTTAGCATTACAAGGGGTCCCTCGTCAAAAAAAGTCAGATTTTCCCATTAGATTTTGGCATATAGCATGTTTTCTTCAGCAGGATATTCTCCACATATTAACACCTCTTTGTGATTTTTTAAAATGCAATTGGCAACAGCTGTTTTTATGACATAGAAGCTTCGGACATTCAAGTGTGTTGATCCAGTTTATCAGTTTGTACTGCCCTTATGAGCACAGGCTGTGCTCTCAGTGTTTTTGTCTTCCTGTTCCTGCCTGTTGGCGTCAGCTGATAGAGGTGTTGTGGTTATATCTTGTTATGCACAATGTTGATTATTCTCTCAGAACTAGCTAAATACATGGGTCTGGGGTAGAGATATTCAGAATTGGTTTGGCATCTGCTGTGTCAACTCATGGCACACGACATGTGACACATTTTCGATTATTATTAGTGATAAACCTATTATCTTCTGGATTACGGTCACGGTTTTGAACATGTGGTTAGTTATGTGAACAAAAATGCAACAAAACTACTTGTAAAAGATCATGATTTGGCTAAAACAAGTTATTTAAGTTCTGGACCTAACTTTAAACAAGCCTTGACTTTGTTTTGACCCATTTTGCAACACTAACCTTATCATTCATGGATTTTCCTTCTTCCTCTCTTGTTCCTTTTCTCCGCAGACGTCTTGTGCCGCCCTCTCCTCCTACCTCACCTCCACCCTCAACCCTTACATCACCAATGTCACCGTAGCCGCCCAGCTCTGCAGCAACTTCCTGTGCCGAGGGAATGGCCGCTGTCTCCGAAAGAACTACAACTCAAATCACTACCTCCATCTAAACCCCGAGAATTTCAGGATCTTGCATGTTCAGAAGCACTTCCTTGTCCTGGGGAGACCTTCCCTCTCAGACTTAAAGGCTTTCAGCAGGGGGTTTAGCTGTCAGTGCTACACAGGACTGAGCTGCTCTCCCAGGACTGACAGAGAGCTAACGAAGGCCCTGACATTTAGTGTGAAGCAAGGACTGTACCAGAAATTTCACACTCTGAATAAAGCTATGTTGGAGGATACAAAACAAGCCGGTTTTACCAAGGACAATGGTCAAACGAATCTGAAAGTTTAGCTTGTTGTTGTTGTTTTACCTGATGTTCTTTCACACTTCTTAAACCAAACATTCAGACCTGGGAATTACCTGGTTTTGTCATAATCCAGTGCTGGTCACATCATCTGTTATTTTTAAAGTACTTACCTCATCTTGCCTGCATATTATGACCACTGACATAATGTTACATGTGCCATAGTCTTGCCAAAGAACACAGTATTGCCAAATCTCCAACCTACAAACAAAAACTCTGCAGTATAAAGTGAGAAGCTGCGACAATAGTATTCCCTCTGCTTGGTATTTGCATTTGATTTGACTGTATATGTAAATAATTACAAAGTTGTTGGTTCTGCGATGACCTTGAATGTCACAATACACAGAGCGTGTGATGACTGAGTGAATGAAAAGTTATTGGGGGTTCATTGGGATACATTCATGGTAAAGGTATTGCTGTTGTTAGCATAAAAATATGATTTTGCTCACTCCTTGCACAGGTGTTTTCACTTATATTACCTTATTAAAGCTCCTCTCTTATAAAGAACAGATGTAACTAATCAAGACAATTAGCAGCTTTGCTAGACCAAACTTCAACCTGTGAAGAGGTCTAGTCAGAAAAGTGATGTTTTCAAACCTCTTAAGCCCCACGGACCCGCCGAAGGGGCCGAAACCACAAAATCTGCAAGCAAAAGTGTCTGAGGGCTTCTTAAAATGTAATAAACTATGAATGTTTTATATCCATGTAACGGGAAGAAACTCAGCTAACTTTTTTTTTTTGAAAAAAACCCCACAAAGCTAGTGCTGAGCCTCTAAATTAGCCACAAGCGAAAAAATGCTAACGCATTACTGCACAGAAACTCACTCATAACACCCTTATTACTTATCGTAGCTGCACGTCCAACCCATGGATTAGCATCGTGAGAAGACACAGAATCGATCGGTACCTACATTATCACTCCATGATAAGAACTTGCGACTTTATAAACAAAAACAGACATCAAAACATGTGGCGCTAGGTAGCTAAAACGGCAAAATGGCTTACCTGTGTCGTTGTCTGGTCAAAAGTGGTCTTCAATGGCATTAAACGATAAAAACGCTGCTGAAGGTTAATCCATAGGTTAATCCAATGTGTCTGTGTCCCCTTTGAAATGATTTCTGATAATCCATAAGCAATAAACCTAGTTTTCCGTTTTCAGATGTCAGAGCGTGAGATAGGTTTCGCTCTGGGCAAAACTGCATGCGCGAAGCCCCCACTTTTTTTTGTTAACGTTGGTGTGTATGTGAAAATTCCCCTTCTATTCTATTGGCTCTAACGGTTGAAAAGAGATGTCAATTACCAAAATCGACCAATGGGTTCCAGAGAAACGGCAAAAACGCCCATTTCCACCCAAATGACCCCAGAGGTGGAGTTATTTTTGCTAAACCTCTCTAAAAAGGTCAAATGTCACTTGTTTTGCATCAATCTTGATACAGGGTACTTATTATATGTTGTACTTTGGATTTCTAAAGCTTTTAGTCTACCTTACCATCCTCCAAGGGTAGTTTTCACTATAAGTAAAAAATAATTTTGGGACGAACACTATAATTTACAGTTTTTTACTATGTTCAATCTGAATTTTCTTTAAAATAAAAAACATCTATATTGATACTGACTTCTCTACATCCAACTCACAGGTTTATCATTACTTTGAGAAAAAAGATTATTAATTTTCCCCTTTTAGAAGTGTAGTTATAGTCATTTGTTCTGGAAATGTCATTTTCGAGCCTGATACCTGGAAAACAGGCTTGGGGCCTAACAGGTTGTCACATTAATGGATTTTTAGGCCACTAGAGAAGAACTCAACAAGAAGCTAGTTAAACCTTTAGCATCCTGCCAGGCTGTTTTGGCTGTTGTTGTTAGCAAGCAGCTACCTACTTTCAGATGCTGCTAATGTGGAGCGACATTAACATTCAGTTGGAAACATTTTGATTGCTACTGGGTGAATGTAAGTAGTACTTTTATGTCATTTCACAATCTTCAACCCCCTGAGAGAAATAAAGAACTAGCTTATTTGCTTGTTTTTGTCAGCAGATGAGTGATTCTATAATTTAGGGTGCATTTCACATCAACAAAACAGTACAAAGAAAGTGTTCTTTCTCAATAGAACAATCAGTGGTTCAAGTTAGTATATTCCTCAGTGTAACATATCCACTAGTTGCAAAGCTTAAACATTTTTTTATTTTATTTTATTTTAAGGGAAAGGATGTTTCACTACTCAGTTTGTCAACTATGTTACGGACAAACTTGATGTCATTACAATCATTTGATTAAGTCCTGCACTTCAAGTAAAATCAAATTTGAAAGGCTCTTGAGTCTATTCTACCATATATCCAAAGATTTTTTAAAGTTTAACAAATAATTGTATTAAAGTTTTGTTTTTTCATGTGATATGTTCAGCACTGTCATTAAGTTTAGGGATATTTTGTATTATAAAACTACCATACAGGTCATTTTGATAGTTTTAAGAGATGTCATGTAAAACTCCAACCTGTGTAGATATACATTATACCAGGGGTCGGCAACCTTTTTGATATGATGTGCCATTAAAAAAATTCATTGTTATCAGCGTGCCAACGATCGAAAATGATCAACGGGGGGGGGGGTGTTGAGGAGCTTGACGCTGGTGAACTATCAACAGGAGGGTGGGGGGAGCCTCGCTGCGGGGAAGCAGTGTGTGGACCTGTCAGCACAACTTACATAATTCCGAATTTAACAAACACATTTAAATAATTGGTTTAAACGGCATAATAATAAGGACGATCGTCCGTTCTGTGATTCTCCAGAACACACATGTTATGATATTAGGGTCAGGCAGAGTGAGATGAGATCGCTGTCCCTTTAAGAGAGAGAGAGAGGGGTGTGGCGTGTGCATGTGTGTGTGTGTGGATGGTAGAGCGACAGTGAGGGAGCGTGTGTATGTTTCTGGAAGTGAAACGAGGCAGCAGAAAAACAGAGGTCTGTAATGTATTTTGTGAAACAGAAGAACAGCTAAATAAATGCATCCCAAGAAGAGCTCGCCTCTCTCCAGTCATTTAAGCTAAAGTGGGTTATTGAACCTGAAGCTTGTTGCTTCTGCCCTCCTCGACTACGGTCTGGGAGCCGACAGGAAAGTTCAACACACAGATTGCCAGTCCGCCCCTTTGTAGCATATTATTTCAATGAGAGATGAGCAGATCGCCAATGGGCTTTCAACTAAAGACACAGCCACGCAAAAACTGTGATATTTGTACAGCTCCTTATGGGTACTGCAATTTGTGCTTTCCTCCGTGGTGAAACGATCAGCACTGCACCACGGAGGAAAGCGGCAGAAAGTCACCTGGAGTTCAAGAGAGCGGGGCTGCGCTGCGTGCATGGCTTCCTTCTGCATGTAACGGGGAGACGCGCTCTGGCGGCGGTCTCGTTCAGGATCCGAAAATACAATTTAAATATTTTGCACACTTATTCCACTTAATCCTAGTGTGCCACTGGTTACGGTGCCGCGTGCCAATGCTGGCACGCGTGCCAGGGGTTGCCGACCCCTGCATTATACTATAAAGGATATCAGAAGCACTATTTTAGATATTTTAAATTTGAAAAAATGAGGTGCAACATAGTTGACAATGAAAGTCAAACATTTGACGCAAATAACATAGTTGACTGGACACATTATTAACCATCAGCACTATGTTCATTTCAAGGCAGAAGTGCAAAATTCCATTGATAATGATGTGTAATGACGTCTACATGTCATACAAATTGTCAACTAGGTTACCTGTCAACTAAGTTACTACAGTTATTACAGTACTGGGTAACTTAGTTGACAGGTAACCTAGTTGACAATTTCCCTATTTTGACCCATCATTTCAATGGTAGGCCTTGCTTGGATGACCACATGTCATTTTCTTGAACAGGTTAACATCACATTTGAACATATAATTGAATTAAAATCATTAAACAATTGTAAACCATAACAATGTACGTAACATTGTTGATGGTCAATTAATATACTCATTGACAATGTGCTATTATACATAAAATATTGTAAAAAATTAGAGGACAATCACCACAGTGTGTTCAAAATGTCTGCCAAAGAGGAACATGGCATCATGTGATGCTGGTGACATGGTATTGGGACAAACCATTTTTGAGTTAAAGGGGGGAGTTCTGTTAGTAACATAGTTGACAGAACTTTTGCGGACATTCATATATTAAGATATTTAAATTATTTAAAGGAGGAAATCAATTAAAAATATGTTATTATTCTTTAGTATTTAGACTTTTGAAATAAATGAATACTTTTTTTTATTTACTTTAATTCATTATTTTGAAACCAAGACACCCTCAACTGAAAAACGGACAGAGCAAAAACTGACAATTTAAGAACATCATGACACATTTCAAGCTAAATAAAGCATAGGATACACATAATGTTTGTGTGATATTATAACATGCTTTCCAATAATAGGCAAAATATGATATTTTTGAAGAAAATAGTTAGAATAATTATAATTATCATCAATGGAAATCAATGGACATGGAATGTACCCTAAATTGTAGAATCACTCAGATACTGTACGTCATTGGTGTGTTGATGGTGTTCTCTGGGAGTCTGGGTTCACTTGTTTGCTTGTGTTAAAAGATAACCTCCAAGGTGGTTTTGAGAAAGAGATGAGAGGTTGATACATAATTGGTAATGCAAACATATTTTAACCACTGCAGGCTTTGTGTGATGCAACAGTGAGTCATCAGAAAAACTTCCCTTTTTGTTGAATTGTCTTGGTTTCTTTCATTTTCATATCTTAGCAAGGAAGCAGTAATGAAAGATAACACACACAATACATTTTGCGTGTACCAGGAAATGACTTGTGTGTTCTACAGGCGTAGGCCAACATTACCTCTCATGTTGTTTGTGTACTTGTTTCCTGCCTGAGCTCAAATATGTTCAAAATGAGATTGCTTGCCTATGAAAGTGACTGTTCAAAAAAGACTAAAACCCCTGTTGAATAACGTAAATGCTATTTGCTAACATTACAGTAAAGGAATGAATGAATGCCAGTCGTGCAAAAGGATTTTTTTAATTCAGTTGTAAAGTCGTACAATATATGCCATTGCGAGTCAACTCTTCTAAAAACATTGTGGTCTTTTTTTTAAATTGGTGGGTGACACAGCACAAAGTAAAGTATAATTAAAGTCCGTTAGCCATGAAAATCTTAAAGATCTACAAAGTCCTTCACTCTGGTTTAGTGAACGCATATGTTTAAGAACCTCTATAGCTGCCAGGTTGGACAAAAAAACTATAACGCCAAACTAATGGAGCTCAGCGCAAGTTCAACCAGGAAGACCCTCTTTACTCATTCATTTACTATGCTACGTTACTACTCTCTCTCCTCTCAATAAGTGATCGGGGGCGTCGCTCCCCAGCTTAACCAATCACTTTGCTCTATTCTCACAAGCCTATCATAGCTCTCCGCTAACCCTGTTAAATTTGCTCTCCCCCCTCTGTCAGCTGTCATTTCAGGTGACTCAACGCAACCCTCCTCCACCCCTTTTTTCACCTCCTGTCCCTCCGAATCCAGGGTCAAGCTAAGCCACTCCCCTTCAGACCGAACCCAACTATCCATTCCACCACCACCAGTGTCTAGACCCCGGGGGGATCAGAGTTTTCCCCTCCCGAATGATACTCCTGCACTACGGGGCCTAATCGCCAAAACAGCATTACATTCATTTGTGTATTCCTGGCAAAATGTATTCTTACATCAAAACCGTCTCTCCTGATTGAAATGCTGTTAACCTTCAGTGCTATTTCTATAATTTCTGACGTTTAAACATGTTAACACCTTTTTATTAATAAAATAAAGTGTATGGTGTACCAATTACCCTTCCAATTATTTGCATACAAAATGCAATTTGATTATTTAATAAACAAACTCATTACCTTATTTTACAAGGGTTACTGAACCCCATTTTGCATCTGGCAAATCAAGAGCTTATCTAAACTTTTAGAAAATGGTAACAAAACAGTGTGAATGTTAAAGAAAGGATCAAGGAGTGTCTTTCTAAATGACTAATACAAATCTGAATAAAACAGGTTCAGGTGCTCGCTATGCAAACTCCAAATAATGTTTACTTACCCAACAAAGGGAGTTGTATAGAGTAGACATGTTTGCTAAGATTTACCACATTTTGTTTAGTCACAGTGCAAGGTACTGATTATAGTTTCTTAAGGCATAAAACCACTGTAAAGCATATGTGGAGGTCAGAATATGCTTTATTTAGGGAATATTTAACCAAAAAAAAAAGTACTTCTTGATTTAAAATGTGTCTGCACTACACTTAGTTCATGTTACACTGACAAAGAATTTAGATTGAATATGCATTTGTTTGTGTTGAATATAGAACAGCTGTAGTTAAATGTGCATTATGTTGGTGTGTTTTGATAATGGAACAAATGTACCCTCATTAGATAGATAGATAGATCGTACTTTATTGATCCCAAATTGGGAAATTGTTTAATGCTTAAGGTTAGAATATTTCTATAATAACAATTTTGAAAACACTGCGGTGCTTTTTATATAAAAATGTGGAGCCTCATGGACACCAAGCCTTGTTTGTTTGAGTCTGTTTGCACAGGAAGGCACTGCAGCAGAGTAACGTTTGGTTTATAAAAGATTCACATTAAAATCTCACTTCATCGCTCCTCTTATCCTCTCAGCCACAGGTGTCCATGCTACATATATTAGGCCTGCTGGGTTTATATACTCTCATAGTTGCCATGCAATCCAGGGTCATATGATGAGTGAAAAAAGGTATTAGATTAAAAACAAATTGTGTTGTTTATGAGTCTTACGGCTTTTCTAATGTCTTAATCTGTAAACCTTCCTGATGTTATTTCTACTTTTAGCATGCAGATATGAAAACCAGTTAAAGCATGCTAATGTTAAAATGACATATCAAACTCAAACTAGACCTGCCATAATGCATGTTATGTATAAGATGGCAAGTCTGTCACTGAAAAGTCACACTACCAAAGTCCTGAAAATTGTTAAAATATTAATATTACAACTATATTTTACATCGGACAGATAAAAATGGCAGTAGGTCATCTGAATGTAAACAGATAGGTGAGCAGTTCAGGGTTAGTTGTGTTTGACCTGTGTTTTGGATCCAGACATATCGAATAATATTGAAACCTATGTCCCTATTTTCTTTATTAATCTCTGTTAGTCCAATGTCTGCAAGACTTTCCCTTGAGTTAAACATAAAAAAATACACATTTACAGTATTTTTTTCTCCAGTTGACCGTTGACCTCTCCATTGCCCTCGCTCAGACCGGTCACATCTTTGGTGCACTTGACCCTCAGCAGGGCGTTGGAGAGCACGTCCTGATACAGGCTGATGCCAACCCAGCCCGGCAGGTACAGCAGCGTGATGAGGCCCATGAAGTTGTAGGGGTAGTGGGAGTAGTCCCAGGAGCAGGCTCCGAACTGCCGGAGGACCAGGCCCCAGGAGAACTCCCAGGCGTAGATGAAGCAGACGTAGAAGGGGAGCCTCCGCCACGGGCCCCAGCCTCTCCTGAAGTGCAGGTGGAAGTAGAGCTTCTCCACCAGGAAGCTGCAGCTGCCGTACATCAGGAAGGACCACAGGGACGTGTGGCCACTCAGGGTCCGGTCAGACTTCTCCACCAGGTTAAAAACAGAGGTGAAGACCACCTCATCCAGAAAGCCGTGCATCCCAAAGAACAGGAAACGCACAAAGCCTGGCAGACCTTGAAGGGGATCATGACCTCTGTCCACCAGGCTGGGTTTGCATGCAGGGTCTGGGGTGCAGGGGGTGTGCAACCTCAGCTTTGACAGCCCTCTGTGGAACACCAGTCCAAAATACAGAGCCAGGATGTAATGCACCACCAGCTGCGTGCCGGACACCACCCTCACCTGCTCCGTCAGGGTGTTGATGTTCCCGATGAGGATCTGCAGCCCGATGTAGATGGAGGGGTAGAAAACCAGATGGAAGACCACAGGCCGATCTCGGAAACACCTCTTCTGTGAGAAGATCTTCTCCAGCGCGAAGTGGGTCAGTGAATGCATGACGCACAGATACGGGGAGGAGAAGCCCACCAGTTTGGGGTCTCTGTGGTTTAAAAACCCCTGCAGCGACGAGAGCAGGACATCCAGAGTCACGCCGTGCATCCCGTAGAAGTAAAGCCGCATCCATCGAGGCAGCTCCCGCAGAGACCCCTCCGCGTCCCCTGCCCCTCCGGATGGTTTCTGTCTGCAGGGCATCTTTACCGGTGTCAGGCCCCCGGGATCAGGGTCTGCTGCTCGGTTCCGAGCACCGTCTCTGGCCATGATCAGTCACTTGTTGTTCAGAGGTTCAGCTTCCTTCCTACACATTGTTGTCTGTGTTCCGCTGCAGAGCTGCGGCTGGCCGGCTGCAAGCATCTCCTACACCGCATGGCTGCGTTCACGTACCTCGTGGAAAAACACGTTTATTTGTAAACACCAGCTTGAGAAAGCAACTGGACAACAAACGTTTGGTTCAAATTTCAGTCAGTGCTTCTCACAGTAACATGTAAACCTGCAAACATCTCACTTTGTTTCTATCTGTACACATTAAGTATCTTACATTTAGTTCAAAGACGTTTGCCTTGAGGCGTTTTAATTTTCCAATTTTTTACCAGCTGTCTGCCACATTGTTTATTTATGTTGACCATGATAGTTTGCTAATGTTTTTGTTTTGAATGACGACATATGACTAGAAGTGGGTCAAGTACTCAGATCTTATATTTAAGCAAAAGCACCAGAGTGAAGGAATACTCTGTAAAAGTACAAGGTGCAGCTAGTTTTATTGACTTTGTATACTGCAGGGTAGCTTGTGAATTTAATCCAGGTGTAACTAAAGTCTGATTTAAGTGTAGATTATTTTTCACATCATTAATCTATATCTGCAAAGTAACTAAAGTTATTAAATAAATGTAGTGGAGTACAAGTGCACTAACTACCTCTGATATTTAGTGTAGTAGAAGTACACAGTCGCAATCAATCAAAAATACTCAAGTTAGTACAAATACCTCTTGTACCTAAGTACAGTTCTTGAGTAAATCTAGTTCACACCACTGATCAGCACAAACTGTCTCCTCACACGTGACACTGGGTGAGTCATGTATTGTTTACAGCCAGTCTTCTCCTCCCCTCCTTTATGGGCACACTGCCACACTTTTGCAAGCACACCAACCGTTGATCTGTATGCAAGAGTGAAACCTTAACCTTAACTAATGATGTGTATTCATAAGTCATACGCAGTGGTGGAAAGTAACTAAGTACATTTACTCAAGTATTATACTGAAGTACAATTTTGAGGGACTTGAGTATTTCAATTCTTTGCTACTTTGTACTTCTACCGCACTACAATTCAGAGGTAAATGGTGTACTTTGTCTCCACTACATGTATTTAATACCTTTAGTTACTTTACAGATGTGGATGAATGATGTGAAATATAATCAAGTGTTAAATCAGACTTTAGTTCCACCTGGAGTAAATTCACAAGCTACCCTGCAGTATGCAAAGCCATTCAAACTGGCTGCACCTTTACCAGCTTTGAGAACACTTTAATGATCAATCATTATAAAACATATCATATATATTATTCTGAAATGGACCAATCTGCACAATGAATACTTTTACTTTTGGTACTTTAAGTATATTTTGATGCCAATACTTTTGTACTTTTACTTGTAACAGAGTATTCTTACACTCTGGTACTTCTAATTTTACTCATACAAGATCTGAATACTTCACCCACCAATAATCATATGTCGTCATTCAAAACAAAATAAATGGCAAACTATTATTGTCAAAATTAATAAACAGCGTGGCAGCTATAGTGAATAAAAATGTAAAATGCCTCAAGGCAAACATATTTAGAAGTTGACTAAAGGTGTGCCAATAGAAACAAGTTCGATATTTGCATACACGTTTCAATGTGCTGAGGTCATCACAGTCACTTTGTGCTGTGTGTTTTTTGCATCACACGAACAAAGTTTCCAAATTTCCAGCAGCCCCTGAAGGCAGCACAGGAGGGTAAATGATGGAGGAGGTGGTGCAGCTGTATTTCTGTGGTGGAGATGGGACAGTGAGGCTCTGACAGGGTTATTAATAAAACTCAAGTTCCCCTGCGACGTCCTGACGCTGTTTAATTACGACTCACTAATTATAATTACATCAGAACACTCTGCTGTAATATCAGAACAATACGGGCCATCAGAAGAGCCATTTGTTAATGCAGCAGGCCTTCATTAATCCATCAACTCATCAGGATGTTCACTGTTACAAGAGGAAGTATAGACTATCCTGCGTGATAAAAGATGAAACATAGATAGATGGCCTTTTATGTAAGTGTATGTTAATTATTGGGAAAATACTGAATGTACTCTTCCAATATCAGAGTAACATGCTAACAAAGGTATCCCAACTGTAGCTGTGTACATGACAGGATGTATGATTACCTAGAAGAGCATCAGGACTGTTTTAGGCATATGATAGCTATGTGATTAACATGATGATTCAGCCTCTATGGAGATAGACATATGACAAGCATGATCATTTCTGACGTGGGTCTTAATCTGAACTAAACACAGAATACTGCTTTGAACCGGTATTCCTCCATCTTGTGACTGTGTAACTCCTTCTCTTGTATATCAGCATGTGAAGGACACTGTTCAGGAACTAGTTGTACCAAATGTTCTGTATGTGATGACTACTTCCATTCTTGCAAGATAATAAATACATGGATCCTGATTATTGAAGCTCAAGCCGGTGACGAGTGATATTTTTCCAACAGTAATGAGCAAAGTGAAGAAGATTTGGTTGTTGATGAATTAATGGAGGAGATGCAGCCCTGCCACAATGTCTCCAACCACTTCCCTAATGGGTTTCCTGTTACTATCTTTCTATTGATGCATTGTTGTTATGAGCTGTAAATAATAAGTACAAGTTCTTCTTACAATGTATCTTAAAGGTTCAGCTCTAACTTGGGTTCAGACTAGGGGGTTTCTTGGTTTTTCCTGAATGCAAAGTGTTTGCAGTTTGAGTTTATTTGAGTTTTTATTATAACTAAACAGTCTTTAAAGGTTTCTCAGTATATTCACAATATTTCTTTGCATTTTGTGAGGGCTGTGTGAGTGTCAGCATACTCTAGCATGCAGCTTTGTGTGTCCAAATGTTTCTCTGTGTGTATTTGTGTTATCAGGACAAATGTGGGGGTGCAAATAGAGATATCTCAGGTCTTTCTGAGCCACAGAGATAACAGCGTGTCTGTGCACGGTTTAACCAATTAAAATCACTTCTGCACACATCAGCCTGAAACAAATTGTGCTCAAAGGATTCATTTACAAAAGTGCAAAATCAAACATATTTACAGTTTGAAAAACATGAAAAATAGTTATTAAATAAACCAATTTCTTCAATAAGGAAATACAATTTATACGGTAAAAGCATTTTCTGCTCCCTCCTTACAAATACATCAGAGAAATGCAAGATTTTAATAAACCACTTCAGGAATAAACATGTATTTATCACACCATAACAACTCTTGAGCTTGCACTATTTTTATTTATGTATATTGTTTTGTACTTGCGTACCATGCTGTGAATGGATCTGGCCCTTCCTACATCCAGATCCAGGACATGGTTAAATCATACACCCCAGCACGTGCACTCCGCTCTGCATCAACCAAACGGCTCGCTGCACCCGCACTGCGAGGGGGACCCAAGTTCCCATCAGCAAAAACATGTGGGTTTGCTATCCTGGCTCCAAAATGGTGGAATGAACTCCCCATTGACATCAGGACAGCAGAAAGCTTACACATCTTCCGGCGCAGACTGAAAACTCATCTCTTTCGACTCCACTTCGAGCAATAAAATTGCTATCAAAGCACTTATATACTAATAAAGGACTGGCTTATCTAAAGCCAGTTGAGTAGCACTTGAAATGGTTTGGCTCTATGAAACCTGATGTACTTATATGATTCTGTTTTCTTCAAGTTTGTATCTTCCTGGTCGAATGCACTTTTTGTAAGTCGCTTTGGATAAAAGCGTTAGCTAAATGAAATGTAATGTAATGTTTTTTTAATGTCTTATATATATTTATGTTGCACTGTTGGAGGAACCTGTGACTTAATATGTAATGCAAAACTCAACAATAAAACCTTTGAACTATGAAAACTATGAACCTTGGTTATTTATTATAACAATTAATCAGCATTCATCATTAACAAACAGAAAAAATAATAAATGCTCTCACGTGACCTCATGATTGCACGAGGAAAACCCATTTAAGTGACGGAAATGACGCTCCTCGGTATTTTCAAAAATAAATTCTACCTGGAGAGACGAATCTGCCGTTCACTGCCATTCATGTAAGTGTAAACCACGTGAGTTTAATGTATGTTTAAATCGTTTAAATACATGTAGAACCGACACGTGTGCAGACTGTGCACCTATGGTCGCACTACAGAAACGGGAAAAGGGACGGTAGGGAAGTTTAATTACTATTTACTGACGAACAGAAGGGAGAAGGAAATGTTTGGTAAGTGTGTGTGTGCGCGTGTGAGTGTGTTTGTGTGCGGGTGAACGTGTGTCTTCACCTGTTAAATTGCTGCATTACATTTTCTCAATCTCCAATCCACTTTAATCTGCACTATAAATAAGATTATAAAAGTGATAGATAATAAACTTGGAACAGTTTCTCCTGGAATATTGAGTAATAAAGCTTATTTTAGAGTTGAAAAACGGTACAAGTTGAGTACTACTGGCCTGAGTAGTCACAATTGTGCTTTATTTCTAACAATCTATCAAAAATGTGTCCATACTGAATGTAAATACTGTAATTTAACTATATGTTTGTCTAATCTATACACACTGCATGCCTATCCTCTGCAATTGAAAGGACATTTTCAGATCAAATCTAATTCACTTCATTGTCTTGACCATTACAAATATATATTACTGTTCATTAATGTATACCTTAGACCAGGGATGTCAAACTCAATTTCATCGCGGGCCACATTAACATTATGGTTGCACTCAAAGGGCCGGTTGTAATATAAATAAATAATATATATAATGTATTATATTACATTATTGCCTCTGAATTAGATTATTATCGGATGGGGTAATTAACTACGTCGGAAAGCAGAAGTCCAGGGCAAATAATTGCAAGTCTCTTCAGTGCGCATGTCACAAAACGAGATGCATTGTGGGACATGTAGTGTATGGGCAACGTGCCTCTGTAAAGTGGCATGTAACCGTATAATAAACATTTTATATTCTTTGCAAGCTCTGGCGGGCCACATGAAATGAAGTGGCGGGCCGGATTTGGCCCCCCGGACCTTGAGTTTGACACCCCTGCTTTAGACACATACTGTTGCTGTTATGACACGTGAATGTTCCTTCAGGGATTAATAAATGT